GTGCGCAAGAAAGCGTCTTTTTCTAAGTATAGAATTTTTGGTCCACAATATACCCCAATTTCCGCGTTCACCGTAGCGGTACCAGGAATGCCCGGAGGGCGGTGTATCTTCGTGATACCCCTCGGGCTTGCTCTATAATCTCTTGTATGCTCAGCAACAGTCAGCCAGATAAGACAGAGGACACCCGCGGACCGCCGATCACGTGCCGATGTGACGAATGTAATTGCGAGTACTGTACGCTGAATAGGCAAAGTCTGCTCTGACAGAACCCTGCGTAAGGATCCTTTAGACAAACCTGTCAAGAGTGTCTGTACTCGAAGTCCCGTCTGGGGTCAGAATTAATCACCATCACGCGAATGAGTCAGGCCGTGACCTGTGACCCGCGCGTGTCCTCTGTCTTACCTTACTGGAATCGTATAAACCACTCAGGAGTACCTGCTCGACGATAGCGAGGGCGCCTAAGCAGGCCACGTGCTCGTATTTCGAGGCAGAAGCCGGGGCGGAAGCATTGCACTGCGTTTACTTCCAACCACCACGAGCCCGACATGGCGCAATCCAGCTTCAATTTTGATAGCTTCTTAGCTCTGCCAGTGATGCAATCGTAGGTAGAAAGGGCCTCCTATCTAGGTCAAACACTGATTGCTGCACCCTCTCCAGTGCCAATCCGCCTCCCCTTCCAACGTCATTTACCTTTACATTTCAAGGTCCTCCGCGGGGGACACAGGACCAGGTCACTCATCCTGTCCCTCGTAAAACCACAAAGGCTTGGCTAAACCGACTCTTGTGCGTAACTCGCGCTTGTGTTCCATAGTGCCGGCTAACGTCAATAGTCGCGAAGACGCCGAGCTCTTAGATCGACTGTTGTCGTACCTTGAACCTTGCGATCTCGCCTCGCTGGCCTGCCTCAATCGCTTGATTAACGGCGAAATGCGTGCCTATTCGCGCAGAGTATTCTCAATCACCAGAGTGCTCTCCCCATTCTTCAAAGACTGCGATTCATTCAGGGAGATGCAATCGCGCACGGGGACTTTGATCTCAGGATCTACTGCTCTTCAAGTCTTTGAGAGGACAACCTACACCGATTCTGATCTGGATCTATACGTCGAGCACCGTTACGCGCTCGATGTGGTGAAGCATCTGGACCAAGAGGGTTACACATTCATTCCACGCGAAACCCAAGCACTTACAGCGGAAGAGACTTTGGAGGATACAGAAGAGCTACTTCACGCAGGCCATTACCTCGGCCAGGGCATCGCCAATGTGCTTGACTACTCTCGAGATGATAAGAAGATCCAGGTGATCGTTTCCAAACGATCACCAATCGACATCATCCTACATTTCCACTCAAGTTCGTGCGATTCGTCTTTTGAAGAATGTATCTCTGACACAAGATTCTAGCCTGTGTCATGAATATCATCTCACACAGCACGGCATATAGTCTTTTCCCCCGCCTCACTTTCGCGAAGCGCGTCTCTCGAACGTTCACATCACTAGCATCCGCGCCAAGACCGGGAACCAAGTGGACGACAGCGCGGTTGAAGTACATCAGCCGAGGGTTCAGATTCGTGCAAGCTCTCGATGGTGACCCCGGTCACGGTGTCATTGAGCGCTGGATCGGAGACGCGCGGACATGGACCATCCCACTTTCACCGGAGTTGCCCAATCTTGGAGAAGATACACTCCCCATCTGCTCGTTTCAAGAGGTATTTGATCGTTGGAACGGGAGCTCTATTGAGTACGACCTATGCGAAAGCTCAAGACTTTGCTTCGTGTACACTTCTGCCAAGCATGAACGTGCTATCCTGCGCACTGCATGGAGTATACAGTTGACCAAGCCCCGCGGATACTCGGACAACCCGTACGTGTTTTGGCTGAACATGTCTTTCCCGACCCTCTGATAGAGACTTCTACTATAGCGGCAAGCTTGACCGTTCCTTGTGCGACGCGTTGAGCATCTACCGGGCTGCAGATGCTGTTGCGAAAACAGGCCTAAACCCAGGTAGAAGGCCTTTGGGTGCGCTCACGTTTGTCACCGCCAGTCGCGGACTACGCGAATTCTCGGACTCAGACTCGGAGGGTCTCGACCTCTAGCTACATCCTGCTGGCTTTTGTATATGTAATAGGCTGCGATTGGTGTACATTATCTAACAGCTGTTATGAATCTGAACTCGCCGTTCTTGCGTCGTTCACTACCAGTCGTGGGAAAAGCTGCGGTGTTAGCCGGCCATCAACCATCTGCGCCACTCACGGTCGGTGCGGCTTGTCTCCGTCCAAGAAGCAGTCAAGAGCGCCTCTACGCAGATCGATCCGCTCACGTAGTTGATTTCAGGAAGATGGACGAGTCCGACGGATCTCAAGAGAGCCTGTATGTCAGGTCCTACGTGATATGTCGGCGAAGAATAAGCCATTGAACATAGTGCCGAACTTGAACAGATCCGACTCGAGCTTCGATAGTCAGGATGAGAACGAGGACTACGGGCTAGAAGATGTCCGAAATAACCTACAGTTCATGCGGGTGCAACCACCCGCTCCTGATACTCGATTTGAGCGCTTGTTGTGAGTACCTTTCCTCGGATTGGCAACGATGCCATCAAGTACAAGTACTGAAAGCAATCCTAGTCGAGAAGACGTTGAGCTACTAGATCGCTTGTGCTCCTACTTGTCTCCGGAAGATCTTGCAGCACTGTCCTTGGTCAATAGAAACGTCAGTGCCGAAGCACGCGCGTACGTTCGACGCGCGATAGCTATGATCGGTCGAGTGCTATCGCCTTTCTTCAACAACGTGGACGGCTTTCGCACCATGCAGGCCAAGACTGGTACACTCGTTTCGGGGTCGACAGCTCTGCAACTTCTTGACAGAACTACATATACCAACTCCGATCTTGATCTCTACGTCGACCACCGCTACGCTGGCGACGTCGTCACCTATCTCCTCGAGCAGGAGGGATACTCCTTCGAGCGTCGCGGGCACCAAGATGTCAATGCCCACCGAGCGCTCGAAAACGTCGTTCATATACAAGACGTGTATGGTCTTCCCGAACCTGTTCCCGCTATGCCCGGATATCTGGGGCGTGGGATACGCGCTGTGCTCGACTTCACCCGTGGAGACAAGAAGATACAACTGATAACGAGCAAGAAGGCGCCTCTGGATATCATCCTACTCTTTCATTCCAGTGCGTATCAGATGCCGAAGATAAACAGCCACATGATCTCTGACTCTTTACTAGCTTGTGTCATGAACGTGATCACCCACCAAAGAGCGTATTCGCTCTTCCCTCGAGCGACTCTTATCGACCGCGTGACACTGGCCATCAATACAGCCGGAGAAGGCGAGAGGTGGGACATCGCTCGTCAGAAATATGCCAATCGCGGATGGCGCGTCGTCGATCTCGGCAATGAGTCGCTCGCTCTCGAAGAATCCACCGACTTCCAGAGTATGGATCGTTGGGTAGGCGACTCAGAGACATGGACGGTGCCCCTTCTTCCCAAACTACCGCATCTGGAGGACGACTTCATGTCTATCAACGCGTTCAGGCTCGCTTATGACAGCCAGCACGGCGCGGAGATCGGTTACGACCTCTGCGAAAGTCCGCGCTTGAAGTTCTGCTATACGTCGCTCAAGGCTGAACGCACGTTGCTCATGCCTATCATTGTGTCCCTCATCAACAGGCCACATAGCGGTACAGACTTGTACGTTCCCGCTTATAGTCATGTCCGCAACATGTATGACTGACTGTCACCCAACAGCCTAGACAAGGGGTTGAGCGAAGGAATGAGGTTATTGCGCGACATCAGACTGTATAGGCCAGGCGAGAGGGTAGCATATTCGAGGAAGCATGTTTCCTTCACGCAGGCCAGCCGCTGGTATCGGTGATACCCGTATACTAGACAATGTGCATGCATCGCTTCATTCATACAAGCGCTCGCTCTTCTCTGTATCATACATTATAGTGCATCGCTAGCTACGCAAGACGTATCTTGTGATAGCGGCAACCTCTTAGGGCGTGCCGAAGATCGTACCGAACGTCGTTCCCTGATGACTGGAGGATTGAAGTCAGCATTGAAGACAGGGCCATCTCTGCAATCTGCTCTTACCCGAAGTTCGAGTTCCCAGGGTCGTAGAACGTACTAACTTGCATTCAGCCTCTTATCTGCAGGAAGAGAGGACAAGCGCGCGTACATATATCCTCGATCACCCGAGATGCCGAGCTTCTCCTTGAAAAAGTCGAAGAATTCCTTGCTATACTTCTCGTTCTTCTCCGGACTCAGGTTACCCAAGGTACTCTGAGAGAAGGTATGATCACATCAGTATAGTGGCTTACAGGATACGCGACATGCACTCACGACCACGAGCAGGAAGGCTGGGTCAAACGTGCCCTGGAAGGTGAGGAACTCATTGTAGTCGTAGGCGACGGAGATGTAGTTTTCAGGCTTTCCGAGAATCTGAGCTCCGGTCTATAGGTCACGAAAGATAGCAATCCGTGTCAGAGGTGGCCACGGGCGAGTACAAACGGGCAGCGCATTTACCTTAGAGAACTCGAGTGAGAACGACTTGACGTCGTCGACCTGGACCAGGCTCGCTCAGGGCAAGCGCCGATAGTAGTGACATCACGGGAAAGCGGACCTTCACGTTGGTCTTGAGCACAAGGGATGGCATGGTGGTGGTCTGAGAGCAAGTGCGCAATCCTGCACAATCGATGCGCGGCGGAAGGCCGAGCTCGACCGCGGCTCCGCCCATGTTCTCATCCCGAACGCGGTCACGGGGGTTCTTCATGAGTACTAGTGCGGTCCCGCGCGCTCACGCCGGTTGATACACTCAGACGAGCAAAATCGTCGTTCATAACGTTACAACAAATAACACGTACACTGCTACAGACAGGTGAGACAATACGGCGTTCTCGACCCCTTCTCCCGCGTGCATAGGGCACAGGTCGTCAAGGCACGCTCTGAAGGCGTCTTTCGGTATACAAGCTGGACTATGGCCGCAACATTTACCTGGAGAACGTATTGTCAGCAGGATCATCAGGCGCCAGAAGATTGGCACATACGTGTAAGTGCAGACGAATCCAAGGGAGCGTGTCGCCATCTTCTCCGATTCAACGCCGGCGATCAAGAAACTGCGTATAGTCGGGACCTCCCACCGAGGGCCCGGACTCGTTTTGACTTCTACACCCTCCCATCCGCGACCTTCGACCCCGCCCGGCGCGCTCCAACCGACGCGTCCCCCGGGCGAGGCTCCGCAATGGAGCCCGCACAACCGTCAGAGGTCCTCGTCATCCGAGAAGAACTCGTCTTCCTCTTCATCGACGCTCGTCAAGTTTGAGAAGTCGACCTTGTACCGGAGCAGACCACCGATACCACCGAAGCCCTTGACGAACTGTGCTCCCTCTTGCGAGCGATTCGTGACGAACTCGAGGTTGGCGCCGAACTCCTTGTACTTGTCCGCGAACCACTCCAGGAGCGATTGAGGTTCTTGCGCCTGCTCCATCTCGAGACCGGTGGACTTGTCCATGAACTTTTCGCGGTCCTTCTCCTGCTCCTTGTTGGCGAAGACGATGATCTCCTCTGCGAATACGTCAGGACACAGTTCCAATGGAAGTGAGCGAAAGAGACATACCGCCCGCGCCGTTACGAAGGACGTAGCGCGTGATATCGAGGTTCTCCCAGACGATCAGCGTCTCGACAGCGCCGAGTTCCAATGCCTTGAGTGTATCCTCGATACCGTAGCAGTACTTCCCAGAGTCCTGGCTGATCTCGTCGAAGTACTTCTGGATAAGCTTCTTCTCCTGGACGAACTTGACATTCGCAAGCGACTCAGAGGCAAGCTCGATAGCCTGAGATGGTATGTCAGACGGGTAAACAGGAGGGTGACTGAAGTACGAACCTGGTTGAAACCGTTCTCGCCACCATAGCTGACGTCAACGACCTTGATGACCTTCGCCGCCAATCGCCCATCAAACATATCACTCTGGCTCAGCTCCGTCTTAAAGTCGGCCGAACCGGCGAGTACGAGACCCGTGACATTGACCTTATCGTTCGTGATGAAGTGCTGGACGGCAAGCTCGGCGACTTTGCGAATGTAGTTGTGGCGCTTCTCGTCACGCAGACGAGAGAAACGCAGCGCGGACTGACCACCACGGCCGTGCTTCTTCGGCAAGTCGACGGTAAACTTGTGGATGACTTCGCGCGTGTTGCCAGCGAGGGTGCCGAACAAGGTACCGTTACCGTCCATGACGATGAAGCCGAAGCGGGAGTCCGACTCGAGCAACTCGGAAAGTGCTTCCGTGTGGAATTTGTTGTCGCAAAGATACAGTGATCTAGGAAGCTATCAGAACAGGCGGGCAGAGATTGGTTGAAATGGACAGACGTGTTAATCGGCTTGTGCGGCTCGAAGTCAAAGGAAACCTTCTTCTCCTTGCCTTCATCCGTGAGAATTGTGCCGACGAAGAGAACGAGGCCGTTTGGTGGTACGCGGTTGTAGAGCTTGAGACGCTGCTGCGTACTTGTGATCGCCGCAAGTACGGACAATCGGTTGACACGAGATTTGATGTTGGATGCGGTACCGTATTCCTGCGTTAACATGGCTGATGCACGCGAGATTTGATCCTGAAGAGATGGTCAGCCGCCGATCGCCACAGCAGATCGCCAGTTCAGAAGCCCAAGATGGCAAAGCCCACGCCCAATCCGTCATCTTATAACATCTGCGTATCATTTCGAAGAAGAATTCGGAAGCTCACCTTTGGTGGGATGATAAGACTGATCATAGATGTGCCAGCACTGTGGGGTTCGTTAGCACGCGAACATTGTAATGAACATAGAATAAATGATAAAGCGGTAGATCGCATTTCGCTACGCGTGTAGCAGGGAAGCACTCTGATGCATCCCAGAATGCCACTCACGCCAGCGCGGATCCACGCAGAGATGACAGGTGCTCACCCTCTGGCCGCGTCAAGGCTCTTGATGAGCTTCTTGACCTTCCACATCTGGATATTCTGCTCCGCCTGATCTTGCGACATCTTGGATGCCTTCTAAGAGCACAAGCTCCCCGATATAAGAAGGAAAGAGCGATGAAACGAGGGCGCGGGTGCGACGATGAAGGAGGGAGACAAGCGAAGTTTTTGATCGTGAGTGTTCTCCAGGTCGAGTGACGCGCGCCCCTGCATGCGTCCCCCGCGCCGCTCTTCCGCACCCACCACCACCGCCTCATCCGTTTAGGGTAGCTTCTGTTCCACGACCACCAACATGTCTACCCTGAAACGCAAGGCGAATGATATTCCTGCATCTGACTCTGAGCGACTCAAGCGTGCGCGAGTAGAAAGCGATGAGACCAGAACATTGACTGCTGCTCCGCTTCAGGCGGCAAAGACTGCGGTTGATTCTGGGAAGAACCAGAATAAAAATATGGCGCCTGCAGTCAAGAGGAGGAAACTGGCTCCTCCGCGTCCATATCCGACGGTTCCTGCGTCCGTGAACGCCACCGGACCTCGTTCAACGCATCACGAGGGAAAGAACTATATCGCTGTCACACGAAAGACTAAGCTCGCCGCATACTTGCGAAGATGCAAGGATCTTGTAATCAAAGACGGGTCCGTAGCTTGAGTTACGGGACTGATAGAAGCAATGTGCTGACTATTGGCGTAGGTACAAGTCACTACACCTCAACGCTCTCGGTGCCGCTATACCACATCTGACTCTGCTTGCGACGTCGCTGCCGAGCGTACTGCCATACCCTCCAGACGAATTGCGGATGGACATTCTCACTGGCACGGTCACAGTTCAAGACGAGATCATCCCGGACGATGAAGACGAGGACATCGGCTACGAGAAGCGCGAGAAATCTACGCTCAGTGTCGTCCTCACCATTGGAGACGGTGTTGACGAGCCTGTTGCCGGTGGAGCAAACTGGGGTCCGCGGGGCAAGCGGCGTAGGAAGGGGCTTGCTCAACAGTCGAAGATATCGGACAACGCAGCGCGTGCGGGCGAGGCAGTTATGGATACCACCTGATGCATCTCACCTACTTTCATCCTGTGTCTGTCGTCAGACTTCGCATGTTCAGATGTTGTCTTTTTCACGCTACTGTACATTATATCGCGTTATCTGTACGCTTACGCCTTTGCCTTCGGCTCCAGACCCATGGCCTCCAGAGCCACTTTGATATCCTCCACTATGGTCTCCCTCATGTCCACTGGTCTGGGGTTCCACCCCAAGGCATGAGCGCGATCTCCGCGTATACGCATGTCCGCACCGAATACGCGTGCCCTCCTGGATGATTCGTCAACTTCCGCTCGCCACACAATCTATCGAGATATCGTACCCGTCAACTTGAGCTCTTGGTATACTCTCCACTTTGGCAGTAGGCAACAGACCCAGGCGGGTGAGCTCCGTCCCATACACCTCCGCGACGGTTTTGAACGGGATCTCCGTGCTGTCACCGATGTAATAACGGGCATAGGAGCTATCGTTCGCCTGTTCCCCAGATACGATCACCTCCAGCAGGCGCAGATACAGGTCCACCAGATCGTCAATGTGCACCTGACCTCCGTCAGTTAGCGTAGATCTCTATGTGTGCATGGGTATACGCACGTAGTTGTACCTGCTGGTGCCCTCGGCAGCAATTAGAGGTCGCTTTGCCGCGGTGAAGTACTGGATCAACATCTTGACGAAGATAGACGGGACTTTCACGGGGCCTGAACCAGTCCCCACAACAGCTGCTGGGCACAAGGTGTAGTTCGTCACATAACCTTCTTCTCCTGCTTTGAGCACCCTATGGAGCATCCGTTCGTGAGTCTTCATGGCCTCGAAAGGGTCGATATAGGCTTACCTTGTGTCGACAGGTCCGTGAAGGGCATCCGGGTCTATGTTCTTCATGTCCTCCTCGCTGTTATCCTATACAGACAACCAGGGTCAAGCTTCAGACAACAAACAGAGTATACTCCACTCGGAGGCTTGTACTCACGTTCCAGTATGAACCATCCACCGCGTTCCCATCGGCGCTCAGGTCGTTGAACAGCATCGCGCCGCTCGTATGCAGGAACACGCCCTTCGGCTTCCCATCCTCCACTTTCTTCTTCATCGCGCCTAGAATAGACTCGCAGAGCTTCACATCGTCGCAATCCGCGACATTGATGGTCAACTCCGCCTTGTACACCTCCTCCGCGATGACCTGATACTGGTCTTTGCTCGCCAAAGGCTGTACGACCTCGACGCCCGTCGCACGTACAGCGTCGACATGTTGCTCTTTCCGCACGAGCGCGGTGATAGGCCAATCGGGAAAACGCTCTCTGATCTTCACGAGCACAGATCCTATCGATAGGAGATGCCAGAGATGGCAACGGGCTGAGCAATCCATTCATCTTTGCGCAGGTCCTTAGGGAACGTACCTCCCACATATCCGGTGGCGCCGATGAAGAATACCGATGGCATGACGGTTCAAGTGCGTTTAAGCGTAGACAGGCGGGTATCAAAAGTAAGCGTGTAAGGAGAAGTCTGCACACGATCGTGTTTGGGATCTGAGGGGGTTATAACCGCCGGGTTTGCTTCGGGCATGGCTTGAGCCGTTGGATGACCAACCTCAACCGCACCCTGCAGTTACCGTCAGATACGATGTTTGCTTGAAAAGCCGATTGGTCATGTCCGGACGAGAGATGCCCATGACGCTGTGAATGCAGTGGACGGGCAATACAATGGAGTGAGCGAAACGGAGGGTGCTCTCCGCTCGAAAGGTGTCGCATCAGAAGCACTTCTGGAAGACAGCATCGAACGAAAGTAGTCTCTCCATTATGCCATCTAATTGATACAGGCTTGCGATATAGTAGAGATGGGTATGTTGCAAGTGCAGCCCGCAATAGTGAATCAGAACTTTCTCGTGTAAACACCCAATCCTTGCACCTGTCCGGATGCTACCGGGAAGTCAGCCCGAAGTGCATCGGTGGAAAACGGATATGTACTCACTGAAAGGTACGGTACCATTGGTCAGCGAAGAGAGGTCGACCAAAGATGTCAGTGTCGGTTCTGGCTTGCTGTCAAGATCCCACACTCCGATCTCCAGGGTGTTGGCCAGAAGCGAGTAGAAGAGGCTGCAGCACGCGTCAGACATGCAACGACGAGGACATAGATCGCACTCACTCCTTTCCATCAACGTTGACAACCACCGAGTCTATGGCGCCGCTCATCTCCGGGACAGTGAAGTTCTGCGAAAGATGGTTCATCAAGACTGTCCAGAGATCGGTAGAGCAGTGAGTGTACGCACGTTCACCAATGTGCCCTTGAGGTCTTCATCGAACTTCACCTCATGCACCAGGCTTCCAACTGAGTCTATGGCGTAGTAGCTGTTACGAACCGGGCTGTATGTGCTCCAGCAGGTCGCCATCTGTCCCGTGATGTTGACAGCTGTGGTGCGTGGACTGCTGCTGACGCGGTCGATGCCTTCGCTGAAGTCCAGAACATCGAAGCCGATCGCGAAGTCGACGGCCATGAACGCGTTGGCCCCCTTCACTGCACTCGCGCGTCAGCGCGTAGCTCACATGGAAGTATAGATGAGGGAGACTGGCCTGGTGTTAAGGAGAAGGGTAAGCCTGCGCCTTCAGGAGTATCAATGCGCGTGTAGTTGGCGGCGAGCTCGCCCTTCTTGGTAGATGGCCACACGGCAAAGAACCCAGGATCCTCCATCGTGCCCTTCACTGCAACGAGCAGGTTCTTCTGATCTTGCGTCCAGACAAGCTGCGAGCCGGTGTTGAAGGGCCCTGTAGCAGGTACCGTCTGGTTTTGGAGGCCAAGGTCGCGGACGGAGTCCTTTTGCAGTTTGAGACCGTGCTTGGTTACGTCGAAACATCTAGACACGAGGTCAGGATGCTGCACATGCGCAAGGAATGGGCAAAAGACGTACGCCACGCCGTTGTTGGTACCCGTATTGAGCACGCACAGCTCGTCACCCTTGTCGTTGAACGTCACGGAGTTCGGGAAGTCACCCTCTGTGGAAACGGGCTTCCCGAGCATAGTCAGGTGGGTCGGGTTGAAGGGATCGATGCTGAAGAGAACGGCTGTATTGTTGGCGGGCTGCACGTGAAGAATGAAGTTAGGCGACTATGACATGTCCAAGGCGGTGGAGCTCACGTTAACGGTGGCGAGCAGGTTCTTCTCTTCGTATACCTGAAGAATACCTTGCGAGAATGTTCCATCAGCGCCGGCAAGTCCTAGCCCATGAATGCCTACACCGCCGGCAGAAGTCGAGCGGGCGTCGGTCTGAAACGTCCTGTGAGTACTTCGTGCTTCGCAAGACGCGGACATGAACGCACAAGGTTCCCATCGGCAGTGACACCTGCCGAAACGACACGGTTCCCAGTAGCATCGTTGGTGATGACTACAAGCCCTATTCAGTTGGTGAAAATGAAGAGTGATGTCGACTGACGGACAGTATATGGTATGCTTGGGGGACTTGTAGCCCCATCGTTCGACGAGCGCCTCGGACGCCCGCGCGAAAGCAGCAAACGCAAGAACAGCGACCGTTGACGACTTCATCTCAACGCAGGCGAGCCCACTGCATACCGGTATGACCTCCGCACTTTTATACGTGCACCGGAGTCAGGCGCCCATTCCGCCAAACCCAGTGCTGTACGGTGTTCATCACCGAGGTAGAAGCAGCATCCCGTAAGTTAGATGCGCGCCCGACGGTGATTTGTTCACTTCTCGCTTCAGCTCCCGACGACCATCTCTGTATGACAGAAGGTTTGGAGTGGGAATAGCCGTGGACGTCCGCTGCCCGAAAATAGAGCGCGTATGCGGGTCCTGGCACCCTACACACTGCAGCTTGTCCAGGACATCAGTCGCGGCACAGGTCATAGGATGAAGTGGCAGCACCCATGGATACCTATTCTAGAGCTCGATGCTGTAGGTACACGCGCCATACGAGTCTTCACTACAGTCGTTGAGAACCTGACTGGAGCGCTACAACCGAGGAAAGGATTGGTCAACACACGTGACCGCCATTGTTAAGCACTCTTGGGCTTACCAATGTCCAGTAGATCAAAGCGCAGAGATAGCACCAACCGGTTGTTAGAGCCCGGCGTCTCAGCTTGAAGCCAACCAACGCTCACGTGTACCGAGAATCATCACGAAGAGCGCCGTGAGTTGGTACCATCTGCAATCAACAACACCTGATGCTTTACCTCTCGGGGCAGACGACTGCAAGCCTGTCTTTCGATCTGAACGTATGGAACACATCTCGTAAGTATATCAGACTAAGGAATGATGGTGATCAGAGATGGCAGTAGTGGGGTCAGACTGAATGCGTCGTATGGTGTTATGCCCAGCCATGCTCATCCATCAACTCTGGTATAACGCCAGGCCTTGCGTGAGGTTTGGAGCTTAAAGCGCCAGACGTCAGAAAGTGAAGACAAGCCAGTTAATGGATACGTACTGATCGATATCCCGTCTTGTTCCACCACCGACAAGTCAAGGAACGTTTGTTCAATCAGTCCGCCGTCGTCATCAAGTCTCCATGCGCCGATCTGAAGACTGCCGGCCAGCAGCGTGTATAAGTAGCTGGGCATGTATAAGCTTCCTATACCATTGTGAAAGAGATGTCTGCTGACCTGCGGTTACCCGTCTCCACAACAACGGTATCGAGCGGTCCCAGACTTGCGTTGAAGGACTGAAATGAATGTATTTCAGTTGAAGTAGAGGGGCACGAGCTGGCCCGTATACGTACAGAGACGATTGACGTTGTAAGATTGGCGTCGACTACGAACTCTGTGATTTCATTCTGCACGACGTCCACGGAGTAGTACCTGTCAACAGCCGGACTGTACGCGCTCCAACACGAAGCTACTTGGCCTTCGATGGGGATCGCGACTGTCCTAGAGCTCTTATTGACGCCCTGCAAGCCGTCGCTGAAGTCGAAAATGTCCACTCCAATGTCGAAATCGGTAGCAAAGAAGGCATTCGCGCCTTGGATCGTCATGAGTGAGAAAGGGGAACCGCCACCAGATGGGGTGGGAATCTGGGTGTAGTTCTGGGCCAGACATCCTTCCTCGTCCACGGGCCAGGCGGCAAGAAAGCCAGGCCGGGTATCTTCGAAGAACCTCTTGACGGTGACTACAATGTTCCTCTCATCTTCTGTAAAGGCAATTTGTGAAGTGACGCCAAAGGGTCCCGTAGCCGGCGTTGTTTGATTGAGTCCCAGTTCTCGGAAAGAGTCCGGTTGTGCGATCAAACCATGCTTTGTCACATTGAAGGAGCTGCAAGCAACAAATCAGTGATGGACCCCACAAAAACTTGAGTTTTCAACGCACGTAACGCCGTTGAGCTCGCCCGAGTTGAGTACATATAGTCGATCCCCCGCGCGGTTGAACACCACCGAATTGGGGAAGGTTCCGCCAGAAAGGACGGGATTGCCCAGCATAGTAAGGTTTCCAGGTTCCTCTGGATCGATTTTGAACAGAACAACGGTATGATTGACAGTCTGACATATCTGGTGAGGCGGTGTAACGCGCACAGACATATAACTCACATTCACGGTCGCAAGTAACCCCTTCTCCTGGTGCACCTGTACAATTCCTTGCGAAAATGTGGCATCCGCCTGATCGGGTAAGATTGGGCCTGCAGGATCTATGAGTCCGTGTACTCCTAACCCGCCGACAGTAGTTGATCCCGTGTAGTTCTACGAGGAAGACGTTGGGAGAGAGTATCCAGCTCGACTGAGAGAAATCATACCAGATTTCCCTCGGCATCGACGCTGACGGCTACCACGTTATTGCCTTGAGGGTCGTTGGTGATGACTAGTAGACCTGTGAGTATATACGTCATTCAAACGGGAGATCTCAATGCTCACAGAAAAGAGTATTGGAACTCGGGGACTCCGATGACTTCGAGGCAGACGCAGAGCCAAAGCCACTGGCAAGCAATACGGTGAACACGATCGAGGCGAGTACGGTCAGATACATCTGGACGCTGGGATTGGTGAGTGCACGGCTGCTGACAAGGCAGGCTTTTAAACCCTTCAGAGGCGCCAGCCACTGATGTATGCTGACCGTTGCCGCCAGGTGGCAAGTGACCTCTGCTAGGTTTGGGTGTCCGCAACATGTAACAACAGCGTCTCGATAGTTCCGTGATGCGGGACTCGACGTGACGATACCTTCGGGGCTAAGACGCAGCCTAACCGGGACACTTGAAGTTCGAAGGGTCCCATCGAAGGCACAATGCTGTCCGAGGGGAGACAGAACATGATGTATTATTGAGCCAGTGAACGGATTGTGGATCGTTGTGAGCCAGAGACGGTCGAACTTGGCCACGGTGTAATGTCCAAGTGTCGATGCGGGGAGACGGGACGCGCATGTACGTGGTTGAACTCGTTTCCAAATTTGAAGACGCCGACGCTGTATAGGCGCACTCTCGCCCTTAGTGGGGTAAGAGATTGTATTAGCGGACGAGTGAGTTCTCAACCTCCGGACGTGATGGCAGTGACGAGGGAAGCAAACATGTCGCGACCATGAATCTCAGAGCCGGCGGAACCTCCCGGCCCGGGTCTTTCTCACGGCCCGAAGGGCGCCTTTCCCCAACTCGCCGAGCCAGCGCCGATAAATTTATATTCCCAATTAATAAAGAGTATCTATGATACAGTGATCCAAGGGTTCGAAAGAAGGTCGGCTCTAGAATGCAGAAAATCCACTCTGATAATATGCTAAACCTTGAGTATAGTTCGCCGCTGCGAGTCCGATGTTCAGTGAATCGTATAGCTCTTGAGCGCGGACTCGACTTACTGAGAGTAGCTCCATCCTGAAGGATGACCGAAAGATCCAGGGATGACTGTCGGACGGGCTGATCGACCCCATCTAACCTCCAGACGCCAATCTGGAGGCTTTGCGACAGTAGTGTGTAAAGATAACTACAAGCGTGAGCGTGAGCTCATCGGATGTGCAAGGAAAGAGGGAAATGTACCTTTGCAGACCGATAGTGATTGCCAGAGAGTCAATAGGTCCAGATTCGGCGGTGAAGTTCTGTGCAAGCTCGTCAGTCAGAGTGCGCAGACAATACGGCAAAACGTACTGAGCCGACGGTGACCGTAAGATTAGAGTCGATCTCAACTGGCGTGATTACATTGGCATTGACGTCTATGACGTAGTATCTGTCGAGTGTGGAACTGTACGTAGTCCAGCATGCGGCGTGTTGGCCAACAATCGGTACTGCGGCGGTTCGAGGGCTTGAGGCAACGCTATCGATGCCCTCACTAAAGTCGAAGACATCCATCCCCATAGCCAAGTCTGCTGCAAGATATGCGTTGACGCCAGCGACGGGGGTGAGTGAGAATGGGAATCCGCCATTTGTTGGAGTTGCGATCCGAGTGAAGTTCGCAGCGACGTTGCCCTGATCATCGATTGGCCAGACAGCAAGGAAACCGGTACTCGGGTCTTCCAGTTGTCCCTTGACAGCCACAAGAATTCCGGTCTCGTCCTGAGTATAGAGGATTTGGGATGCCGAACCGAAGGGACCGGTCGATGGGGTAGTTTGATTGAGCCCAAGCGATCGGAACGAGTCGGTTTGGGGCTGCAAGCCGTCCTGGCTCACCGCAAAGCAGCTGAACGAATCATCAGCTGGATTGAGAGCACATAATGCAGTAGTCGCGTACGCTATCCCATTAGTGGTACCCGTGTTCAGCACCCAGAGACGATCGCCGGCTTCGTTGAAGATTAATGAGTTCGGGGAGGTGCCGCCTGAGGGCACTGGTTCTCCAAGCATTGTAAGACGGCCGGGCTGCATGGGATCGATCGCGAAGAGAACGACGGTATGATTTGCGGTCTGCATCGGGATATAAGCCATCCTTCGTATCGAGAAGTGGATACCGCAGGCTTACGTTGACAGTAGCAAGCAGGTTGCTGCGCTGGTGGACTTGCACTATACCTTGCGAAAAGGTGGCGTCGGCTTCAAGAGGAGCCACCGGTCCCGCTGGGTCGACTTGTCCATGGACCCCGGAACCCCCAGCAGCAGTTATTCCCGCGTAGAACTGTAGACAACATGTTCATTGAGAAGGTCATCTATGAAACGCAGGTTACGCACTAGGTTTCCATCATCGTCAATGTTGGCTGCGACAACGTAGTTTCCTTGAGGATCGTTCGTAATGACTGGACGATAACGTCAACAACGCCGCAGTGCGCACAGGTATGAGTAAATTCTCACAGTAAAGAGTGTCGAAAGCAACCACCCGCGGATAGACAGGATGCGCTGTCGCCCGGGCGGCCAGCGCCACGATCATAAGAAGAAAGAAAATCATTAAATGAGGGGTCGTAAAGGGAGTGAGTGGAGGATCTGGGGAAGTATCATACCGCCTTTAGTAGGCGTCTCCACCATTCAAACGGCTTCATCCCCGGAGGGACACTGCGATGTGCTGTATCAGACAGCATAGGATAGGCTATGCACCTCCTCCAATGATCATTGAGTGTCAACCAGAAACGCGCCCAATCCTCGCAGAGATCACTGACGCTGACGGTGGCTGACTGCGTTAGGGAAACGAATCAGACTGCGAACGGATTATCTGAACAGGGAGTTTGATGCTGTATAACCGGCGTTTCACGCTTGCTCTGGCGCCGTCTCCATAATGGTACGTGCGGTCGGGGCAGAGAGCAGGCTGGTCCCAACGACGAGCTATCTTTCTGGCGCTGGAGAGTTACAATGTGAAAGCGGCCACTCGATCTACAGGGCAGAGAGTCAGGAAGGAAGTACCTAAAGGAGCCGCGAATCCGCGACGTCGGGAATATCGGGGGCCAGATAAGCGCTCGTGTGCGAACAGCGTAGCGCGCTTGTATAGGAAATCAGTGATACCTGTATGGGGCATGTTAAAGCCGCGTTTAGAGAGTGCAGACGTCCGATTGGAGCGGATTGGGTTGTTTCAAGTCCACTATTGGTCTCCTCGAAGAGAGCGGACTTTCTGACAGCATACAAGTTCAGGCGTACAAAACATGGTGGGAGGGGTGATGGAACCGACGTCCAAGCACTCCTGCGGATCGAAGCTAATGACCAACCAAAGTTGCTCGGTAGATTCGACCAAATGCATCTATGGTAGAGGCACAGGTACGCATAGACATCGAACACCGGGCGATGAAACTTTGATGAAGCGGGAACGTCGTGGACGGAGAAGAAAGTCTCTTTTAATTCCAAGCGCGCGGCAATCCGGCACCCGGCAAAGTCCGAGAATTCGCACGAGCTTAGGCTCGCGCTGTAATTAATGCAGAGGGTGACACAGTAGATACGAGTGCAACACCGGTAAGTAGTCATTAGCAGAACAGAAGCTCCCTGGATCGCCTCATCTCCTAGGTGTCTGAGTCAAGGATATTCATTCGGAGCCGCTGTAGACGGCCAAGCCTTGAGCGAGATTAGGTGCTGGGGAATAGTGTCAAGCATGCAAACTATACGTCTGGTGAGAGTAGACGTACAGAGAGGTATTCCATATTGGCTGAAGTCTAAGAAAGTCTTCTGAACAGGAGACTTGGCGCCATCCAATCGCCAGGTGGCGATCTGCAGATCGCTGGCCAGAAGCGTATAGAGATAACTGAACGTGTCGTGCCAATCAGCGAATGAATGATGCATCATATAGAGTTGACATACTTGTGACCACCAATAGAAACAGCAAGGCTATCGACAGGGCCCGACTTTGCGGGAGCGGTGAAGTTCTGCGGGCTATAATCAGCACTGGGAGGAGAAGAGCGAAAGACATCGGAGCACGCACGGATACGACGGAGGGTCTAAGGTCCTCGTCGATCTTGACCTCGGTGATGGCGGCTGTCCCCACGTCGATGACATAGTACCGGTCGAGAGCAGAGCTGTACGCGCTCCAGCATGCCGCCATCTGGCCCTCGATGGTCACGCCAACAGTCCGAGGGCTCTTGCTGATGTTGTCAACTCCGCGGCTGAAGTCGAACACGTCAAACCCGACCGAGAAGTCAGCCGAGAGGAAGGCGTCGGCGTCGCGTATCGGGGTCAATGAGAACGGGTACGAGAAGGAGTGTCCGGTGTTGGACGGGGTTGATACGCGAGTGAAGCGCGACGCCGGGCGACCGTAGGTGTCTAGAGGCCAGACGGCGAGGAAGCCGGGCTTTCCCATCGCTCCTTTCACAGCAACGACGAGATTCTTCTCATCCCTCGTGTAGGCGATCTGCGATGCTGTACCGAAAGGGCCTGTGGCAGGCGTGGTCTGGTTGATCCCGAGGTGGCGAACAGAATCAGACTCTGCATGCAGGCCATCTCGAGCCACGGTGAAGCAGCTAAGTTGTGCGTCAGTGATGGAGCATAGTGAGATTTTGAAGGGAACGCACGCAATACCGTTCTCATATCCCGTGTTCAGAACACAGAGGCGATCCCCAGCGCTATTGAACACCAGGGAGTTGGGAGTCGTGCCACCGGAGGCAACGGGCTTGCCCAGCATCTTGAGTTTGCCGGGTTCGTTGGCGTTGATGGTGAAGAGGGCCACGGTACTGTTTGCGGTCTGTGCCATTGTTAGCTAAGTGAGAAACTGGTGAAGGAGCAAGCGCTCACGTTCACTGTAGCAAGCAGTCCCTTCTGTTGGTGGACCTGTACGATTCCTTGCGAAAACGTGGCATCCGCGCCGTTGCCGCCCAAGCCATGCACACCTACGCCACCAGCGGGAGTGGCGCCCGCATAGGTCTATAATCATATTAGCTGAGGCTCATACGATGGAGAGAGGAAAACTTCGACATACAAGTTCACCATTATGATCGACGCTGGCAGCGACGACGTTGTTTCCTCGCGGGTCGTTGGTGATGACTGCAACACCTGAGTACATGAAGTGGCAAAAGTAAGGTGCAAGCTTACAGTAGAGGGTTTTGGAGTGTGCGTCTGACCGCTTCTCCTTGATTGAAGAGTCGGCTGCAGCGAAAGACAGAACGCATAACGCGACCGTGGAGAACAGAGCAGAGCGCATTATTGTGCAGTCGGGGATCGACGACGCCTTCGGATGGCTCGTCCAAACATCCTTTTATCAATGTGCGGGTAGCGTTGAAACCGGGGCCATGTTCGCTCCCGTGTCGCTCACATGTTGAGTTCTTCGTGGAGAGCAACAAGTCATGACAAGACTGCAGCCGTACTAGTTCAGCTGACTGACGACTCCAAGGCAGCAGGTCCACACCACGGGGAACAGTACCCGCCGAGGGCTGTATACAGGTACTAGCGAACGCGTCTTAAGAAAACCTGAGACGAAAGCAAGCGGAGAAGGTCTTCATCTCGTCCGTTTCTTCTGTTCTGGAAGTAAGGTAGATGCCATTGTATACGGGCGCGCTGATGTATGAGCATGAAGTGGCATGAGCATGTATAAGCCGCACGTGAGGTTCGCTGTCAGAACTGCATTGAACATGAACACAAAGTCGTAAGATGCCTTCGTTGCTGACTAGCTCGAGTCCGGTCTTCAAACCATATCGCCATATGCATACGTCCGTAGGCGACAATGCGGTCCGAGCGGACTAAGCTGCGTACATTTGCACTCGGCCGGGTTTGGCGGGATCATCGTGGTGTGAAGTCAATGTTGGATTTCGACGCGTGCGGGCCGCGGCGGTTGATGCGCGGTCGTCGGGGTGAGGACCGAGATGCCCGCAAGCAAGATCGAGTCGTGCGATTGTTCGTCCAGTGAGTTGCCAGCGAGTATACATAGTACTACATACATGTCGGGTTGTACAACTAGTCCATTCCTGCGATGTCCACGAAGGAGCCGTCTTCACACAGTATTAATTCTTACCGGAGTCCGCATTAGCCGGCCGGTTGACCTTCATATGCTTCTGCGCCACACTCTTCACGGACTTCTTCACCACGCGCTTTACGATAGCGCGTCGACCCATCCCAGCTACATCGACATACACTAGCACGACGTTCCGCGCGGTGCCCGTGGCCATACGTGCGTTTTCGCCAGCGTCCTGGCCGTGCTTGTGCGCTACAGCTGCGACAATCGCGTTGCTGCCGCCCTCGACGAGGCGAGTCGCGTTTGTGTCGATGGACGCGAGAACCAAGGCGGCGGACAGTGCGATGCGCGCCTTCATCGACGGACCTTTCGTCTTGCCGGGCACCTCCGCGGGATGAGTGATTGACGGTACAGACGTAGACGAACCAGAGACCGACACGTCTGGCCGCGGTGAAAGTTTGCGCGGAGGAAGTGGCGGTTTCTCATCTCGTGCAGGCGACAAGGGGTGCTTGTCATCGGCAGAGTATGGAGGTGGAGCGGGCGAGACCGAACGACGGGGCGGCAGTGGCGGTTTGCTGTCTATTGGCGAAGGGGCCAACGTCGGAGGCGGCGGTACAGCTCTTCCCTTCCCTTTCGTGTTGTCGTACCGGACCAAACGGTCGATGGCCTTGTCGATTAGCCCAATCGTCTTATTACTGAGCTTCGCGGCCTGACCGCTATAACCATGGACACGTGTCAAGTGTTGGCGGGTCTTCGGCGATCGCAGCATCAAGAGGGTTCGGGAAGGAGGGGGGACATCCACTGAAGCACCGCCAGGGGATGCATGCGGAGACGGCGTCGAGTGCTTGATGTATAATTGGGATGCAGCCGTCATGGCACCGTTGAGCATAGTCGTAGCCCCAGAGATAACGCGGCTAGAGCACATTTCAGTACCCCTCAGCGTAGCATAACAGTTTGAGAATCACATACGTCGCGACCATCGCTCCGTTGATCATCCACCCTCTGTCTTCCTCCGGGATGGCGCGTACCATGACCTCAGCCTCTGTAAGATCATCGACCCCTTCTGGGAGTTCAACGACCACAGGGTCGGTCTCGTGGCCCTTCGCATACAACGTCGGATCCTCGTGAATATGCACATTGCGATCAAGTGCACCGACGACTTCGTTGTTATCCTCATTCACGAGGATGAAGCGCCCGCGGAGGTCCTCATCTGGCGCAGGCTTCTCCAGGGTAAAGTTGGCATCATCAATGGAAGCAATGGCCGTATCCTGAGCAGCGAAGCCGCCGTATTCGGATAAGATTCCATGGAACGTCTCCAGATCGTCTGCGGCTGCCCCGCCTTGCCCCGATGGTAGCACGAGAGTGAGATCGCGACCTTCGACTCCTCGCAACACGTAGCGCTGCTCCCCCGATGGTAGCGATGATGTCTGCACTGCATGAGATGGGTCCAGGACAGTCTCATATGACCCTATGCGTATTACGAGTAGAACGTCAGGAGCCGCCGCATCCTTCGCCTGTCGGTCAGGGAAGGTCACATATTCGAGCGCAAGGTCACCAGAGACCGGGCCGTCAGGCGTGTTCAACGTCGCATGCGGTATCGTGAGCAGTATATACGCCTCGAATTCACGGTGGGCGGAAGACATGGTGGTTAAGATACAAGATGCAGTAGTTTGATTGTGCAGACTGGGAGACCGTTGAGCGCATGGTGGACCACCGTGGAGTTGCCTTGGCGGTCCAAGTTCGCAACTGGTGACGCGCGGCGATGCCGCAACTTCTGCCCACGGCGGGAGGTCTTTGCACCGCAGCCACCATGCTTCCTCACAAAGCTCGTAATGATCCAAAAATGATTCATACCTCGAAATTGACCCATTCTACGCTTCCAAGGGCCACGACGTGATCAATGAATTTCCTTGCGAATTAGTCAAAGAGCTCGCTATTCGCTTATGTATTGGGCGTATATATACTCTTGTGACATTTCATCAACGATGTCTGCCTACTACACGCGACGAGACCGGGTGCTTTCGTTCGATACGAGCCTTTGTACGGATAGCCCAAGATCGTGCTGTCTCCTGAGCTTCTCTCGGTCCCATGCCTGGCTTTGCGCATTGCGCCGCCGGATTCGCGCCGCCTCCACTCGTAGCTCTGCGTCGTCCTCCTTCGTAGCACAGAAGCGGAACTCGTCGCCGGCTTCTACGCGGTGCCGAGCAATATGCCAGGCTGCGAGATCGTCCCGTTTGGGAGCGCGGAACGTGCTTCCGACTGGCTGGCCGTCGCCACCACAGCCCGGACAGCGTGAACCGAGGCGCTTCCACCATAGATCTGGGTTCACAGCCTTAAGCTTCTCCGTAATGGCCTCGTCTGGTCGCTCTCCGCGCGAGAGTTGCCCGGATATTGCAGATTCCTCCTTCAGTACCCTTCGATACTCTTCTGTATTCCGACCTATCAGTCTTCGTCGCGCTTGCCCCACAGCCCGTATCTCCACGCTCTCTCGTCCAGGCCTCACAAGCCACTCTTCACGCAAGAACGAGGCGTTCTTGTACTCATTGCCTGGGATGACTGCAGGCTTGAACGTTCGACGGCAGGTGAAGCAAACGTATCTCGGACGGCCAGGGTTGGTGCAGGGATGTGCGTATTTTGAGTCAGGCGAGTCAGGCCAGCGGGAAGTCTCCGGCGCCCACCCGGTCAAGTAGTTGATGCGTTCGTTCTCCTCGATCCCTTCGGGCCCCCAAGAGCGGCAACACCCATTACCACAGCCGCTCAAAGCCGGGGAACCGATGTGACAACCAATAAAGCGTGCGCGCTCGCCTCTACTAGATGTCAGTACCCATAGACTAGTTTGGGCAGAGTAACCAATTGCTGCACCTTCTACACGACATCGAGGGGCTTTGTAAGAATGGCTTTGGTTCTGCCGATGAACTTCATGTATATACATAAAGGATCGTCCGAGTCAACTGCCAGCGGTTCCGAGGCGGCCACAGCACATCAATCCGGCGTGTGCTGCCGCCTTCCGCGCGAGATCTGTCAAACACCATCTGGGAGTTCATACGGAGACCAAGTGATACATTATGAAGTTACATCGATAAGCAAACCCGAAGGAAAAGAGCATAAGAGTGAGATGACAAGGAGAGAACCGGAGTGACGATCTAGTTCGAGGCGACGTGAACATTATAGTTGTACGTTGCCGGGGAGGACGAGAACGTGAAGGAAGGCACGGAGGCCGATGCCACAGTTGTTGATCCGCGTGCCATTGAAGCCGAGGAGCCATTCCCAGCGGAGATAGGTATAGAGAGCCTGCTGAGCCCAGCCGGGACGTTCGTGGTCGTGGATGTACCCGTGGTCAGCGTGACCGTCGCGGGCGAAGTTGCGAGCACCACAACCCACACCGTATCCGAGTCCTATAGTATCGGGTTCAACTCGATGCTCTGTGTGGTGCTGCTTGGATGAGATTGCGTGCTTACCATCTGATAGTTAGTGGGCTTGGCAACTGCATCGGAGGTGGCAATCGCATCGCGGGTATGAGGCCGTACCCAAAGGAAGATCTTGTCAGTGCTGGGCGTCGCCGTCGCGCCAGACTTGAATGCGGAGATGTAGTAACCAAATAGCTCGAGCCATGCTACTCGAGGTTCAGTGTCTGGCACACCAGGTGACAACTCGGAACGAGCTGACTTACGAGTGTGATCAAAGCCCGTTGCCCAATCAGAGTCGCCCCGGGTGGGGTCGAATGGCAGGCCACCCTCAACGGGTCCAATGTAGTGAGACTCGCCGAAGTCGTTCCAGCTTACAATCTCGACCTGCGTCTCCCTTAGTTCTGTACAAGTAAAATCGAACTACTGCTTCAACACACTATATCGAAGCTGTCACGCTCGGCAATGAGCTTCTCCCATCGGCGGGTGAACATCCAATTGTCGGCATAATAGATGAACTAATCGCATGGTCATGATAAGTGCGCAATTGTGCGGGTGACAGTGAGTAGACCTCACATTCTTGTCAAACGCAGGCGCGGGGCCGTAGTGTGTGAAGAACCATGGGGAAACCGTAGGTAGATAGCTTCCACCGAAGCTAGAGAGACCGTTCAGGTACAACTGGTCCGTCGACGTTCCGTCAAGGTTGGAGACAGTCTGGTCTTCACTGAGGTAATTGCCTGCATTGATACCAGTAGGCCAGCCGGAGTTCCAGTTGAGTGCTCCGTCAATGAGTCCGGCATAACTGGGCAGCTCGGTGGTAGGATCGACGGAGAAGAACGGTACGAAGTACACGGACTGAGCGCCAGTGAGCTGAGACTTGAACTCGTTCTGCCAGCCAGCGATAACACTGGACTGTCCGAATGTGCATTTCTCGCCCGAGAAGGTACTGAAGTATACCTGCGAAGGTTTATTACAAACGACGTCTACACACTGCCTCTGTGCACCCACCTTCCCGTTGTAGATGAATTGAGATGGGCGATTATAGTACGTAGTGACATAGTCACGAAGCACAGTGGCATTTTCTGGCGTGACGCACGGGAGTGAGCTGGATCTGTTCAGCAAATGACTAGTATATGAGCGGGGACTTGGGGAAAACTTTACCTCATATCTGCGGAGACAAAGAGCTTGAATCCATCAACAGCGTCCGCGGCCGTGTATCTAATGTAATGTCAGTGACTGTTCAAGACGAAGCAAAGAGACCAGTGCGTACGCGTCAGCAACGCGCGCCGGCTCCCAGTCCAGGTTGCCGACATTGAGCGCAAACCCGTCGATGCCAGCGCTCTTGGCGACATTGATGTCGTTCGTCCACGACTCCACGGTGTACGGATAGGTATTGCCAACGATGTGGTGCGCAAAGACGTATTTGGTGTCGGCGCGGGGTTCAACATGCGGGGCGGCGCGCACTCCTGCGAGCAGGTTGAGCGCAAGGGTGACGAGTGAATTCGTGAGCTTCATGGGCACAGATAAGACGGAAAGGAAAGCAGATGGTGTAGCTGCTTGACTATTCTCCCATCCTGAATGCCTGGTATTTAAGCCATCCCGTTCAGCCAGTCCAGCTCGTAGCAAGCAGGGTCTTTGCTACGTAGGTATCGTCCTGTCGGGACGCTCCGGCGCCCATGCGCATGTTCGTCATGCAGAGAGTCCAAAGGAGGACAGTCGAGCCGAGCCGAGCCAGGCAATTGCAATCTCGTCGTGCAGTGCGGGAGATGATCAGTACCACTGCGCTACCCTCGAGTGAGCGCAGCGGTGTACCATCCTGTTGCGCAAGGTCAGATGAGCTGTAAGCCATTCACTTATCCAAAGAAGACTGGATGGAGTTGCTGTATAGGTAGGGGACTGCGCGGACGAGCCACGATGAGCTACCGAGGTGTACGCTCCATGGAGTTCTCATCGAATGGAAGTATTGATTGATTGAAAGTGACACCGCGCAGGGCAGCAGTAATCCTCGACAGGGAATGATAGCACAGTCATAAGCGTAAGTACGAGTCAGCGCCCTGCATGTGCTGCAGTCGCGCCACAATGCCAGATGTAAGCTCGAGAGCCTACGTCCCTATCGTGAGTGCGGTGGACATATAGCATATGCCACGAGACTCACACTTCCCGACCATCCGAGCAGGCCCTGAACTTCACGAACGATGAATAGGTCAAGTCTGTATAAGAAAGATGATTATAGGGAAGACATCTCCAAGACGACTAGACCGCAATTGAGACGCGGGTAGATGCACGGATCTTCAGAGATGTTGAGCACGAGGATGCCATAGGGACACCATCGGCAGGCTCTTTGAGCCGTGGTACAGCATGCGGGACTCAAGCTGGCTCAGGGATCGAGGCTCCCTAGTTTCCGTTCGCGACATGTTTGGTACGGTCAAGGCCCATCGTGGTTGCGGCCGCCGCGTGGAACGTAGTTGAAGAGGAACAGCAGAATGCATCATTGTCCATTTTCGCCATTGTTGAGCTGCCTAAAGTTCGAGCCGGGTGCTCATATAGACTGAAGCGGTCGGTGGTGGTCAGGACCAGGTTGACTTCGAGGCACACTCGGGGTTGTTGAAACGCAGCGCGGCAGTTTCCGCAGCGGCTGGAACACGGTCACATGCTCTTTCGCGTCGCGTTCGGCGCGTCAGTCCCGTACTGGTCTTGGCTGTCTACGGCCATCGTCGCTGATCAATGCCTCTCTAACGCATGGAAAAGCTAGCTTTAGCTGAGGGCGTACTGGTAGAAGAGATAGTAGAGGAATCGGCCGACGGCAAGACGTTCGGTCCGCTCCGATCATGCTGATGAGGGCTAGAAGTCGGCGAAGAAGCCGACTTTGATCGCGATGTCGAAGACACCTCGTACAGCTGTGAGGAGTCGCGCTTGCTTTCTGCAGTCATCACCATACTTCAGACTCGGACCTGAGCGGAAAATAGCCCCATATCTCTCTTTTGATGGCCGATATCGCGTCCGATGATCTTTTGGCTAAGCTCAAAGGCTTGTACCCATCAAACGAAGAGCTTACCGCCTCTAAGGATGGTACGTGCACTCTACTCAGCGCTGAGCGCAGCTCACACAGCTCTGCAGTACTGAAGAACCCGTGGTGGATCCTCACTGCGACGGCGCTTACTACTGGCAACCAGCCCGAAGCCGTTCCCCGTGTATTCTTCTACGTACTGGCGGACTTGGAGAAGGCCCAAGCGGCTCTGAATGTCACCGGAGAGCAGGCGCATGACGAGAAACTTTACTTCGCGCGCAAGTTCAGGGATGCCATTTTCAAGTGCGGTATGGTTGCTGGCTACTCTAAGGTGCGCCTTTCAAGCGCATTCACGCTGCATTGCGTTGCTAAACACGAGTACTAGGCCATCAACGCCCTCGTCTCATTGAACAAAGTGATTCCTGCACATCTCAAGGACACGAAGCCCCTGAGGCAAGCCGAGTGTCACAACTCCAACGGTCAACTGCTGATCTTCTTGACACCAGGAACACATCTGAGAGTATTGAGAACCATGACAAACACGGCAAGGAGTTCTTCAAAGCCTTGTATGGCGACACGGCGGAGGGCGTGCAAGGACTTCTTGACGAGGCTATGCCAGATCTTGGCATGTTCCATCTGACGTTGAGCCTCCGAGCGGTTGCACTAACTGTAGTGTAGGTTGGTTCTGCAGCACGATTGCGTATGGTGCCATCTACGGCTATCTCGAGTATATCGACCAACTCGAGACATCATACATGCTTGTGGGTACACTGGTTGCTGGTGACACCCCACTTCAGATCACTTGGCATCTCAACAACGCAAGGCGTGGAGGCGCTACGCTCGAACAAGCGCGTGCGGCGAGGGAAATCGCGGTCGAAGCTTCCAAGGCGGCGGGCGTAGTATGGAAGAACGCGATTCCGGAGGTCAACTGAGAAGTCTATGGAAGGTGTTGGAATGTAGGATAGGAGCCAGAGAGATGTTGTACTTGTATATCCCATCACAAGACGGAGTGTAGATTGAATTGGTTCTTCGCTTCCTGTATTCCCGCACAGCGGGCACGAAGTCCAGGTGAGGCCGCATCGCTTCTGCAACTCAATCGCGCTTCCTTTGTGGCTTGAGGTCCTTGCACAAGATGGAACTTGGATAGCGAGTGTTGATTGATACTCTCCTCGTTTGTGTACCAGTATGGGTATCGTTTGTGGCTGGCAGACTGGTGGTCGTCGCAACGGAAGCCAAAGTGGGGCGCAATCGAGGCGGGCCGGGCGCAGCCGGAGAGCGCCACGTGCAAGCAATATGTGTTCACGATGACATTTTGTGAAGCGCGCGTCTTGGCTAGCGACCACCACCCCGACTTACTGAAGTGCACACGAGTTGCGAAAACGGCCCTGCATGAGCAAGGCCAGCCAACGTGACGTTTCTGGGGCACCCTCCGCATCCACAGCCGCTTCACTTCTCGGTCTCAAGGATGTCATCGTCCGGCCCCATGGCTTGCAACAGAAGCCGCATGTCATCTTGAGGCCTCTCGAACTGGATGACGACTCTTTGATAGACGGAGATGCGCCGAGAGATCCCAGCATGCTGTATTTCAGCCTTTTTGCTGCAAAGCGTATCGAGTGCAAACCGGGAAAGGAGATTCTCGTTGCGCTGGAGGATTCGCCTTTTGGAGACCGTCCTATCGTATTTGGAGGGGAAATGCTGGACGCTGAGGCAGATAGTGACGACGAAGTAGCAGTGGAGGAGGCTATGAGGGAGTCAACTCCGACGTTGGAGGCGGCAATGCCTCCTAAGATGCGCAAGAAATGGGGAAGGGGAGAGGACATAACGTCTAGTCGTGAGCGTCTTTCGTTCCGTTGACAATATATCTGCTCAAATGTAATATAGCGCCGATGCAGGAGGCCCCGGTCTCAACTGTGCCAAACGTACCCCAGAAGACATATTGTGAGATGGGCACCCAAACAGACATGGTTGTGATTGTTCACGCAAGCGATAACGCTGCGCCCGCTCCTGCACAGAGCCTGACCGCATTTAATCCTTTTCATGTCGAGTCTTTCGTGCCTTCGTCTTCGCCGCCAGGGTACGTTGGTGATCCGGATGCTCTGGCTCTTAATGCTTCTGCTCCCGGTGAGAAGCTGGTTGAGGCTATGGAGGCGGATATGAACGGTAAGGCGCGGTCTGTGCACCTTGCCGCCGAGGACAAGGTGCGCCAGTTGGCCCGTATATATCTCTCGTCTCCTCATGGATGTAGGTACGAGCGCACAGTACGCCTATGGAGCTTGATTCGCCAGGCGCATCTGCGCTATCGTTGCCAAAGACTTTGAACGCTGCTACCGAGGAAAATGATGATGTGGTGGATACCAGGCCGGATGACGAGTTCGGCTCATCGTCGTCACGAGCTGCCTCTACTGTTGCTGCCGCTCCCTCTGGACAAGAGCGGTCGGTCTCGGAGATCGCCCAATCCGAGCCTGCGCCTGTCGATGTTCCGATGGCTGAAGTGGAGGAGGCTACGAAGTCCCAGGATACGCCTCTTTTATCTCCTGCAGAGGACTCAGATTACGTTCCCGGTCTCTCAGAGCCCGACCCGCCTGCAGTTGAGGGTTCGTCAGGGTTCGCTAGTTCAACGACCCCCGTCGCCGATGCCTCGGCTTCGCCTCAAGTTCCCGCCCAAGAAGCAGCACAGTCAGGAGATACTCACAAACCGAAGTTGGAATCGCCTGCACCCGAAGCGCCGAATGCAAATACAGCCTCCCCAAGCCTCCAAGATACCGTGGAGTCGGTTGTGCCCAAGTCGGAGGCCGCCACTCCCTCGCCAAGTTTCACCATGCCTTCTCCTTCGGCCTTGCGTGCTTTCTTGCCCGATGCTGTTTCGCGCTTACTGCCTCTCATCGGAACACCTGGCGCTGAGAGCCAGAGCCCGGTGTCCTCGAGCATGCCCCCTGAGAACTATCTGCCGGTGCCCTCGCCACCTCCTTCCGAACCAACACCGCCTCCCCAATTCACGCCCGAGTCGCCTGCGCCTTCGAATAGTTCGGCGCCTACCGCTTCTTTCTCGCAATATCAGGCATCCACATCACGGCCCCAATCAGCACGTTCTCCTGCGCCGTCCAATGCGAGCAATAGTACAGCTCAGTTTGTACCGCGCACGAGTTGCTCGAGGAGTCCTGTCGTCGCGAGCCGGCCGCTCACGATGAGCGACGCCAACGTGCGTATCCGATCTCTTTCTACATTACCGTCACTGTACTCATATATTGTTCTCAGGCTACGCCTGTCGGTGGTGACAGTGGTTGGGCTTCTCGCCGAAACTCGCAGCAGTATCCGCCTTCACGCAGGCAATCTGGTTCATTCAACTCGCCAACACGGTCTGGATCTTTCGATGGCGGGCCATCGACATTTGCGCCGAATTCACGCTTCCAACAACGCGGGCCGCCGCCGCCTCGCTCATCGTTCAACAACAACTTTGGCGGGCCACCGCGCGGACGCTCGCCGCCGTATGATCGCTTCAAAGGGTCCGGACCCAATGGCCCACCGTCATATCGCGATGGGCCGCCAGGTCCTGATATGCACGGCCCTCCGATGAATCAAGGCTTCGGTGGTCCCAGCGGTCCTCCAGGAAGAGGAGGCTTTGGTGGACCAACTCCGAACGGTGGTTGGGATGAACCGCCACCGCCGCGTAATGGGCCGCCATTCCCTCCCCAAGGTCGTAATGGACCTCCAGGTGGTGGTCCGCCGTTCCCGCCGAACGGAATGGGACGAGGCGGCCCAGCACCCTACAACGATGGTCCTGGTGGCCCTGGTCCTTACTCCCCTCACGATATGGGCCCGCCGTTCCCGCCGCAAGGCGATATGGGTGGTAGGAATGGTCCGTATGCTCCTGGTCCTCCTGGTAGACGTAATGGACCTTCCGGCGGCCCACCTTTCCCACCGAATGACATGGGTCCACGCAACGGTCCGCCATTCCCGCCCAACGACATGCCACCTCCCCGAAACAACAGCTTCCCTCCGCCAGGCGCGCGTAGCGGGACCGGTCCCTTCCCTGGCCCACCGATTAATGGCCCACCGCGCAACGGTCGGTTCAACGGTCCTCCACCGCCTAACGAGCTCCCACCCTTCCCACCAAATGCACCTGGACCCGGTTTTAACGGTCCTCCACCCTTCTCCCCTCATGATGGCCCACCAAGCAGGTTTGGTGGCCCTAACAATGTTGCACCGCCGTCGCCGGTAGATGGTGGGAGGTTCGGCCCTGGTCCGTATGGGCCGCCGCGAGGTACGGGGCCGCCGCCGCCTCACGACGGCGGTCGGTTCCCGTCTGGCGGTGGTCGATACACTCCTGAGGACGCGCGTTACCCGCCTGACCCGTACGGCCCGCCGCCACCAGTGAACAACTCGTTCAGTGGTCCACCGCCGCCCGGTCCGCCTGGCCCATACGGAGGCCCGCCGCCGAGCAGTGAGCCGTATAATGATGGGTACGGTGGACCGCCTCCGACGTCTACTGCTCTCAGTGCGATGCTCGCACAGCTTGCTGAGGCGACGGCTGCAACCAGACAGCAGGATGGCCCGCCGCCACCTTTCCCGCCTGGTCCTCCCGGCCCTCCTGGTTTTCAAGGTCCTCCTGGCCCGCCGGGTCCTCCACCGATGATGGGTGGTCCACCTCCGCCGTCGATGCCGCCGCCAAACACGAGACGACAAGGTTCGGGTCCGGGAAACAACAAACGCTTCAACAACAACCGTCGTGATCGATCCGACGTTCAACATCGCCCTCCTAGCCCGAATTATGGCGGCGGTGGCGGCGGTAACGCGCGCTTCGACTCGCCTACGGGTAGCCTAAAGAGGAAAGCGTCGGCTATGTCCGAACCCGAGTTGCCGCCTCCGCCGCCGGAGAACATGTCCGTCGCTCCCGCCGCTGCCGCACCTGCGCTACCTGTTGTAGCTGCGCGCCCAGCGCCATCGGGATATTCGTGGCCCACGACGGCGCCGTTGCGGGCGACGGCGTTGCCGGGCGGCATCAAGTCGCTTAGCCTTAGCAGCGATGGCGGGTTGATCGCGCTACTTGGCGGCGGTGCCGATGCGGACACCGTGAGCATATGGGACAACTCGACGTGTGCGGAGGTTGCGAGGCTTGCGCATGCTAGCCCTGTCGCGGAGGTTGCTTGGGGCTCTGAAGACGCTGCTGTTGGCGATGCGCTTGCCGCGCTATGCGAGGGCGGAGCCGTGTTCCGTTGGACGCGCCCGCTTACAGGCGGACCGTGGGCCTGCGAACGCGTCTCTGATGCTCCGTCGGGCGCACAAGATCAGCCTACGGCTCTTGCGCATGCGCATGGACGTGTTGCTGCTGCCTTTGCGAAGTATGGCGTTAGGATATGGGTGAGGGGCGAGAGAGGATGGACGGCGCAGAGGAGCGTGTTGAGGCAGAATGTCAGCGCCGTGAAGTTTGTGGAGGAGGGCAGTGCGTTGCTTGGAGGGACGAGGGATGGTGTGTTGTGGTATTGCCAGGTGCAGGGTCTCATGCGCGCTTGCGCGTTCTTCAAGAGTGAAGTGTACGTCGTCTTCCGTTCATGCCCGCCTATGCGATGTTGATCTCTTGTCTTGCAGACGCGACATCGATATTTCGGCCAATGGACAGCATGCGCTTGTCAGTCAAGCAGACGGCTGCGCCGCGCTTGTGCGTATCGAAGACGATAACCGCGGCCAAGTCGAGCGCCTCTTCACCATCAAGGACGCCTCTCTCGGAGCGACCTTCGGTCCCAACGCCCGTCTCGCGCCGGGACTCATCCTTTGGGGTGCGGCCCAAGGGTTCGTACTTGTATGGGACTTCCAGCAACCGCAAATCATACGTGCCATGGACGTCGGTGAGGGCGCTGAACCTGTTGCACTTGCGCTCTGCCGTACACCGCGCTCAGGGATCTCGAGTGCGTTGGTCGTTGGGACTGCGGATGGGAGGCTTACCTGGTGGGCGCCGCCAGAGGATGGTGAGTTATCGCATTCGCAATCGCCGATGGCCGCGAGACTGACATGCTCAACTACAGCTCAAGGCGAGCCCAATCACAAACGTATCAAGACCGAGTAAGGATACCGTGTCTGCCCTCTTCGTTCAGATCTGCATATACTCTTCACGATCCGGTTGTTCTTGTTGCCACGAGCCTAGTGCTTTCTAATGTTTTTGCTTCTCTATACCTCCTTGCATACATGTATACTTCCGCTTAGTGCTTATGATGATGTCTTGTCATCCTGCCTTTTTGTCCGATGAGCGCTGTGGACCTGTCAATGTTGCCGCTGTCAACCGGCTCTTGTTGATTGTGCACGTCATCGGCAACGCAACAATGGAAGACGTCGAGCACATCCGGCGCGGTGAAGTCGTACTACTGTGGCTATCGAGTGACTATACCAGTACATGTAGGTCGTCTTACGAGAGAGCACTGAACGGGCCTCCTGAAGAGGAAAGAGTCTAAGCAAGCAATAGACGCCAGGTTACCAACCGATACCGCATTGGGAATCGGCCGGTGCCGGCCCGGAGAGCTCGTGCTGTTTGTGTGTCGGTTTCGCGTTGCCAACCTGCTCCCAACTCAGCCGTTCGACTCCCCGAGTGCTCGCTCATCCTTCGTCTGCTTCCCTCCTCTCTTAGTACGTCTGTGTTCCATTTCTGATAACCTCTTGTCGTGCGGGATAAGTGGCTGATAAACCCCTAGCGAGGCGATACGCGTCCATCTGCGCCGTCTGTCGGTCGACTGAGTCCCTGCCCTCTCCACCCTCCCGAGCCACCAGCCTTTCTGTGAGTCAGCACTATCGTGTATATCAACGCAGATGCTATACATCATTATATATCTGATGTATGGCTTCCGGGCGACCCTATGTTCGGCGTTAGCCATGATGGGCTGTGACACGCGCGCAGCCTGTTGCCGCCTGGCTGCTTCCCTGTCTTCTCGCCGTCACCGAGTGTATTATCTGACCCGCCGTTTATAGCGTTCTTATAGCACGAAATGCAGACAATCAAGTGCGTGGTTGTGGGCGACGGTGCCGTCGGAAAGGTGCGTCGCTTACCGTTTCGGTTTATCCCATGGCGCGTGCCGCTCAAGCGCCCAAACACAGACCTGTCTCCTCATCTCCTATACGACCAACAAATTCCCGAGCGAATATGTGCCAACCGTGCGCACTCTTTTATTCTGTGGTGGTCGGATGGGGGTTTTCTGAGAAGTTGGATTATTAGGTGTTCGATAACTACGCCGTCACCGTCATGATTGGCGACGACCCGTACACACTTGGTCTTTTCGACACTGCCGGTGCGTTTATCTGCGCGCGTTTAATAATGCTGTGCTAACATATATTCCGCGCCACAATAGGTCAGGAGGATTACGACCGTCTGCGCCCGCTATCGTATCCGCAGACGGACGTCTTCCTCGTCTGCTTCAGCGTAACCTCGCCAGCGTCGTTCGAGAACGTCAAGGAGAAGTGGTTCCCTGAAGTTCGGCACCACTGCCCGGGTGTGCCCTGCCTCATCGTCGGCACGCAGATCGATTTGCGCGACGACCCGCAGGTGATCGAGAAGCTCACGAGGCAGAAGCAGCGCCCGATCCTTTCGGAGCAGGGTGAGCGTCTCGCACGCGAGCTCGGCGCCGTAAAGTACGTCGAGTGCTCGGCGCTTACCCAGAAGGGTCTCAAGAATGTTTTCGATGAGGTGCGTTGTACTTTCCCGCCACATCCAACTCTCCGCTGCCTTGGGCGCCTCCTGCTTGCATCATCAACCATCATCATACTCAAACTCGTTCTCCCACAGGCAATCGTCGCTGCACTGGAGCCGCCCGTGGTGAAGAAGAAACGAAACTGCGTCATCGTCTGAGCCCGACTGGTCCTTCCGAGTCTGACACCATGCCCTACCCGCCTCCCGTACCACCCATCTATACACTGTCTCATTCTGCCCTTTCCTCTTCCGCGACCTCATGACTCTCTACGATATCCGCCTCCGCCGCGCTTCACGTTCCCCGTAGTTTTCTAAAGTTATTGGAACCCTGTCGCGACCGAACGCCCATCCCTTTTTTTCTTCGTTTTGTCTCCCTCAACATTTCTTGTGATATTGCTCGTTTCCTTCCTTCCTCCTTCTTGCCTTCTTTGCCGCCTTCGATGCGCGCTGCGCGGTGGACGTAGAACGAGGCGGGAAGGCGCGGAGGGTGCCTTGTCGCTACTGCGCCAGCGCGCCATGCCGCGCCGTTGTTGCGAGGCGCGTGAGTTTTCGACATGGGCCGCATGGTGTTCGATTTCATACAGTAGCGCTCGTCCATCACAGCATCCTGCCGCATGTCCGCCATATGTTGAAGTTGAATTCAGCGAAGAGACTTGAGCTTGGGCGCTTCGATCCTTTGATGATTGCTGTTGAGCTTGCTTGACAGGTGTTATGAGCGAGCGTGCATGCTTGCTCGGCCAAGTCGGGGATCAGCGAGCACTATCGTGGGTCCAGGAAGTCTTGCTTCCTTGGCCGTGGACGGCTTCGGGATTCGGGACTGTCACTTTGAGGAAGATTGATGCGATCGCGCGACTGCGCTAGAGCCTAGAGAAGAGTGAAGAAGTCGCGTTGCCCTTCGGACAATGCGCCAAGCTTGGCGTGCTGGTCGGAAGACGCTCGCAGCTACTTATCTTCTTCAACGCTGCCAGGCATGAGATACTGCTCACGGTCTGGTGATCGGCAGATCGGTGACGGCGATGCTAAGCTCTGAGCTTCAGCGAGAGTGTGGCGAAAGAGACTATCAAGCCAAACAGACGTGTACAGCGTCGATGAGGTCAAAGAGGGTCGAAGCGTACAGGACAGAGAAGGCCGCTGGGGTACGACAACATGGGCTCTTGTCGGCGCCTCGCCGGGAGGCGTATTGTGATCCAGCTGAGTTGGCGGACGAATTCTACGATCTTGAACCAGGTAGCGGCGTAGCCTGGGAACGACGTAGTCTCCCGTAGTCAGACTCATGCCGCGTAGAACGAGGAGGTTCAGCACCTTGGCGCGATTTGCCACGAGTGGTGCACGCGCGACGCGCATGGCTCTTCCTTGGCTCTTTCCCTCGCACGGCGATGGTCTCGGGCAAGGCTCGGGGTTGTTTGGGCATGTTCGAGGATGTTAGCGAGCCATCACTGCTAGCCAGCATTTATATCCTTGTCATCTTGCCGACATGTGGCTTTGAATACGGTCTCACTAGCTCCTGGGACAGTCGCCTTGATAAGAGGCTGGGAGATCAAGTTGTTCCGTACGATACAGTGTGAACGCCTTGGCCATCGAAGCCCGCCCCCTTCCCTCGCACAGCAATGCATCGGTGTACACACGCTCCCTGCTCACGAAACGTACATCTATATCGACGCAACCCTATTTAGTATATCATGTTTCGTCTGGTCGTTGCTGCGCCGTCAAAGCGACACCCGGTTGATGTCCGTCAAGGACGTCGACCCTGTCGAACCGTCAAGACCGCCGGTTCGAACCATTTCGCAATCACCGCCACAAGATCGCTCGAACAGTCGAACACTGTAACAACAGACACGTCTATATCCGCAAGTCGCCCGCGCTGGGTCTCGTCTGCACTAGATAACGCTATAGACCTGTGAGAGGACTTCTTTTCCTCGTGCCAAGTCGCACCAGAAAGCACGCCTTTTCAATAAAGCCTCACTTGGCTTGGGAAGAGCAATGGGTATACAAACACCGACAACAAGGTGAAGCAGAAAGTCGGAGATGAAACGCGCACACTTATCGGCGGCAGCAGTGGACTGACCACCGCATTGTTCGGTGCTCTCGCCCGTGGCCGCTTGATAGCACGCTGTATTAGTGCTGCGCGCTAGTCGTGCGCAGTGACGATGAGACTACATCATCCTACGAAGCCAGAAGGACATTGGATGCGCGATGAACGGCTCCGAGTGCGGACACTACCTGTTTCGTGAAGAGACCATACACCACATTGTGTAGTGCTGTCAAAGCTTCAAGGCGACCAACTGTCACCCTAAGTCTAGCTTATACATCGTATACCTGCATCTGCTCAAGCTGTCAACCGATCTGACGCGGGAGAAGCAGAGCGGATCGCGCTCCCAACGACCGATAGCACCGAATGAAAGTTGAAGATAGAATAAAGGCCGAAACTAGTAATCGACGATGATCGGGGTTCGGACAGAACTGGCAGACACGACGTCTGCGCCACACGTAACACGCTAGAGCTTTGGAGATCCGGAGAGCCATAGGCCGAGAAGCACACGCGAAAAAGAGGAAAAGCGATAGCCAAACTGGTAGCTGTATGAGAAGAAGTCCAAACGGGTTACGAGTATACACAAGGGGGTAAGAGCAAGAATAGCAACGGTGCGATGCGGATGGGGCTACATCATCGCTCGGAACGTCTATTGCGCGTTGTGAGGCGCGCGGCTGTTCGCGAGCCGACAGAACAATCCGGAGGCAAATCGGGGGCGGGGCGGGGTGCGTATTCGTAAGAAGGTCCATGGGCCAGGAAGCGCATTCGCACGTCTGAGAGCGAGCATCAGGAGGGTGGGTGAGTGATGTATCGTATGGGGTTGAATAGCGAGAGCGACTGCAGGTAGAGAGAGGGAGAACATGAAGGGACGTGCGGTTGGTAGTGAGCGTGCGGCTCTCGAGGGTGCGGGACCGGGTTCGCGTTCAAACGTTCGTGCGAATCTGATGGCGGAGAAAAAATGAAGACGGGGTGAGCGCCCCGGCGGCTGTGGAGCGCTTATGCACGTACCGCGTCAAGCCGCTGTTCAGTTGCGGTCGAGACCGCGCGCAACATCGGCCGGCTTGGCCACGTAGCGCTTGTAGCTTGAGCATGTTCAGTTTCTGGAACCTAGGGTTCAGGGAAAAGAAGACGGTGCTCACTTGGACGGCGTGGGCGCACGGGCTGCAAGGCGCCTGCGGAAGCGTCATCAGTTTAATTATCGGCGACTGCACGGCGAACGGAAGACGCACTTGGACGGCGCCGGGGCACGGCGGGCGGGCCTGGACGAAGAACAGAAGGTCAGCGGACGTTGTGCGCTGCACAGTGAAAGCACGTACGCAGGTTCGGCCCCTGGCTGGCGACGCGCGATGGTCGCTTGCTTGAGCGCGCGCTTCTGGCCGGTCGGAACGGCTGCGACGCAGAGTGCGAGCGCGAGAACAAATGCGAAGAGGTAGACGCGAGAGAAGAACATGATGCTGATCGGCGGGTAGGCGACGGCGAGCAAACGCGAGTGGGAGGCCTAGGCGCAACGACGAGCGGAGGGGACTCAGCACGACGGGGAGAGAGCGCGGCACGGCTTTGCGGGCTCGCTCTTATGTTTTCCGAACACAGGCACGCGGACCGGGGCCACGCTCGAACGAGTACAGGTTTGGTGAAATTTGTGTTGACCGCAAACGGGCTGTTCGAAAGATAACACAAAGCGAGACGGACGCCGAGGACCGAGGGCGCGCATAATTGGCCGTGCCGTGTCAATGGCGTCAAGATCGGGAGATCCACACCGTTCGACTGTGCCGTGCGAAGCGAGCCGAGCGCGGTGATGAACGCGCGTTTGTGAAACGAGGGCAGTGGCGCATCGCTGTCAGAATTCTGCGGAATATGCGCGAATGCGGCAGGAGAAGAGAGAACAAAGGGCCATTGACCACATCACGCATCAAGACGTTCTTGCGATTCTTCACTGGCGCAGTTATTTCGAGCTAGAGATCGGCTCCGTCCTGTCAATGCAACACGTCAACACAATCCAAAAGACGCATAAAGTTGCGACGATGATATCACACACCATACGATGGGAGCCTTGCGGCCACATTGTGGGCAGCGTGAACGCCAATGCAACGAGGCCGCTAGCTCGAGCGCTGCTGGGTGAGGGTGAGGAGCACTATCGGGTATGACGCAGCCCTGCAACCAGCGCTGTCGACATAGGGGGTATCTTCGGGCTTGAACAGAAGTCCAGGAAGAGCGCGGTCGAGGTCGGGTGCATGGATTGTATTAGATGAATATCGCAGATGCCGCGCTCATTCCGTCCGCCCAATCGACGGATATTCGCACAAGAAGAGGCACAGGTGCTGGGCGCAAGATGGTGGTCCTTCATGGGTATAATACACTGAGCAGGTGCCTGCGATGAGGAACAAGAAGCTTTTCCAGCCGTATCACCAGCGAGAAACGCAAGGTGTCGAGGGAACGCCACCGACCGGGAGCTCTGTGGGCCAGTGGACCAAATACGGCTTGTGGTGACGAAGATTGTATTGTCTTGACGCCCTATGCACTAGCAGTGATCAGTGCCATCACGACAGTGAGTGCCCAAGGACGTCTACTAACCTTGCCTCGTGAGCAGTTATCGGGTACGTACCCGCCCTAAGCGGCTCTTCGACTGACGCAGTGCTGCAAGTACAGAGGCCGTACTTCAAAGTACAAAGCCTCCGTACAATGCAAGGTGGAAGGTCAGCAGATACAACTTACGCGACCTATATTGTATCGGCTTTAGGACTGCTAATCCCCATCCAGAACACGACTCACGGTCGAACCAGGGCTGAGCGTCTGCAGATGCTTCTGAAGGCGCTCCTTCTACTGTTACAGATCGCCGCCAGCGAGTCAGCAGGTAGAGCGGACCGGTGAAGTGCCTGCCTGCCATCTAAACCCCGTCGTTCCCGAGTAGAGCTAGGCCATCTTGCCACGATTGCCGTCGGGTCAATGTGCGTTTGCGCTCAACAGAACGGGACCGGCTTCTATGAGTGATTGTAATGAGAACCTCTACCCATTCAGATACCGCACAACAGGGCGGTGAGTGGAGCGTGCTTACCACACATACTTCACATTCCCCCGCTCCCTGCGGGAGAAGTGTCTCGCCAGCTCTTGAGCACGCATGCTCGCGAGCGCCACAGACGCCTAATAGCAGCCCGAAAAGGTCAATCGCAGAGAGAAAGCTGCGATAGCGAGTGCAGATATTCCGAAATGATCGTGAAGAGTTTGGCTTTCGATGCCTCACGGGTCGAGAGAATCATCACTTGACGGACCGGGAACCGTTCTGCCCTGCGGCGCAACTTGAAGGCCTGGCGGCAAGGTGAGGCCGAGGGCGCTGCGTAGAGTCATTCGAGGAATAGAGTATGCACCCGTCTAGACGCCTGAAATTGGACGCCTCGGCTGGTACATGCATAGTGCAAGACGGAACATCGATGATGGCAGACCAGCCGAGGAGTCCGAGCCGGACAGCTTGGACCTCTCGAGATACTAGACGCCGACCGTGCAGAGACACGCATTCGTCAATCCACAGCAAGTGGATCAAGGTTGGGGTGAGTTATGAGTGGTATGAAGATGAGGGCCGTCAGGTCGTCAACGTCGTTGGCGTCGAAGTGGGGTTCGTTTGTCGCTCTGCGGGGAAGCGGGGAAGCGTGGGAGCTTCCGTCGCGTGGCATATTTTCACGTGCACGAGCCGACCTGACAGAGACTCTATCCCGTCTGTTTCTTTCGTGAGCGGAGCGATATCCGTGCTCGAGCCTATCGCTACACGGTGAGATCAACTATATTGTACACTCAGGTTACTTTCAAGAAATAATTATGGAAAGCTTGTTCGCTGGCCATTCAAAGGCGCCATTTGGCTTATGCGCGTTGGACGGGTGAACACAACATTCTCTACCCTTCTCTCGACCGCTGTTGTATTCACAATGGTGAGAGTGCAAATGATTCAATTCAATGCGGTGGCCTAGAGGTACCAAGTGCGATGCATTCGAAGGGAAAAAAACGAAGGTCTTCGTAGGCCCGTGCCATACTATGCGCCGGACACTGGCATGACTCCCAATGATCATGCATTTCTGCCCAGTGAGTATCCGTACGATGCCACTTTGCGAGGGCGACAGGAGCCACGCATGATGCATCCCAAGCATGATTGCACTGTCCTCGAGTTCGCTCGCATGCGTAGGTTGTAAAGCATCCGCGCTCTGACTGGAGCCGTACCCGACACTGCACGTCCTCTCGGAATGGTCTATTAGTTCCATTCGCGTTAGTCTGTGGACGGGGAATATGGCAATGGGCGCAGCCGGTCCATCTTCGTCTCTCGAGATAGCAAACACGCCAGTTGCCGTGGAGCGTATTGGGCGGAGAGCCAGCCGATCGACGCTTGAGAGTGCGTACACGAAGGGATGGCCAAAGAAGCCTGTCAAGCAGAGTTCTGATTCTAGAGCGCTGAGCAGCGAGCCCTACACCGAGCAGACGCCTTGTAAAATGCCACGTAGAACGTCCGGATCCCACGCCGCATGGATCAAAGATACCAGCGATCTTACGCGATGGCAGACGTATATCCATTGTGCAGACGTTGCGCTAAGTATACGCAGGCTGGCTTGCTCCGAACAAGCTGTATGTTTCCCCTTGACGGCGGGAGAAGATACCCTCTATCTGTCGCTCGGATGTAACTTGTAGCACATCATGACGCCGCTCGGTTCGCGCCGGATGTCAGCGCCCGACATTCAGAACTTGAGAGAGAATGCTAACGATCAACTTTGATAGTGCGACAGCAAACGCAAGCAAAAGTACACACAACATGGAACACGATATGAATGTAAGTAAGATATGTCAACCCATATACGCCTGCTGTTGTGGTGGCATCATCGGCGGCTGCATCCCAGGCATTCCCTGCGGTACAAAGCCCGGTGGAGGTGGAGGTGGGAAGCCTTGGCCATACGCAGGCATTCCGGGGGGTGGCGGCGGCATACCCATTGGCATACCTATTTGCGGAGGCGGCATCATACCAGGAGGAGGCGGCATACCGGGCGGGACCTGCATGGGCATACCCATCGGCATGGGTGCTCCAGGGGGCATTGCGAAGCCTGGCGGAGGCGGTGGTGGGGCTGCCAGTGCACCGGCAAATTGGCCTTGATACGGTCCTTGGAATGGTACAGGAGGCCGCGCGCCAAAAGCGATACCTGCTGGTGCAGGTGGTGGTCGGGCCGAAGCAGGTAGTGCGTTATTCTTGCGTGCCTGTGCAGCGAGCAACCGCTCGGCGGGTGTGCCGTGGCGTTCGCCTTTTCCGTCCTTCTTGAACGCGTACTGCACGGTGATTGCCTTGTTCATAAGGAATTGACCGTTCATACTCTCGATTGCCGCGTCCGAAGACTCGAAGTCCGTGTACGAAACAAAACCGTAGCCCTTCGACTGACCAGTCGTAGGATCGCGTGCAATCTGCATAGACGCATGTAAGTTCATCGCGCAAGAGAACGTGAGTAATCATAGAGGGACATACTTTCGCCGTCGTGGCCATAACACCAAAAGCGCTGAAGGTATCGTATAGTAGCCGTTCATCCACGGCCTCGTCCAGACTTCCGATAAACAGATTCGCGCCAACATCAAGTTGCTTCTTGTCCGAGGAAGCCTGGGAAGATAAGAGAGCCGAGTATCAGCAGGTGCAAAAGTCAACAGCAAGCGTGTGGGAGGGACGGCAGAAGCGGTGCGGTCGGCGAAGACGTATGGGGTTTGCGCGTTGAGGACCTGGACGAACCTTGTTAACCCGAATGGGCTTGCCCCATAATTTGATCTGGTTCATGATCTTACAGGCATATTCTGCATCCTCTTCCGTAAGGAATTCGCAGAATCCGTACCCTTGGTGAGCCATGGAGATGCGATCCTTTGGCAGATGAACATTGACTACAAAGTGACAAATCAGGTTATGGATACGTGACATATATGGATGACATACCAACGGGCCCAGCTTGAAGCATGAGTTCCCATACCAAGGCATCTGTACACCTCTCGTCCAAATTACCCTGCACCAGTTTGCGGTCAGGTTCACGTGCCGCGTATTCTACACAAAAGATACACGTACAAGATAGACCGTAGCCTCTTGGTTCCTATCGTCTTGAGGTCTAGACATGGTGGCCCGTGGAGTGTGTCTTACAGGAAAGGCAAGAGCACGTCGCGGTCAGGAGCAAACACAAGTGCTCGCGAAGTTGGCGAACGCGCCGACGCGTCGGGGCCGCGTTGCTTTGTAAGCAAAACGAACCGCTTCCCAAAATCCGTGAGTCGTTCCTGACCGTCACCATACCTGAAATATCGTATGCGCTTCGCTACATCTGTGTGCCGACTACCAGCTCGCTATCGCGACCAGACTGAATGCTGTGGATAACATCCTGCTTCTCCGATGAAGGCCCGTCCGAGCGCTCTCACTTGGCCGCTTGAACAAGGATTGCCTATTCAGTCATGCACCTTGTACAAGCTTTGTCCTCCATAAGCTCTGTACTTATAGACGACGAGAGCTGTTATGGCACGCAAGACTCTTGCCATGGAATTACTCGGTCGCGGGGGGCCGTCGTTGAGTTGGTTTCCGCGACGCGCCACGCTTGCCCGTGCTGTTCGCGTTGATGAACGTGCCCACCCCTCAGAGATGGGCCGTGTCATTCCCGAAGAACCTGATTCTGATTCTAGTAGAGACGCCAACGGAGACGCTGGCTTATCGGAAGAAGACGACGATGGGGGACAGGAGGTGCGCCCTCGGTCTACATTTGCTGTCAGATCTGTCGCTCACGAACAATGGAAGGCACACTTTCCTGTCAACCTGAATGCAGACGGATTAGGCTACCGCGAGTTCACCGAAGAACAGATCGAGATCTACTCGGTAAGCTGCTACCTTAGGCGATTATCAAGCCCATCGTGATACTGTACTGAAGAATACATTCAGCAAGATCCAGTGCGCGGTTGCGCCGATACCCTTCTGCTTTACGTCGGAGATGCCGTCTTCTCTCCTGCTCATTTCTATGCGGACGGTAGCGGCGCAGGATACGCCGTTTCTGGTGAATTTCTCGAGGCACTCGACCGCCACGCGGCCACCCTCGCGCCGTCTTCGCCTACTTCAGATCCGTTCTCCTCAGAGCCGCAGCGCTTCCTCTTCGGACGCTGGAACAAGAACACGGATGCAGAAGACTGGCAGCTCATGACGCAGTCCCTCACACGCTCAGCGCCGGCCAGCATCAAACCATTCAATCTCTTACGCGAGCGGCCCGATCGCCGTGGCGTCTTTGAGTATCTCGGACGCTTCGAGTTCGCGGTCGACCGCGCGCAGGATGGGCAGTCGCTTGCTTGGGAGTTGCTCGATGCTTGTCAGCCTGACGAGCGCCCCGAACTGTATACTATCCCACCCGGGTGGACTGCAGAACAGGCACACGCGCATTGGAGGAAGCAGGCCCTTGGTGGGAGGCAGAGGTTGCTCTTCTATCTGCCTCGCGCTCCCTACTTTCAGTTCGAACAGCTCGGCATTGAGAAGGCCTTTTTGAGGAAAATGTTGGACATCCGTAGGGAGAACTTCGTCGATGATGAAGCTTGAGATGCTTTGGGCGGGCGCTGATCCCGGTCCAGGTCGAATGAGCTGATATTGAGGAACGCGGTCGCTTGTTGTCCGTTGCTGCACATATTATAGGCTATAGCATACTTGTATATGGATCTTGAGCGCTGGCGCTCGTGCCTCCATTTTGTCTCCACATTTTGCTCAGATCGAACGGGAACTGAGGCAATATAGTCACCCTACAGAGGGAATCCTACTTTCAAAGCATCTTACTCATATGCATGCGAGTCTTGTCCGCACGCCAACTTAACTCCCGCGTACAGTCACTATGACGCCCCTCCTTGACATATCGCAGAACATATGCGGTATGACACAATCGAGGTCAGCTACATCCTCAGCATGCTACATAGAGAACCTGTCCGTCAAAGCCTTCGTGTGCTCCCGCACATCAGCGAAGCGCGCTAAACCGCACGCCTCACTCTCGATGTGCTGGACGAGCGCCGACATGATCTTGAACTCCTTCGCGCATGTCGGCTGAGGGCAGCGGAACTCGTTCTGGTCGTGCGCCGGCGAGGCCAGATGTTGATTGAGGCCGGGTAGGCTCTTGAATCGGAGGTGGCACAGATAGCACTCATACGCCGAGACATGCGAATTCCATGCCATCTCCGTCACCATAGGCGAGGGCACAGTGGGGTGCGCCGCTCCCAGCCGACTGTGTGCAATACTGACGGATGGCGAGACCTCAAGTGCATGGACGGCGGTGGTAACCTGATGACGGTCGACGGTCCGCGCAGCCCCGCAAGCGCCACACTCGATATATTGCGCGATGGCCGAGGGCTGCCCAAACATTCTCGGGAAAAAGGGACACTTGAGATCGCGTGCGGCCGATTGATGAGGCCTGAGGTCTGGACCACGGGTTGAAGATCTCGGACTCTTTCCAATGACCGTACTTCGCCTTTGCAGCTGGAAATGAGCACACCTCGAAGCATATAGTGAAAATTGTGTACTCAACGCACTCGGCCTAGTGTGATTACATGACAATGACCTTCTGGCTTCACCTGGAACCACCCCTCGCATGTTACGCAGTAGCGCTCGACTCCTCTGACAGGAAGGTATCGAGGCGTATTGTCGTAATCGGTTGCGACCGATTCTTCCAGATCCCATTCCACTAGCCGAGGACTGATGGCGTGTACCGACGATGTTTTCCAGTGCTGGAGATGAGTTCAGTCTTATGCATCGTAGAAATACCCGGGAAAAACCGCACTTGTTCCAAGGATTTCCAGTCATCGAAATCGCGACGACAGTACCCACACGCAGGGTCATGCTGCATCGCGCGGCTGTGTTGTAAAAGTGTCGCCCACGACCCGAACTCACGATCACACTGGATGCATACCCGATCCATCGAGAGTCACGGACGGAGATGGGCGATAAGCGACGGGCTCGCTTGCCAGTGAGCATTGGACTTAAAGATGAGCTTTGACAACACGTGTTGTAGTGTTCGCACCACTGTTACTGTATGGCCGACGGGTCTCCTGATTTGGGCGATCATTGGGCATTCGAACAACCCAAGGCGTAATGGTTCTTCATCGTATTACTACATGGGGAGTTATCCAAGTCCGAAAGCGTACGAAATAGGGGATTGAGTCCTGTTACAGACATACAACTTCAGAACTTGAGCAGGCGCGAAAACTGGTCCGTCAAAGCACGGGTGTGGTCCTCAATCTGCTGGAAACGCGCCAGACCACAGGCCTCGCTTTCGATATGCTGAATGAGCGCCGAGATGACCTTGAACTGTCTCCCGCACTTCTTCTTCGGACAGCGGAACTCATCGCGGTCGTGTGCGGGAGAATTCAGGTGCGTGTTGAGAGCATTCAGCGTCCCAAAGGTGCGATGGCACAGGTAACACTCGTAAGCGTTGACTTCGTGGTTCCAAGCGCGGTCTGTCGCGGTGTACGTGATCAAAGGCGTCGATGTGCCTCCAGCAATACGCCGAGAGATAGAGATAGTGGGCACGATGCCTAGATTGTGCACGGCATTGGTGACTTGGTGGCGATGGACACCGGAAGCCCGCGGGCAAAAGCCCGATTCGACGTGGTGTGCGATGGCAGAAGGCTGCTTGAATCCTTGTCCGCAGAGCGGACAGTCAAAGTCGCGGTCAGCATGCACTCGAGATGACTCGTGCTAAAGGGTGGCACGAGGGCATGAGCTCATGTGTAGACGAACAAAGGTGAGTGGTGCCAACCTGCTGAAGCGCGTGAGGGCTGCTAAAATCTCTTGAACACTCGAAGCACCAGTTATGGCGGCTACTGGTGGCGAGATGCTGGTCAAGCGCGTTCAAATCCGTGAACCATCGCCGACAGCCATCGCAGTAAGGCTCCCGGTCGTCGTCGTCGTCGTCGTCGTCGTCGTCGTCGTCGTCCTCATCATCATCGTACTCCTCTTCTTCATCTTCATCGTCATAAGAATAATGCCACGGCCCGCCACCGCTCCGGAAGTTGGTCTCTCGGTGTACAGCGGCATCCCTAAAGTGCTGTGGTGGATTACATTAGTCCATGTGAGGCGTCCGGAAATCTAACCCGCTCACCTGGTCACGAGCAGACCAGTTTGTGAAGAAACGGTCGCAATCCCCGCAGTACGGACTGTCGTCGTGCTCCTTATCACGGCAGTGTTGCAGAAGTGCTCCGTACGAGCCGAAAGAACGATCGCAGCGGCAGTCGCCGCATGCGTAGGACATTACTATCTCAATTGCCCCTTCCGAGGAGCGTGTCCGGGATGCGCAAGAGGGCTCGCGTTGCTAGCCCGCCTTTATAAGCCCATGTTCGTTATCAGCACGTGTTGTAGCCGTTCTCAAGCCTCAAAGGTCTAGTAGGGTCCAAAGCGATCGATAGAATTATCATGTTGTGATGGAAGTACATGGCAAGCTTCGTAAACGTCAACGAACTGTGTTCAAGTCGCCACGCGAGACGGCAATCATCGGGCCGGACGTGGCGGTACACACCTTGACGTCAAGCCTCGATGAGCAGGGCACGCCCGATTCTCAAGCGGTGGACAAGTAGGATACCTCAATACTCGGATACAGGGTCATGGTCTCTTATTGAAGCGTGCGTGAGAGTTACTCTCATATAGTACAATGGTAATACAGGGATGATTGAAGGAACACAGTGCAGGGATTGGGAGTCAGTGTCAAGTCCGATATGAGTAGTGGCTCGTTCACGACGCAATCGCCATCTAGTCGAGGTCAGAAAGGTCATAAGGGGCGGCATTGAGAACTTCGTCATAATGAGGGAGGGTCTGACGGTGCTCGCGCGCCGCGATGCAACTTGCGATACGCTCTCCCATCTTCTGACCCTCGATGTATGCTCCGTGAAGGTAACCTATATGGACGGAGGTATAAGATGACGCACGTGAGCCAAGACTCGATATGTGCCATACCAAAGTACTTCAAGCTCGTTGCTTCACCCGCGAACCACAAGCTCTCTTGAACCGGAGCGCGGAGGTTCGCGTGGTGAGCAAGCACCAGCGCCGCGGGCCAATTGCTATAACTCCCGCGGTAAAGAGGATCGCTATGCCAACGAGGAAAGTAAAAGTCGTCGGGATCGGGAATCTCTATGTCAGGATACATCGCGCGGAGAACAGAAATAACTTCTTCCTTGACCTGATCGTCCGGTAGTGCCTCGATCCGCATCGAGTAATCGCCCTATCGGTTTGTCATGATCATCTGGGGCTCTCATGACAAGTATGCCGCTTACTGTCACAGTTGCAAATAAAATGCCGGAACCGGGGAAGAATCCTTCGAGGTCGAGACTTTGCCACACAGGATAACGGCCTCGTTCACGATCGGCGTAGAGGGCGAACTGAGGCTGCTCAAGGATCAAGAAGGCTAGATGGATTAGAGAAAGGCTACCTCAGTATCGAACCAGAACTTCTTCGGAAACTGCAGGTAAATCTTGGTGTAAGTCCCCTAAGAGCTCTCAGCATGGGCAGTCAACGCGAGCCACGGTCAATCAAGGTGCTCACCATGGTCATGCCATGAATCGCCTCCACCTTCCAGTCAGGTAGCGGCGGCACAAAACGGACATCATCGTTCTGCAACACACCGAGGCTGAACGTCACGAGCGCGTAGTCGGCGCTCAAGCGTCGCCCGTCCGCCAGCGCTACCGTGACGCCGTCGAGCGAATGCTCGACGTCCGTCACGGTAGCGTTGAGCAGGACCTGGTTCTCTTGTATGAACCCCGCGGCCTCCTCTTGAACGAGGCGCGCGAACCCGCGCTGGTCGATGGTCAGTAGGTTAGTCGTCGAGAACCCGCCATGATCCACGTCGAACGTGAAGTTGGCAGCCTACGGTATGCATATAAGCGGATTTGCCAGGACGTTCAGTCAGGACGACTGTTGTCCGGATGCGTTTCCGCCGGAGGCATGAGAACGACCTCAGAAACTCGCCGCCCTGTGCAGAATAAATTACCCAAGCAGAACCAATCCAGCTGCTATACTCAAGAGTCAGAATCTCTTGTTGACAGAGAAGCTCGGTAAATGCGCATATATACCTTTGTTCAGGTGTCTGTCCGAGCTCCCAGTCAAACTGTGCAAAGCGGCAATATCAGCACAGAGTATGCCGAGGAAACTGAGATTGCGCACTTGGTAGTACTCGGAAGCAATCTCATGCGGAGTTCGCGGTTTGGCTCCAACCACGGAGTAGCCGTGACGGGCAGTAGCATCCACTAAGCCGCGAGGGACGCGCTTTCCTGCAGGCGCGGGGTTAGGTGTTGCATGTATGCGCCCTTTCGGCCACTCGTGACAAGCGAACCTGCAGCTATTGTGAGGTTGACGAAATCGTCGACCGACTTGTAGAATGTGTCGAGATAGTCTACTGAACCAGAATAGTCGAAGGTACCTGCGATGAAGGTGGACGAATGTGAGAACAGATTCGAATGCCTAATCAAGCTACTCACTGATGCTACCGCGGTAGTCATTCGGGCGCGTATCCAACCCATGCTTCAAGGCGAGTTCGTATATGGGGTTAGCGGGACCATCTCCTGACTGCGTTCCGTGGATCCAGTCCGCTCCGAGTTCAAGGGTGAAGCGCCGACCGGGAACACCGAAATCAAAGCTCTTCAATCTACCGCCCAATTCGTCTCGCGCCTCGATGATGCGGATATTTCGTATCCCGCGCCGATGGAGAGCATGAGCAGCCATGACGCCTGAGATCCCGCCACCAAGTATGAGCACCTCGTGATCATTACTTCGTGTGGTGTTTCGCATGAGCGCGCCGGGCTGGCTCAGATGAGCCTGAGCGGATTCGGACACTGGACTGAGAGGGAGAGCGACATCGTTGGGATTTCGAAGGACGCCCAAAGCACATAGATTGGCAACGGTTGCCAGAAAGTTCATGAGCAGTTGCCGCATGACGAGTTGAGGATCGAGCGCTTGACGGGGGAAGATAGGGGCAGCGGAGAGCTACAGCAAGCGCCCGAGAGCGCAAGGGTTTATATACATGGAGGCGAATTTCGTAATGGTCTTGAAGTAGACCTCCACGCTGCGGCTCGCTTGGGGATCAGAGGAGATAGCCTGGGAGCTGCGCTGCCTCGAGGAAGCCGGGCGAAGATAACAAACTGCGGGTTCAACGGCCCTTGTTCTCTGTGGTGCTGTTACAGTGGTGGTGGTGGCTAAGAAAGAAGGCGAGAGAAGCGAGAGAGCTCGAGGCGACAACTTGCACTTGTACTAGCGTTGGACTATCCGTGGGCCAGCCATATGTGCGCCCGTGAACCCTTATCTCGAATACAACGCGAACACGCATCATTGGAAGACACGAACGCCGCGGCGACCAATATCGAGGGCATGCCAAGTGGCGCTTGTGCAAGTGAACGCGGAGCACCCTTGCGCCTCACCCGGCGTCGTATCTACCCGCGTTGTACCCCGCATCAGCACCATCCTACAGGATAACTAGCATGTTGAGCCGCGCACCGTGCGCGAGCTCAGTGTCGCGGAGTACTGTAGCAGTGACGACTGAACGATGCCACACAAGCCTGGGAATATTGGAAGGTGGCCCAAGCCCCTATGTCAGGTGACGGTTGCTGTCAGACAATATACGCTAAGCTGCGAGGCGCACAAGATCCGGCCGGACACGAGTGTCGGCCCTTTGACGCGCCTACGCCGCTGACGCTTCGCACCGCAGATAGTAGTAAGTATTGAGTACTGACGCGGTGCGACCAACAAGGGGCCTGAGCGTACACATATATAGTGCGCTCGTAGTAAGACCCGCAGAAGTCCCTAACATCAATTGCTAGGCGAGGTAGATTGGATAAACAGACCATTGTCAGAGCATACATTCTCACAAGCACAAGTCACTGAGCGTCTATATGCATGGCATCTTCGACATCCAGTTGTAAGTCCGAGTCGCCGAGGCCAACATCAGAAGCTGCATCAGAACCTCCGTCTCCCTCTTGCCCTCCGAGTTCGTCATCCACGATCTCAGTCTCTGCCAGAAGTTTCTGTTGGGCGAGCCCAGCAAAACCTGTCTCCGTGCTGTCGTCCAAGTCTTCGCGATCTTCGTCGTCGTCATATCCACCATGCGCATTACCGGCAAGGGCATTTGTGCTTTGAGGAAGCGCGGCGGCCGGTGATGCGTCTCCTCCTGCCTCGTGGTGTACGGCAGGCAACCCCGACGGATGAGGATGGGCGCTCGCCGTACCGACGGCTAAGACCACGCCGAAGTTGTGCGAGCCAACGTCCCCCTGGGTACAATTGCACAACCGTCCCAGCGAGTATTCGTGCTCGCTATCCTGCAAGATCTTGAGGGCATGATTGGAAGCGAACGCCTTGGATACCGGGAGCGATGAAGACTGGACGGCTTCGCCAACTGTGACCCCATGGACAACAACCGCGGCTGTATCATAACCTTCGCGTCGGTGTACACTTCGGGACTTCCTACATACGCGATAGCAAGAGACATATAAGCACTCAGAGAACACGACGACATGCAGGACACTTACTGGAAGAGCATCCTGCGACACCCCTGCTTCGCCGTCCATACCATCAACCGCGAGACGGGATCGCGCAACATATCCGGGTGTACCTCCTCGAGAACTTCGCGCATGAGTTCAGTGACGATAGCGTTGACACGTTCAATGTTGTATGCCGAGTCAAGCAGTACGGCACCAACAACGCTCTCGAGGACATCAGAGAGCGCCTTCGGCGGGTCGTGGGCCCAGCTTTCGCGGACGATGGTTGCGACGGGAAGCCCTCGCAACTCTACGGCATACTTCTCAATGGCAAGCGAGAGCTCCACATTGTTCACGAGTATGAGAGTATCCAGCGAGAGTTTCGTCACCGCTATCCAAGCGAGGACAGGCGCGCAAACGATACTTTCGCGCATCGTCGAGAGCTGACCGGGCTTTGCCGCAGGGAACTTGTGGTAAAGATAGTCCATGATAGGGAGGTCTATGAGTGCTGTATCTTCGTGAATGCATGAATCGCCTGTCAGTGATATGTTGCCTACCGTCTCCCAAGAACTCTAGACGTTGGTATGAGATACATTCGTTCGACCATGTCGGATGTGTCAGAGCTTCCCGGAGAGTATCTGGTCGATGGAACCAGTAGCACAGTTTCTCCTGCAGTTCACCGAAGATCGGCGGCACTCTTTGTGGCTCGGGGTTGCGGCTGTAGCGCAGAGACCAAGGTATCGTCCCGCCGAAGTCGAGACCAAGGGCAGTGCCCGTCCGTAAGGCAAAGTTCATACCGCCCGATAGCCATGCAGCACCAAGCGTCGCCTCCATACAGTCCTGCAAGCATCTACGAGGCATGATCCTCTTCGCTCGGCGATCGACATGCTCGGGATCTTCTGTACCGGCGACGTATGGCCACGTACGCACATCCTGAGTCTCGGCCGTGAGGAACTGCTCGAGATCGATCTCCTTCGCGTGCACAAGGAGTGTCGAGTTACGAATGCAGAGGGAGCGTTTGCGATCGAGCTGCCCCTCATGACAGGCAGGAAACCTATTGAAAAGATGTACACTGGTTGCAACTTTGAGGACAAGATCGCCCAGGGTCTCGAGGCGCTGGTTGCTGAAACTGGACATGGCATTGGGAAGAGTGTGTGCTTGAACTAGATGCAAGTCGGTGATGGCGGGAAGACCAAGCGCGAAGCGCGCAGAGCGGGACCGATAGACGGACGTGAGAAGACGGAGAAGACGGGGTAACGTCCGGTAGAAGTGGAACACAGACTCGGGTATAGACGACCAGGTACACAAGGAAAGAGGTAAGAAGTATGGTCGTGGATCGATGAAAGGAGGGTTGGATGCGCAAGCACCATCGAGGCCGATATCGAATGAGCCGAGGATTTGCTTGTTGACGCGGTACAGTTCAACGAGCGGACCATCCAACGGTATTTGCTCGGGCTCAATGTTTCTTGTCCTCAATTTATGAAGGAGATAGTCCCTAAATGTGGCGTATCCGGCTTCTCGCGCGTCACCCGGAGGAGTAGAGGACGGACTCAGGTCATGGCGTATGCAACGCAAGAGGTACGTTCGCCCGTGTTGAAAGCGATGCCGGACGAGTATTTTGCCGGATAGTTCGTCCGTGATGGGCGCCCACTCGGACGAACCATATGGTGATTGTAGCGTCTGCTCAATTGCGACAAAGTTGGGTTGAAGATCCTCGCAGATAGGGACAGCGTAGCACGTCAACGGGTCGGGGCGTGGTCGAGAGGAAATTGTCCACCAGATGCTGATATCTGTGTACCGCTGCAGTAGATCTCTTTGTCTCCACTCTCCCGCTTCGTCGAAGCGTACTGGGACGGGATCACCGGTTCGAAAGGCGTGCTCGTCACAGATGAGATCTACAGGTGGGAGCATAGATCCTGTGATGAGCCCAACAGAGAGCTGATCATCGACGCGCACAGGATGGATCCAAAGGCTGGGGCCCAGCGTCCACGGATACCGTACTTCAACATCCATTACCGGAGGCACATGAGACATGTCAGCCAACGGTCTCCCGTCCACATCTTCTTGACCTCCGCGGCGGCGAGAGGGGAGGAGATACGCATCGAAGATGTCGAGTTCGTGAAGGCGCCGGACGGCCTTGAATGCCGCGGCATTACGTGCCTGACGCTTCGACGGCTTGATCGGCCCTTGGAAGGTACGATCTGCAAGAGGTAGAGGGATTGCGGAGGCGGGCAGCTCGAGTACGCATTCGAAGGAGCCTGATATCGTGTAGTTGGGCTTCGGATCAGGCGTGAAGGGCTCGCGCGGGATAAGCGAGAAGAGGCGCTCGAGCAAGGAGATCGCGTTCCCATAGGTGAGGACGGCCCCGCTTGATGGTACCACAAATCGCTCGCCCTCCAGCATGTCTTCATCGCCATCTTCAGAGTCGAGAGCGACAAGGGGCGGCAGTCGTAGTTGAGCGTCTTGAGTGAGCGCCTTCGCTTCTTCTTCAAGCGCAATGAGATGGTGAAGCTGAGCGAGATCATCCGTGTCCTGCTGGATCATCACGACGAATGTAGAGTCGACTTTGCGGGCCCTCCCACGAGACTGGATGAAGCCCTTCAGACTCGTCACAGGTTCGAAGCGAACGACAAGATCGCAAGCCTATGCATGTCTCAGAGTCAGTCCTCGTTCTGAATAGCGTGCCATAGCTGACGGACCGGGAAATCTAGTCCTTCTTCAGCTACATCTGTGGCGACAACTGGTAAGAGTTAGTGTGCCGTTCAATTGGCGCATTTGCGAGGACGTACTGAGATTAGTATCTCCCCCGCGAAACGCCTCGACGACTCGCTTCTGTTCCGCCGCGGACATCGTCCGACCTCCGATCTCACCCGAGCCTTGCCCGATACCGACAAGGTACCGGGCTTTCACAAGATCCTGTAGAGCGGGGGTGCGGTTGAGGATCTCGGTCATGAAAACCGCAGTATGACGCTCTTGAACAAAGATCATGCCCTTGAGGGCGGGCGTATGCTTCGCAATGAGGAGATCGATCAAATTTTGTAGTCGAGGGGAGATCCATTGGTCAGAGAAAGGCCATAGAGGTGCATGGAAAACCGGTGACGCGAAGTAGTGATCATGTTCCTGGAGGACGCCGTGAAGCGCATGAACGCAAGCATCTATGACTGGCGTGGTCTCCTTTCCTATGCCCATCATCGGAGCGCCATCCAGATAGCGACGTCGAAGTGTTAAGGTGTCAATGGTTGTGGCGGACTTCAGAACCTCTTTGAAGAAGTCGCCAAGATCCGTGTAGAGGCCCATCTCAGCAGCGTAGAGGCCAAGAAGACCGTACGTGGTATGATATCGTTTGCCCATCTTCTCTAACTGCTCCGCGAGCTCGTTGTCGACGTGATCAGAAAGGGTGCTGAGGACGACGTCGCAGAGAACGCGCGGCCACTCCGGATAAGCAGCTATGTCCGTATACACCGGAGAGCATGAGTACGCCAAGACTTCCTGTACCGTGCGTCAACCATTGCTGTCATATATAGGCCTACGGGTCTAGCTGGAACATACGTACTAATCTTGGCTCGGGAACAAGCTCATCCAGTTCGCTTCGGTGTTCCTTCACAGCAAGGACAGTTGCATGAAGATTGTGCTCCAAATCACTGATGGACTTCTGGGCGTCCTTGTTCTGCGATACACTGGCAGTCATGCCAAAGATCTTGGGGCGCATGGATGGGTCGCAGTGATGATATTCTTGCATGATGCGATTATAAGGATGGTTCCGACGTGCGTGGTGACACTCATCGAGGATCAAGAAGGAGACCTGGGATATTTGAGGTGCGCGTTCAGACCAAGTGAATGATGAGCATACCCTGTCCATACTGAGATGCGAATGTGTGAGGAGATTCAAGAAAATCTGGGCTATGTCCTTTCAGACACGAACCCTTGCGTCACTCGCACCAGGCGCTCACCTGTTGATACTAGCACATCCGCCCTTTGTATGTTCTCGCGCCACGCCGCTCGGTCGACGATACTGTCGACCCGACCACCGTGAGCGCGCGCGATGCGTAGCGAGGGGATGTGCTTCTCGATGTAGGCCGCCTGTTGCAGTACGAGCGGGACAGTTGGTACAATGAAGATAATCTTCTTTCCCTCAGACGAAGGCAGCGCGCAGATGTACCGAATAAGAAGCACGGCGATGTACGTCTTGCCGCTTCCCGTCTTCAGCGCGGCAATGGCGTTGCCTTTTAGCGCATGATGCAATATCTCTTCCTGGTACTTGCGCGGCGTCACGGTCGAATCAGATAGGGCATTATCTGTCATGATGGTCGTTTAAGATGGGTTAGGATAGCGTGCATCGCGAATCCGCTCAAGGTGGGCGGTCAAGTCAAGAGCCAGGTCGCACGCGCCAGCTCGCGCGGCGTCAACCGGCAGTTCGCCCCGGGGTGCACGCGCGAAGGCGTCTGCGGCTTTCTTCTTCCTCCCATGGTCGGGCGAGCTGTTGACTTCCCCAATTGTCATCCCTTCCCAATGCGAGCGTAAGAAGCACACCTGATTCTGCCTTGTGGCGCTCGAAACTAGCTATCGATCGAAACGCGCTCAGTAGTAAATATGAGCCTCTTCCCCACAACAAACGACTGGACTGCTTGATCGACCCTACTTGCGCGCGGAGTGTCCCCGTTGAACCACATAATACGATGAAACTTGATGCGCATGGATGAAATGTCAAAGCATGGGTCTAAGTTCGGATTGGGTCAGATTGCTTCGACCCTCAGCCCTCGGGCTTCGCCTCGGTCTCGACTGCTATCGACCTCTATCGACTCGGCTTCCGCATCCTCCGAGCCCAATCCACGTATCAAGCACCATCGAGCGTACCTTCACGCCACACAATACGCGCTGGAGTATACCGTGTGTCTTCCGTCGACATTTTGTGCAAGACAACAAGGCGGCATCACGTCAGAGCCCCACGCGTTATTGTGTGCCCGCCGGACTTCAACAATACGACGCTTGGGCCCACCAAAGTATATAACTCGACGGACACGTTTCGCACACTCTTCACCTACTGTGCCCTGTGTCTGTTGTCCACTTACATTGGTTTCGTCTGTTGCCGTGGATATTGATCCCCGACTACTCAATCCCTGATTTAGACGCCTCGTGTCGCTTTGTTCGCTGCATTCGGCGACGGTCCGGTCGACGGCTCTTTGACGGGTTGATGGGATGGATTCGCCACTAGCAAGCCCACTCGCCACGCTGCGCTTTCTCCACCACCACGTCAACATATACATGTTGCTCTTACTCGCAGTGCCCGTCATCGTCATCGCGTGCATTCTCCTACTACGTTCGCCTCAAACCCGAAGGCGTCTCCAACTTGGCCCACGTAGACCGTCTGATCATGCTCGGTCACTACCAACAACACCTGTGTGGCGAGCCCTGGATATCAAGCATGACGCACCCTCTGAGACGAGCACAGTGCAGGAAGTGGCGGCGGCAAGCGCGGTTGCAGAAGCCATCGCGATGCATTGGAACACCGAGAGCCCAGACACACGACGCGCGTACCGTGCCTCGTCCGAGGACAGCGAAGCTCGCGGGCACGAGAACATTGTAACGTGTCTAGCCTTCGCGCTGTGCACGCGCACTGACACGCTCTCACAGCCTTCTTCCGCAGGTCGTGGCCCGCCGAATCCTTCAACTGCATCCTCCTTCAGCTCCGTCTACGGGGTAGACTACAGCTCCACTACCGCGCTGCTCGTAATGGATAACGTGCTCGTCGCCATGCCCCGCGAATCGGGTTCGATCGTTCGCGTAACAGAGTTGAGCTCCCCAGTCACTCCTGTTCGCGCAGAGTTCTATACTGGAGATGAGACGGACGGTGCTACTGAGCTCGACGAGGACAGTCTAGACCCGGAACTATGGAGAGCGTTGTTCGAGGGCATCGAGCCAGAAAGCCCGACAGAAGGGAACTGACTTTGTTTCGGTATTCAATATTCAAGATGTACTTTTTCCGTGCAATGGCTGGTCCAGTCACATGTCGCCTTCCGTCAACTAGTACCCACATGCTAATTTCGCACACCTATCATAACGCACATCATACTTCCTCGTGTCACTTCACTTAGTGGTCCATAGAGTCCTCTACTGTACAGAGATCCATTTCATTGCGCATATCTGCGCTCACCGGACTGCTTGTTAGGTCTCGCTGAGAAGGCGCAGGGGTTGCACGTACCCAGCTCGAGAAGGACTATCGGACCGAATTCCGGGTTTCCCGCGCACTCCTCGACCCGATCACAACACAACCGCAGCTTCGTTCTTCTGCCCATCACCTTGACTGCATCGTCCGTCCGTGGGGAACGTATACGGTATAGCTTGAGATCTCGGGGGCATACCACAACGAATCTCTCCAGTAACTATCACGAAGCACCATGCCCCATCCGCTGAGGCCCATCACAGGGCAGTGCAAGCTCCGATACTGGAGACGGCTCGAGCGCCGTTCAAAGCATGTCTCGACGTTTTCCTCTCAAACTTGGCTTCCTTCTCCTCCGGCATGGCATTCCGCCTCTGCCGGACTGATCACTTTACGAGGACCCTTTGCCACGCACGCCATCGAGCTTCGAGGGATAGGGCGGGTCGTCGACTGCTCGGCATCTTGGATGCTCGTATTGGCGTCGTACGCTTGTTCCAGGAACGGCCCAAAGCATCATCTATTGAACGCATTTGCTCACAGCACGAATCATAACATCAAATCCGCGAGGTCGGCATCCCTCGGCTACCGTTGAGCATGTGCGTCGTCTCGCTTCTGTGGCTCGTGGCTCGTGGCTTGTGCATCATGGAACAACGCTGACCCTCTACGTATAGCGCTCTGGATTAAGCTGAACACCTTGCTTCGTGCTGCTTTGAGCTCTGAGATACGGGTCATATCAACCGTACTCGCTCATGACACACAGTCATGGTGAACTTGTATCTGTTTGTGGGTGTGTCACCCTCATGGTATCTGTATTACCGGCAAGTCAGGAAGCTCAAGAAGCTCTTTGGTGGAGCTAGGCAGTCTCGTACCCTTTCAAGGAAGAAGAGCCAGCATATTGCGTGCAGTCAGTGGTGGAACGAAGACGGTGGAATCGGGTATAAGATCCCGCATTCCACTTGCATTCCTTAGTCCACAGCCATCCTGATCCCACGGCGCCATGCCATCTACGGAGAGAATGCTCTCAGAATTGGATATCAAGATACTTTCCATCATCGGTCATAATACCATACGGAACATCGTATGTCTCACAGTAGAGGCGGTCCTTTATAGTGCGTGGAGGGTCCCATGTTCACTCGGACGCTGATGCTCATCGTGGATATCAGCCATCTATTCCACCCTCGTCATGCTCTGTGGCCGGATATACATGTAAGCATTGTACCCTCTGACTACGTACACTTCAACCTCAAATAGAGCTCATCCATGCATCAGAAAACGCCAACGCTGGAATGTCATATCCACAGTCCTCTTCGCAGTCATCCTGACGATGTTTCTGCTGGATACTGCCTTGTGTATCATCGACATGAACGATGCCATTCGAGAAATCTCCTCCACGTTGCTCTCGACCGCGCCGAATACGCTAGCCGAACGCCTTGACGATCTTACTCAACTGTGGCCCGTCGAGAACGTCATATATTCATTCTTGGTGGGTTTCCAGATCAGCAAGTAGCTATCGTTTTGCGCCAACTCTGACGACCCGCGTTGTAGATGAATCTGGGAGACGTTGTCATCTGCTGGCGCACATATGCCTTCTATCGGCATTCGCGAGAGCGATGGTTACTTCTGATCCCGTTCACATTCCTCGCGGGATCCTTTGGTATGTGATTGCTATCGACGACCACGTCACCTTGCGCTAAGATTCCACGTCAGCCATATCATCTCTCATTGCATTCTGCGTATCGAGAGGAGACCCTGAGGGTGAAGAATCTGTCGACATACCCTTCTGTGGCCATACACAGATGGCGTCTTACACTATGACGCTGGCCACTACGGTCGTGATCACCGCCATGATTGGATGGAAAACGTGGTGCGAGACCGATCAACTTCTACGGCTCGGATCGTACTCAGGATTGATACTCTTTGTACGTGAAGGATGTATCGGCGCACCATCGGGGCGGCAATCCGATCTGGAAATGCAAAGACACGCATAGAAAGAGTTCTGGAGATTTTAACCGAGTCGGGTCTCTTATACTTGGCATTTTGCGTGCGTCCGCGGTCAGATACACCGCGCGGTCAGGTTGCTGATGGCCCGGTACATCTTACAGTTGGCTACTGTGATCAACCATACGAGCGTCGTAGCCCCTCTCGAAGATGCCACGCCGCGACTAGCATTCGGAAGCGCGATCTGGGCGTACATGACTAGTCACATCATCGTAAGCCGTGCCATCTTTGTCGCTCTTCATGTACTGACAGCATTGTAGTGCATGTACCCTGCCTTGGTTATAATCATGGTAGACAAGCAATCCTACATCGATAGCGCCACGACGCGCTCGAGATCGAAAGTGTCGCCTTCACAAGCGTCTGGCCAGCGCACAGTTGATTCGACTCGAAGCCAGTTGCCACATTGGGATATTAACAGTCTGGGCTCCCTCCACAAAGACGGCCATACCTATGCGAAATATGGCAACGTCGCCGTCATCGGGGGCCACGAGTTGCGGGAGATGCACGGAGAGAGGACTGCCGTTGTTTGAATTGCAGCGGAAGGCGACGCAAGTAGTGGCGAAGCATGCTTCTTGGATTTCACCACGGACATAGTGATAGCCCCGCGTTGAGCTCTTGACCGGGCAGGGCCCCATCCATTAGAACCATTCTTGTGCTTGTTAAGACTTATCGACCTTCGTTCCGTAGCCCCAGCGCCTGCCGCTTCCCCTCAGCCGTCGCACCGCCCCTCTTCCTCCCTACCCCAGTAACCGCCGACATCGGCTCACCCTTCCTTTTGCCCCCATTCAAGCCCCTTGATACTGCTGAACCGTTCTCCTTCCCCTTCCCCTTTCCGAATCGATCCGCGCCCTCCTCTTGTTCAGCATCCTCTTCATCCGCCACCTCTCGTTCATTCTTGCCTTCTTCAACCGTACGCACAAGCTGCGTCTCTACAACTCCATAAGGCCGCACGAAAGGCTCAAACGCGTCTGGTTGCCATGGCTCATAAAGCTCGTCGTAAATGTAAGCCGAGTCGGCGTTGTAGTCAGGCGACAGCCCGTATGTGCTCCACACATAAGCCTTGCACTCCATGTGCGCGAGCGCGTCGCGTGTCGCTGTCCCATCGCCCGGTACTGGCGCGTGCTCAACCACAGCAGAATCAGCTCTTAGAGGTATGATCGGGTAGTCGCCACCGTCTTGGGAGTATTTGTCCCCGTCTTTTGGGACTCGCGGTCTTCGTGGCAGTGCCAATAGTCTGCCAATAGCACTGTCAACAACCGCAGCAGCATATCGAGAATCACCCAGTCTATAGGCAGGGCGTAGAATCATCGGAGACGCGGTAAAAATCTCCTGCGAGCTGGTTGCCGTCATTCCTGGCGGCGGTTCGCGGACCGACACCTTGCTTTTTGGGTTGCCGGTCTGTAAGAGATTGTCCTCAAACGAGCCGGAGGAAGACGACATGATGATGATGCAGAGGGCAGAAAGCTGGTGCAAAAAATTGTTTGAGATCCGCTCGCTATATAAGGCGGCGGAGTCGGAATGCGCCTTTGCTTGCGTTCGCGTCAAACGTCCTTTGCGGCCAGTGGTTTACCAAGTCACCTGACCGCGTATCGAACAACAGAACCTCTTCTTCCGCTCGCACAGGGTCCACGAAAACAGCGGACCACACACGACAACGGTGGAAGGGACCAAAGGCGCCGTGCCCATTGTTCTCGATGAAAATGTAGCTAGCCGTTGTGGTGGTGGTGCGCAAGAGAGGTTCGAGCGCCGGCGCAGCCGCGACGCGTGACGTACTCGCGTCGTCGTCAACACGACGGAGACGCGCCGTGCCTTCTGTGGTTCCGTGGCGCGGCGCGCTCAAAGTGAACCACGCTCGGTCCAGGCTAGGTCCCACACTAGCTGATGGCGTCTATAAAGCTTCCTCCCGGGCGAAAGCTCATATCGCTCCCTTACTCACTCAACCCCCATCCCTACACCGAACTCTCAAACACCACTCTATTCAGCAAAGCAACCATGGCTGGTTCGTATTCTTTGGAGCAACACTACAATGGATTTAGGGCAAAGTGAGATCACCCGGCGCCACCGGTGGTAGCGAAACTTGAGCCTAACGCCCTATCTGAGTAAGGTCTGAGCTTCGACTGCATAGTATGACATCGAGACGCGGGCGTCAGATACGCCAACTTATCTGATAGTTCCCAGCCAGGGGATCATACGATGCAGAGCGAGCATGTGGATACTCGGGTCCTCATCGCGGTCGTCGAGAAGGCCTGTCTGTCTCGGTATACAGGTTACCGTCGAAGTCGCGAGTAGTGCCAAGGGGGGAAAGGGCAAGTCCGAATGTAGCTCAGCGTACCCGGATTATGAATGGATGCCGCATGTTAACAGCGGGTAGAAGTTCGGCATACGTTCCCAGCATTCCGTTGGAACGGGAATAATTCATCCTCTTTCCGGTGAGATGAGACGATGGTCACCACCCAATGCCTTTGCCATATAACGGAGAGGTCAAGCTGAAGGGCGCCGGAATGCAAGTCGCCTTTTGGCCCGTCGCACTTTCAGCCACCTTTGTCTGTGGTTTCATCACCTACTCCCTCTATATCCTAGCTATGAAGAGCGTGTCATGGTTACCCATATTTCTTTCGGGAACATTTCTTGTTGGAGCGAAGACAATTGCCCCTAAAGTAGTCATCGTCGACTTCGTGCGTGAATACGAATTTGGTCTCTGTGTCCCCGGGCCTTGCTCAACTTTCCGCAGTACGACGACGAAGCCAACATTTGGTACGGGATACCAGACTTCGATCTCCTTGCACAAAATATCAGTGTGCCCGGTCTATCTTCCATGTATCCCGATGTTCACTGCACGGCGAACGGCGAGATCTGCCAAGTGATCACCGATGAAGGCGAGATCAATGCGGCGGCGACGGCCACTGCGTTTGTCCTGTCTGATCGTTTCGACCTGCGCAAGTCGTACTTCCTGCTCGCGGGCGACGCCGGGATCAGCCCCAAAGTCAGCACTCTCGGGTCCGTGGCTTTCGCGCGTTTTTCGGTGCAAGTCGCTCTCCAGTACGAGTTCGACGCCCGCGAAAGGCCGGAAGGCTCGCCGACCGGTTATATACCGCAAGGAACGACCGGCTACAACCAGTATCCGCAGTACATCTACGGCACAGAAGTGTACGAACTGAACGATGCACTACGTCAGCGGGCCATCGACTTCGCACGCAAAGCGACGCTGAATGACACTGCCGATGCGCGCGCATATCGCGCGACATACGCTGGGAACGAGAGTTACACTCCTGCAATATCAACGCCTTCTGTAGTGGGTTGCGATACGGCTACGTCAGACGTGTGGTGCGTGACAAGCCTTCGCATCCAATCCATTTGGAACTGATGGCGATATTGCGTTGCGTTCCAGGTTCTCGGGAAACCTGCTCGCCTCTGCGTTCGAAGACGCCATGACCCTCTTCACCAATGGTTCTGCAAATTATTGCACGACACAGCAAGAAGACAGCGGAGTTCTAGCTGCACTCGTGCGTGGAAATGTCGCCGGGCTTGTAGATTTCACCCGCACAATGTCCATGCGGACGGCGTCGGACTTCGACAGGCCCGCTCCAGGCGTGCAAGCAGCGGACAATCTCTTCAATGGGCAGAACGCCGGGTACGACGCAGCAGTTGAGAATATCTATCTCGCGGGCGTGCAGGTCGTACAAGGAATCATCGAACACTGGGATGATACGTTCTGTGAGGGCGTAAAGCCGGAGAACTACGTTGGCGACATACGTGGATCTCTCGGAGGTACGCCAGGCTTTGGTCCTGAGGCCTGAGGCCTGACTAGCCGTTTCGAGGCTCTCGCGTAGTGGCCGCGAATGATGTGTAGCCATCAGCACGGCAATACCCCGCATGTATGATACAGTACCGTGCACGGCTACCACCTGCTAGACTACTCATGCCCACGCTGTATATCTGCTTTGACCGCTACGGTCACTTGGACTCGGAGATGCATCGCATATGCATGGTGCTAGTGAGCGGAGATGAGGCAATGTTGGGCAACGTGTATCCGAAAGCGCTGAATCAGCTCTTCCCGCGCTCCCTCCGCCAATGAAAACGACACGTCGGACAGCGCAACGTCAACGCCCCTCATGGTCTCTGTCTTCCTATTTGCTCCCCTCATCGGGTTGATGAATCGTGCGCCGGGCCATGATGGCTGAGCTATGCATCGTTTCATCTGTGGATCTACAGCTACGTCTGGGGCTAAATGTGCGCCGCATGAGTGGGAGCTTCACGCTGCAATGGTCGTCTTCATGTGAGAGTCATCCAGTTCTACCAAGGACCGATGTCCCAACAAGGTGAGTCTGTTGCTTCGTACTGGAATACGGCGCTCTCAACACTCACTTAGCGAATCTAGACCCGCCTGGAAGCTCGATGGTACCTCCGAGTATATCTGAGATCAGTCGTACTTCCAGCCGTCTGCCAGTCGAGATCAAATGGGCCTCCCGTACACGCTAGCAACCCATCAATGCGAAACCATAGTATCCGGCTACATGGGTCTTGGTCAAGCAAAGGTAGGTGCTCTGCCCTGACTTTGTCGTTCACTGTAGGAACGGCGGGCACGACGGGCGCTCGCGGTCGTGGCGGATCATCATTCGATATCTCAATGACCGTGTGGTACGACGTGCGGTCTTATTCGCTCTAGCGGATCTGTCATGCACGCGCACTTCCCTGTCAGTTTCATACAGAGTTCGTTCGAAGCGCTGATCCTCGCCCGGTTATACAACATTGATTATACTCTAGATACGCACAATGACTTGCTCATGCAGGCGATCATTCCACAGCCTTGTCTCGCAATATCACCTTAGAAATGAGGTTCATCACTTCTCGGAGATGTTGTAAGCTAGTCGTCCATGGTGCTGTACCAGACCTGTCAATAAGTCGGACGTAGTGCCGAAAGCTACCGTGCGCTCTGAGTCTCACAGTCACACATCTCTTTGCTGGCGCCCTGATTCCCTCTCTAGGCCTAGTGTACTGACCAGATAAGGAGGGACTTATACCAGAGTCAGAAAACGGCAACATGTCCTCTTGATGATCCAGTGCCCAACATCTCACAAGACCCGCATGTTTCGGGAGCAGAGAGCGAAGAGGTGAAGGTCATGATAAGTATATAAGTACACCGTCTTCACTTCGTTGTTTCGATCAAGGTCATCCTGCTCCTGCAGCGCCATGTCTTCCAGCTCGATCTCTGACGCGGATATCAACGCACTCGACAGTATCGGACACGACACTGTCGAGAACTTTGTGTGCCTGGTCGTCGAGGCAGTTCTCTACAGTGCGTTGTTATACTTCACCGTAAGGTCTGCGGCACGTTATAACTCACGCAATATTTTAGCCATATACTTCATGCTCGTTGTATCGTGCGGCCGGATATACCTGTGCGCACAATGCCCTAGCGTCCGCGTTTGATAGCTTGGTTGACGCGATATCCGACGTATAGGAAGCCCGCGCGCCGGAACGCGATGTCCACGTTCATATTCGTGGTTATCCTGACGATGTTCATGCTCGACACGGCCATGTGCATCATCGACGTCAATAATGCGATCCGAGAGGTCACTCTCACGCTATTCTCTACTTCGCTGGGCACGGTGGCCGATCGTTACGATAGCCTCGCCTTGCCCTGGACTGTTGAGAATGCCATATACTCATTCATGGCGAGGTTTCATGACTTACACAGACATGATCCAGAAGCTTACAGCCAACACCGTAGATGAACCTTGGAGACGTCATAATCTGCTGGCGTGCATATGCGTTCTATCGTCAGCCTCGCGAGCGGTGGATTCTTCTCATTCCGCTGACGTTCCTGGTCGGTTCCTTCGGTATGTCCTTTGTTGATTCGCAATGTATCTCCAGCTCATGATCCTCTCCAGCCATGTCCTTCTTGATATCGTTCTGTGTGTCGAAGGCAGATCCGGAACTCGGGGATTTCATCAACCCTCCTTTCTGTGTTCATATACAGATTGCAGCATACTCCATGACTTTGGCTACTACAGCCATAGTTACAGCCATGATCGGCTGGAAGACCTGGTACGAAACCCTGCTTTATCCATATTACACCGCCTCACTGACGATCTAGGATCTACCGACGCACTATCGGAACAACGATCCGAGAGACTAATAGGAAGACGCGCGCAGAGAAGGTCATGGGGCTTCTGGTCGAGTCCGGCCTATTATATCTCGTATTTTGCGTGAGTGTTGAATATACTTGCCCTCGTGCATACTCCAAGTACTCAGGCTTGTCTCGCAGTTGGTATCCGTGATCGACGATTCTGGCCCAGTAGCCTCTCTTGAAGAGTCTACGCCGCGCTTAGCATTTGCGAACTCGATTTGGACGTATATGACCAGTCACATAGTGGTATGTGACATGAAAACATCGGCTATCGCATGCTAAGGATACTCTAGGGTATATATCCTGCGTTGGTCGTCATTCTGGTAAACTCCCAGAAGTCGTACATCGATGGCGTCGAAGTATCTTCAAGAAGAACTGCGCTACTCTCACACACGTCTCATACGCAATCTGGGTCGGGCACAGCTGCATCGAGCCAGCGGCCTTACTGGGGCACCGGAACCATGGAGTCATCACGGCCTAAGAAGTATCGCACCCGGTCATCCAGCGACTTGGACCGCACACTCAAGATCGAGATTCACGAGATGCAGGAAGTATCCGGTGATGCTACATTCGGCGACACCCATGGGGCTCTCGGTAATCATGGACCGCGCTCTCCTGAGTTTGCCATGGCTATGAATGATTCGAAGGAAGTATCCTACGGCTCCTTTCCGTAGTGTCCGGAACACGCGGCAAGGACATGTAGTCGCCTTTGTCTCAGTTCGTACAGATCCTAGTCTTGGTCTTGTGTTACAATTCTCTGGCTCCCCCAAATGTAGGAATATCCTGCACTATGTCCGCCCTCGTCTCTTTCGATGATTACTGGCGTGGGCCTCTTCCTCCTTTGTAATCTACCAGACACCACATGTGCCTCAGGACCATACTCCTTCCCTCTTCCTTTGTCGCACCTACGTCCTCGGCCCATATGACTCTATCCTTTTCATTCTTCTGTGTGCTCTCCTTCCCTGTCTCCTTCCCTGTCGGCACCTCTCGTGTCTCTATAACCGATTGTGGTCGAATGTAAAGCCCAAATGTACTTGCCTCCCACGGATCATAAAGTCCGTCGTAGATGTACTCTGAGTCGACGTCGAATTCTGGCGATAGCCCGTATGTGCTCCACACATAAGCCTCGCACTCCATGTGCGCGAGCGCGTTGCGCGTCACTACCCCATCACCTGGTACTGGCGTGCGCTCAGACACGACTAGATGAGGTTTGAAAGATATGGTAGGGTAGTCGCCACATTCTTGGGAGTACCTGTCTCCGTCTTGTGGGACCAGCGGTCTTCCTGGCAGTGCCAATAACCTGCCAATAGCACTGTCAACAACCGCAGCAGCATATCGAAACTTACCCAGTTCATAGTAGGCAGGATTTAGAATCATCGGAGACGGTGTGGAAGTCTCCTGCGAGCTGTTCGCTGTCATTCCCGACGGCGGTTCGCAGGATAATCCCTTGATTATTGTGTTGTCGGCTTGAAAAATATGATCCTCAGACAAACCAGAAGAAGAAGACGGTATCATGACACGAAGAGTCACAGGCTGGTTTGAAGAATTTTTCTGAAATCCGCTCGCTATATAAGGCGGCGGGGTCGGAATGCGCCTTTGCTTGCGTTCGCGCCAGACGTCCTTTGCGGTCGATAGTTTACCAAGTCACCTGACCGCGTATCGAACAACAGAACCTCTTCTTCCGCTCGCACAGGGTCCACGAAAACATCGAACCACACACGACGACGATGGAAGGGACCAAAGGGGCTGTGTTCATTGTTCTTGATGAGAATGTAGCTAGCCGTTGTGGTGGAGGTGCGTAAGAGAGGTTCGAGCGACGGCGCAGCCGCGACGCGTGACGTACTCGCGTCGTCGTCAACACGACGGAGACGCGCCGTGCCTTCTGTGGTTCCGTGGCGCCGCGCCCAAAGTGAACCACGCTCGGTCCAGGCTAGGTCCCACACCAGCTGAGGGCGTCTATAAAGCTTCCTTCTGGGCGAAAGCGCATATCGCTCCCTTGCTCACTCTAACCCCATCCCTACACCGAACTCTCAAACACCACTCTATTCAACAAAGCAACAATGGCTGGTTCGTATTCTTTTCTTTGGAGGAACACTACAATGAGTTTAGAGTTTCATTGCTGACAATGCTGCGTAAACAGGCACGAAGCGCAAGGGTGACGAGGCTGGCGTGTCTACTCGCAGCGGGGACTCGAAGGTGGCCAAGAAGGCACCGGACAGCAAGCCGAAGAGCAAAGGCAAGCCCGAGAGCAAGGCAAAGGCGCCAGCGAAGAAGGGCGGGCCCAAGGTGCGCTACGTCCCTCGATTCCTCTTCCCAACTCTATTCTGACACTCCCGTTCGAACAGGCGCCCGCGACAGCGCATTTCAAGAAGCACGCGCTCCCGCTGCACGTCAACATCACGCACACGCCGCCTCCCATCGCGGACGACAAGGAGAGCGCGGCTGTTGCTGACCCGGGCTTCCTCGGCGGCGTTTCACTTCAGCCGGCTACATTCGCCACGGGGAGCTACGGCTGGAAGGGAAGCAAGAGACTGCAGATCGAACTTGATGGCGGGGACGGCAAGGAGAAGGTTCATGTCATGCTCAAGTGGGTTACTCCTGGTTGGTCATCTTGGCTCCCGCCCAATACTGATATGAATTGTAGCATCAACGCCACTGTCATGGGCAGCAAGGCGGCTGGTAAGGACGAGGAAGGCGGCGAGGTCGAAGGCGAGGCGGACGACGCCAAGGAGAATGGTGCCGCTGAGGAAGAAGAGGCGGCTGCCGAGGAGTAAGCTCGGCCAGCGCCTTGGATCCAGTAAGTATATGAAGTAACGATCTCATGCCTGTCCTCTGTCCTCTTGGATAAACTGTACCCTTCTATCTCCAACATACTCTATTTGTTGTCTTCCACGGAGCAAGGCGGTGTTCATTGTTCGCCGCCCCGCGTACTGCACCATGTGTCCGAACAATATTCGCACTCCATCCGCGCGACACTACCTGTGCGTATGGCGCCCTCGGGCTTCTACGACCTTGAGACTCTGGTGCCGATAACAATGCCTCCTATCGTGATCTACTGTAAGGTGCTCCTCGCTTCTCACTCCGTGGAACCTAGTTGAGCGACCGATTCTAGACAAACGAGCGCTATCAAGACCCACATTCATCTTCGCGCGTTTCGTGGTGCGGTGCAATGTGGTGCGAGGATGTGCGTCGCCTTCCCAAATCTGGCAAGCATACGCTCCCTTGGGTATGGTCTCTCGCACACGCTCTTCCGAGGACGTGCTGAGAAGCTGTTCTGGTGACATGTCATCATCCGTGTATACTCCAATCACGCATGTCCACAACAAGCGCTGAGGCGCAGTTGCCTCTGCTATAGCGATTTGGCTTGTCTCGCCGCCGAACATCCTACCCCAAATGACATGCTACCATCTTTTGAGGGAGCACGGCTAGATCCCGCGCGAACTCCAGGATTCGCAAGTACTGTAAGCTCCGACACATAAGAAGGCCCAGCTAGAGCGCCCTGCACTCTGAACATTGGTCCTGTATATGATCCATCAAACATGTCGGCGTCTAACTCAACACTGTCGGACTCGGACATCGAGACGCTGAGCGCTATTGGCCATGCCACCGTCGAGAGCATAGTCTCCCTGGTCGTCGAGGCCATCTTGTACAGTGAGTGCTCGTGTGTTGTGGACAATATCCATATAATCTGGTCGCTCATTGTGCTTTCTTTTTCTAGCTATATACTTCGCTCTCGTCATCATCGTCGGTCGAGTCCTCCTGTGAGTACACACGCAACGTTGCTGTAACTACCAGCGCCATGTCTCTAACATGGGTGACAGTAACTTCAAGAGTCGTACAAGGACGTCCATCGCGATCTTCGTCATCATCCTGTTGATGCTCATGCTCGACACTGCGATATGCATCATTGACGTCCACAATGCCATTGTGACGATCACCGCCACCCTATACCCAGCTTCGTCGTCAGAGTCACTCACAGATCGCTACGACAGCCTCAACTTGCCGTGGATGGTCGAAAACGCGCTGACAGGCTTCATGGTACCTCGCCTTGCGTCCTGAAGATTCGCTTCGCAAGCTGACCATGAGGCTTAGGCGAACTTGGGAGATGTCATCATCATTTGGCGAACATGGGCGTTCTACAAAGGGCCTCGAGAGCGTTGGTTGCTTCTCATCCCTATCAGTCTCCTCATAGGCTCCCTCAGTTCGCCCTCACCGCCTTTCCCACCACTCATTGTCTACTGATCTTCTTACCCATGCAGCGAGCTCGTCCCTTCTCGCATACTGCGTCACCAAGTTCGACGCCGTCCCCGGTTCAAGTGACTTTGCGAAGGCTCCCTTCTGCACCAACTTAACCCCGACGCAAGGTTACTCTGTCGAACTAGCGTCTATGGTACTGGCCACAACCGCCGCAGCGACCGCCATGATATGCTGGAAGACCTGGTACGCTCACGCTGTAACGCGATATCGTACTAACCTGCGCCTCGTACTGACCATCATGCATCGTATAGGACATACCGTCGCACGATTGGAGCGAACCTTCGGCTCAACAAGAACAAGACGCGCGCAGAGAAGATCATGGTGATCCTCATTGAGTCCGGAGTGCTGTACTTCCTCTTCTTTGTAAGCTCTACGCTAATCTCCGACACGTCTTGCGACTCGAACCTGACCTCGTGAACAGTTGCAGGTTCTCATCAGCTCTTCCACGACTGTGAATGATGCAGAGTTGTCAACGCCCTCGCTACAATTCGCGACTAACGTTTGGACCTATATGACAAACCACATCCTTGTGCGCCTTCTTCTCGCTATTCTGATCATACAAGACTCCTGCTGACGAATTGCTGACAGGGAGCTTATCCTGTCCTTGTCGTCATCCTCGTCCGCTCCCAGCGCTCCTACATCGAGGGTGCCATCAACTCCGACGTCTCAATATCCACGCGCTCGTCCAACTCCCGCTCGTACCCTGAACGCCACACGCTCCCATCTCATCGGTTTGAGCATGGTACAAGTACCATCGGCACCATGTGCTCTGAGTCAGAGGGCACAACTCGATACGTGCCAGGGCGCGATCATTTCCTCGACATCGACGTACACGAGCGACGTCCAGTTCGCGACGACCAGTCCTTCAGCGACGTTAGCAGAGTTAGAACTAGAGGAGACGATGCAGAAGGCTCGGAGGTCCAGTCAGTCAAGTTCAAGAAGTCGTCTCGGAAGCACGGACAAGATACGGAGAAGGCTTAGTTGTGTCGCGGTCCTGGTCATTGCTCTGCAGAATTCTCAGCAAAAACGGTCTATGTATCATATGGTCTCACAACTGCTGATCCCCGAATCGCTCGGGCGTTTCGCCGGGCGATGCAAGGCGATGACTTTACACGTTCCATCGCCAAATCACATCCAATCAACATACCGGATTGGATGTAGACTCCCACACTCAGCAGCCCACTATGGCCACCGGCGCTACATAAGTAAATGCTGAGGTTCCGCTTTGGGCATGTCATCGCGTGCGCTCCATCCAACTGTACGGCAAAGTCGTCTTGAGGCGTTGTGGCGTAGTTGCCTGTGGCTCAACTGAACTACCTTCCGCCAGATGTAGCGAGTATAAGCTCCATCTGTTGGAACAGTATCATAACAGAGATCCTGCGCGACCAACAGCGTTCGCGAACGTAGACGAGTCGGACCAGGCGCCGTAAAACCTCGACTCATAAGAAGCCTCTCTTCAGGCTGAGTATGTGTTTGCTGGCTCCTTGTAGAAGCTATCCGCCATGCCCACCTCTAACTCAACACTATCCATATCGGACATCGAAACGCTCAGCGGGATCGGTCACAGTACAGTCGAGAACATCGTGGGTCTTGTCGTTGAGGCCATCTTGTACAGTGAGTGTTCTCGTCCGTCATGAGACCGGACCTCAGCAGCTTATGATTGGTCTTAGCCATCTATTTTGGTCTTGTTGTAGTCGTGGGGCGTATCCTCCTGTCAGTTACCCTAGGTTCCAGCACTCTTACCCTTCTACAAGTCGCTGATAGGGCCTCAGTGAGGCGAAGAGCCGCACACAGACATCCATCGCAATCTTCATCATCATCCTGACGATGTTCATGCTCGACACAGCGATATGCATCATCGATATTCACAATACCATTCGGCCCATCACAGTCACTCTGTACTCAACCTATCCAGAGTCGTTAACGGACAGATATGCTAGTCTCACCTTGCCATGGATGACCGAAAACGCATTGACTAGCTTCATGGTGCGTTCCCCGATCGCTCTGAGCTCGTCGTGAGCTCGATGTCCTCATGCTCTTCAAGGCGAATCTTGGAGATGTTATCATCATCTGGCGGACGTGGGCACTCTACAAAGGCCCCCGCGAGCGTTGGATACTTCTCATCCCAATCAGTCTGCTGGTGGGTTCTTTGAGTATGCATCACGCTCCGCCTTTGCTCCCAAACAGCGATGAATGACATCTGTAGCGAGTTCGTCTCTCCTCGCATACTGCGTGACTAAGTACGAAGCAAATATCAAGCTCGACAAGGGGTTCCCAGATGCCCCGTTCTGCGCCAATCTGTATCCCACCCAAGGGTACCCTCCGGAGTTAGCATCCATGGTGCTGGCCACGACGGCTGTAGCCACTGCCATGATATCCTGGAAAGCCTGGTGCGCGCTCCCTAACATCAGTGCAATAGGGAGATGACACTTATGGATCTCGTGCTTGTAGGGTCTACCGTCGCGCCATTAGATCAGATTTCCGGCTCAACAGGAAGAGAACACATGCGGAGAAGATCTTGGCGGTACTCGTCGAATCCGGTGTGCTTTACCTCATGTTCTTTGTGAGCGTAGTCTACATCATTGCAGGAAAAGTCTTTGGAAAGCTGACCTCATTATTCACCATGAGGTGCAAGTTCTTGTCAACTCCTCCCCGGCCGTGAGCCATCAGGAGTCGACCACCCCTGGGTTGGAATTCGCAGCGAATGTTTGGTCGTACATGACGAATCATATCATCGTACGCCCCTTCACTATTGATGTCGTGTAGACCGCTTCATGTGCACATCAGGGGGCCTACCCGGTCCTTATCGTCATCTTCGTCCGATCACAACGATCGTACATCGAGGACGCTATGAGCACAGGTCTGACGCTCTCGACAAATGTATCAGAGTTTTACTCGTTTTCGGGACACCACACGCTCCCGTCCCATCGGTTTGAGCAAAGCACAATGGGAACTGTCTGTTCCAACGTCGCTACTCAGACTGGTCTTGGAAGCAGGGAGGTCCAGCCAAATGGGCTAGGATCCTCACTAAAAGGACGACTGGGATCGGAGGAGGCGTAGAGGCGTGTTGAGCGTCGACCCGGAGTACAGAACGATTATCTTATCTTACCTTATTGAATATAATGAGGTCAATGGAGATCATGAACTTGTGAACTGATGTCACGATGGACGCTCTCTACGTTCATGACATAGAGTGTGTTGTGAATCGGGCCGAGAGGCAGCTCGACTGTGCGAGTGCCTTCGCCGGCATTCGGCGGACCGAGCTTACTAAGCCATTGTTGGCCTCGCCTCGTTCTCGAAGAAATAGTACATAGTAGTACATTCTAGTAGGTACATTGTAAATAGTATATAAGCACGAATGTAAGAACTCGGTAGGGCATCGGTTTGCCCTAACGCGAGCCTTCCTCAACGAACAGCGCGATCGCACACCGACCGCTTACCTCATCTTCATCTTATCTCCCCGCACCCGAATCTCAACAGAGTGAACGGTCGCCAAATATATTGGGCGCTCAGTGGCAGATCATGGTGCTGATCAACCAAGAAACAGATGTAACCCTTGCACATGAAGTAGGCCCGTGCTCATAGATCAAAATCAGAGTCTGAATCGTCTGCGTTCTTCGCGGGCCCGCGAACGTTCTTCGTCGTATGGTTCACGAAGGCACCGCGCGAGCGCATTCCGGAAGATTTGTCCCGGCCTTCATCCTCACTTTCGTCCTTGTCCTCACTATCTCGCTTCTCATGCGCTGGAGCATGTGTAGGTGGATCGATTGCCCCGCTCATGATCAGCACCGCCTCCAGTTCTGCGCAATTATGAGTACGTGTCATGTTCATCGGAAGGAGACTTCACCCACCTTCAGATGAACGGTCTTTATCAGCACCCCAAGCTGTGATCTGCGTCACGATATCGCCCTTGCGGTACACGATGAACATCGGTACACGGCTGTCCGGCAGATTCGGGATGCACTTGTCGCCCACTATTGACACGAACTTTGTACGCGGGTGTTTGCGTGCCAGTCCACGGATGTGTTCGAATGCACGGTCGCTTCGCGGTATACTGCAAGATGCAATTTGCTGTGAGAAAGATTATCGCGGAAGGGACTGGGAAGGAGAATGCATACCCATCCTTGTACAGCAGCGCCACAACGCCGGTCCCACGGCTCTTGTCGTCTCCCGCCTCATCAATCTTAGACGCGTCCGTGATCTCCCTCGTATAATCATCCCTTCCAATGGGCAACACGTCTCCAAATCTGGCCAACTGCCTCTCCCGTGCCTCAGCCATCAGCCTCTCTCTCCTCCTATTATCAATCGCGCGCTGCACGTCGTCGTCTTGTGCGTCATCCGCTGCATCGCGTAGTTCGTCCAGTGTCAGGTCATCAAGCTCTTCGGATAGTGTCGGCGATGGAGGTGGACTGGGAGAGGGAGGTGTGGGCTCGAGGGGCGGGAGGATGCCGTGCTTGCGGAGAGCTTCGTTGCTGGTATATTCGCATTGGTTCTCTTAGCCGGGGTGGGCGCGGGAAGAGGCGTACAACTCGGTATCTTCATTTGCGTTGATTGCCATCCTCGAAATTTACGTGTCTCAGAGTGTCGGGGTCAAAAATATGAGTTTGACAGGTGTCTGGCGTAGTGGATGACAGTCCAAGAAGAGCGGCACGCAAGCGGACGCGATCATTTCCGTCAACAGCGGTCTCGGTCCAACAGGCCGAGCGGCAGAAACGCGCCCACATGACTTGATTTGACGCGTTGCGAATACATGACAAGGTGTTCCGGTGTTTGAGAAGCATGTCTCGGCTACCCTAAGCCTTGACTTTGCAACAAAAGGTCAAGGTACCGCAATGGTTTCAGCTAAACCGCTAGCGGATAACTGGAACCCAGAACTGATAGGGAAACGGGTCCCCAAAGCAACACGCATTTAGAAGAACTGATGAGAAGTCGTAGCTGTGCTACTGATTGACGGTATATCTCAAAAAGATATCTGAAGGGAGTAGTGATCAACGGGGCAGGTTCAATCTTGAGTATTTGTCATTGTAACCACAAACTCTTCGGGCCGCAAAGGCCTGCGGCTCAGAGAGGTCGCGCTTTAGATTCAAAGGTCTTCAGCTTATAACTCATACTCTCTTTCCGCATCTTTACCTTCTCTTGCACCCGTCAGAGACTCGGGTGGCAACAAGCCTCTCACTACGCTATCGAAAAAGCGTCCGAGGTCAGTGCATGACACCTACATCAAATAAGAAGACACCGGCTCACGAGAGGTTAGATGAGCTACCAATTTGATGGCATACCGAGATCCTTCCCACCCGATTCAGCAGGCGCCCTTCTCCACGCCAAACACGTCTGTTCCTTCGCCCTCAACTGGAACGCCCTCAACGACACGGACGCCCGTACTCCACCCTTCGCACGCCTAGGTCGACTTGGGCATCTTGCCGCTGTGCCAGGACCGTCTAATTATTTCTTCCAGAACGACTTGTGGTTGTGTCCTGCGCATCCGAGCGTCGTGAGGAGGGAGCTGGGGCTGCCAGCGCCCAGTGTCAAGTTCAAGGTCTCTGTTGAGATAGTAAATGCTTCACGCACTTCGAACGAAGCGCCTCCTCCGTGCGAGGGTCCGGACGATCTCGATCCGGTGCTCACCAGAGGGACGGCCTATTCCGAAGAGAAATGCATGCCGAGAATAAACCTGGCGACGATGGTGGGCACTCCTGGAGATGAGTTCGATAAGGAGTACATATCTTCGTACGCCGATCTACCGTCTTGGCCGCCCACTCCGGAGCGTACCGTAACGGAACTCCCGGAGGAGGTCGAGGTGAAGAATGGCGAGCATATGTTGGCTGAGGCCGGAGGGGCGTCAGAGGAGGGCACACACATAGATCAAGACTGTGCACGTCATTCAATTGCTGGCGGCGAGACGCTCGAGGCTCTCTCCCAACCTGCGCCGGTCAAAAAGCCGCGGGGAGGTAAGCGGAAACGAAGTGCGACCGGCAAACCGAAGAGGAGAGAGCGTTAGTTAGCCAAAAGCATGATGTTGACCTCACCGCTCAGGATTCAGCTGCGACGGGCTGTCATGATTAGATAGCAGATAGAGTTCTGGAACGAACCGCTTGCTTGAGCGGAGCAGGAGCTACGAACACTATGCGAGCATTATTAAGTGGCTATGATGAGGATTACAAGGCGCGAATCTACAGGTGCAGGTCACGCAAGCGATGAGCATTGAGTCCGGTAGTCATTGTGATGACGTAATCAGAGCGAGGGAGCTGATTTATCTCTTCACTCAAGCTTCTTCTCAACCTCAGCGTCCTTCTTGTGAGCTGCAACAGAACGATCCACATCAGTTCTCCGGCGTTGGTACGAGCGCCTAAAGAAGTACACACCTGCCACACGCGCAGCAAGCGCGCGCCTCCTCATCTCCTCCTTCTCCTTCTCCGAGTTTGGCGGTCCGATCGGCGAGGGCGCGGACGCACCATATGTCTTAACTGTCCTGGTCAAGAAAGCCCCGGCCAGAATGACCACGCAGACGGCGCGGGCGGTGTCATCGTCGACGGCCAACAGCTTTGCACGAGGACCGTCCAATGCGACATGCGCGAGGCCGGCAGGCGCAAGTAAACGGGCAAGCATGACGTGTAGGGTTGTGTAGAAGGGTTGTGCGTGCGTGAGGGTTGCGTATATGGCTGTGCAGAGAGGCGCAATCCACAGATCGGTAGCTTGCCAGCCTGCAGGCAGGAACTCTGGAGGCGTGGTGAGTGTCATAGGTCCCGGAGACAGCAGAGATGCCGCTCCGGTGACGAAAGGGCCTCCATTGGCGAAGATCTATCAGCGTCATACCGTCAGAACGATATGGGCGAATGAAAGCTTGATGGACAGACTTACAAGAGACGTGAGGAGTAAGGTCCAAGGGGATGATGACACGGCTGGAGAGGCGTGTTTCGTAACGGTGGCCGTAACGACGTTGCAGACAAGCGTAGCACGAGTCAACGCATCTACGATGGACGCTGGCAGTTCAGTGAAGAGACCCATATCCGGGATGACGCTATCCGGTAAGGCTTCGACAGCATAGTGAGCGCCAATAAACAAGGCCGGAATAGTTCCAGAGAGCATGAAAGACGGCTGTAGTCCTAGAAAGGTCGCTATATCGGGCCCTCAGCTTTGATACGGACTGATGCACAAAGGAATGCGCTGACAAACTACGACCTCTCCACCGTACACCATGGTCAGCGTAGCGGCGATATCGCGCGCTCTCCCTCTAGACTCCTGCGGAAGTCCCCTCGCTTTGTGTTGCCTAGCAAGAGTCCCTCTTATTTGCCGCAGGACTAGAGCAAGCCGGAGTGCTCCGGCGACATCAAGCAAAGTAATATTCGCGCCGAGCATAGCGAAGATATCGATAGGTTCGAGCAAATAGTCGTACAAGTTCAGTACAGGGTCTATGAGAGCAGACAACATCGCGGTCATCAAGTGGGTCGTGAGGTAAGGTGGTGGGTCAAAGGCAAGTTACAGCCCTTCACTGATTGGCGCTGCGTCAGTGGCGGAAAGGAACGCGTTCTGACGCGCCGGCGGCTGCGTGCCTCTAGAGCCCCTAAAAACGCGCTCACGTGCGCGCTTGATTCCGTTGAATGAACCACGCGTTTCGCGTTGGCAAGCTTACCTCCTGCCGTCATCTTCTCCTATGGTCAAGAGTGGGCTCGCAGACTTGCTCGAGGCGGACATCCAGGATCCGACAGACTTTCCCGCCGACAATGACTCACCTGGCTTGCGCGGACTTGACGCGGCATTGAGATGTAAGATATGCAGTGAACTGTATGATGCGCCGGTCATCTTGCCCTGCGGCCATACCTTTTGCTCGTTGGTATGTCCTCCGAATAATACAAGATGCGAGTGCGTGTCAACTGATGATACTCATAGTGTGCGAGACAACAACTTCTGGAGAGGCCGTCATGTCCGACGTGCTGGAAGGAAACATCCGAAGGCGCGCTGAAGGTCAATCCTATGCTCGAGGAGGCGGTCGAAGCCTGGAAGAGATCTAGGTACGTATGAAGGACTCTGATGCCCGCTTGGCTATATCTCACAATCTATCGTAAGGCCATATGTGTTGCAACTCTCCACGAGGGACGTCGAACACCGCTCTCGTCCGTCTCGTCCACCACCTTCATCTGACACACGGCCGACCAAGAAGAGGAAGACGTCTGAAGATGCTTCTGATACTGAAGCCGGCCCATCCAGACTGGTCAACTCCAGACGATCTCGGTCCGGTTCTGAACGACTCTCCGTTGTAGACGAGGACGATGAAGTTGAGCCACGTGGTTCATCCGTCGTCGAGCTCTCGCCAGGTTCGCCCCCAGCCGGATACCGTTGTATCACGCCGTCTGATATACGCCTTGTCCAGATGAGCTTGTACCATGTCCTGTCTGTGCCAAGTCCACTCGAATAGCGGATATGGACGCGCATATTGGCAATGGTTGCAAAACATCCGGCCTTAAGCCTGCCACCAAACAGCAGAACGCATGGTCGAAGATTTTCGACGGGGCCGGCGCTGGCGGAAAGGGCAAGACAAAGAAGAGGTACCTTTCGGTTGTTTTCGCTGTATACCCCAGCCTGACTCGCCAGTAGCAGAACCGACAACGATGACGATTACCTGCCCAAGGCATCTTACAACATGCTCAAGGACAAACAAGTCCGAGATCTCCTCTCCGAACACGAGTTGCCAACGGCCGGTGACCGCGCCACCCTTGTCGCTCGCCATCAACGCTGGGTGTCTATATACAATGCCAATGTCGACAAGAACCCGCAGTATCGAAGACGTATCTCGGAGTTGAGGGCGGAGCTAAAGAAGTGGGAGAAGGAACGAGAAGCAGGCTTGAAGAAGGGGAGTTCGAAGGACGCGGCGATGCAGGTCAATGTGAAGGAGTACCGGGTATGTCGTCTTGCTTCATTTCTGGCCTTTAGCAGTAGCTGACTCCGAATAGCGAGCGAACAAAGCTGAGTTTGACCAGCTTGTCGCACAGGCGCGGCCGAAGAGTGGCGCGGCTGGGCCGAGTACTGCGAAGGCTGCACCGTTAAGCAGGCAAGGCAGCAGTTCTTCGGAGGCGATAGCTGTAGAATAGTAGACCTTGTTCCTGTACAGCACTCTTTTGGCACCTATGCTGTCTGTATGTAGGCACTAGTCGGGATACGCTCAAGCCTCGCATCGCGCGGGTGTCCCAAAGGATCGTCGCACCGGCCCGGCAATTCCGAGGCACACCAGCATGTTGCCACGGATACTGTGTCCTCGCTTTTCGCTCTCGAACCACCATGTCCGACGCCCCGTCGAATCTTCCCGTAATAACATCGGACCCTACTACGACGCCTGCAAGAATTCATGACCTTCCAGCAGAGCTATTGAGCCACATCTTCGCCTTGACCGTGCCGGCTGGCATGGACCGCGATTGGTCACGCAGAGTTCCGCCGTACATGAACGTCTATCGCGTGTGCAGGCATTGGAGGGCCATATCAATTGCTTGTCAGAAGCTTTGGTCAACGAGCCTTCCCTATAAGAGCCTAGAGTGGACCAAAGTCTGTCTTGCCCGCTGCCCTACAATCCCGCTGGAGGTCAGGATCGACGACCGCTATCTTAACGACCGCTATCCCGCCGTTCAGGGAGGCTATCGCGAGGCTGTTGCGCAGGTCATGCAGCACTGGGCACGGGTCAGAAGTCTGCTTTTAGCTCCAGAGTTCGATCCTTCCGACGAATCATGGTTCGCTAACGAGCTGTCGCGCGATTCAAGAGACAATCTTGAAACGTTGCTCGGGTTCCTCCTGCGGCCAAACAACCAACTAGAAGAACTCAGGATCGACTATGGCCGGGGCATTAGCGTCGTGGCTCTCAACGACTGGACTCCTGAAGCTCTCAATCTACCTCAAGAGCTCTTCTCGTCGGTCCATCCGCCCCGACTGTACCGCGTCGAGCTAGTGCGATGTGGTCTACCTCCAACACCTCCCACGCAAATTTTCGCGCGTAGCCTTCGGCACTTATACCTTGCTGACACGCGCGCATGGCTGGATGTGGACTCTATGATCCAATATCTCCAAGTAATGCCCATGCTTGAGCGTTTCGAATACGAGTTCTCGCTCGACGACCATGTATTCGACTGCCACCCATCGCGCAATCATACAGCACGCTGTGTTCGACTACCTCATCTCGCTAGCCTCAAAATCGAGGCATATTGGGTGCAGAGCATGACAATCTTCAATTATATTGCTATACCTCTCGAATGCAACCTCCACTTTTCCCCCAATGGATGGGACTATCTGGAATACACCACGGAAGCCATAGCAGCTGATGTCTTAGCAATGCACAACGAAAGCCTCAAGCAGCACTTCGCTCAGGCGACATCATGCGGCGTCGCTTACCACGATGTCACGATCTCAGACCACGGCATAAAGGCATCGTCTCCGTATCCACGCCTGGACGAACGCTCTATCCCCCAAAAGGCACTTCTTTCCCCCGAATTTCGTTCGTACATTCCGGGGGCTCTGGCTACCCGATTCAGGCGAGCTGCTTGTCGCATCCTCGCATCACAGTCGGTCACTGCCGGAGCCAGCCGGCTTTCTCTCGCATCGGCAATTTGGAGATTTTGTCCCGAAGTCTTCGACGAGTACACCGCTGTCCGCTGCCTTGTTCTCAGGGAGAATGAAGAGGCAGAGGCATTCGCAGCTGCAGCCCGTCGCAGTGACAACATGCTCTTTCCGAGCTTGCAGCGCGTGCTGTTTGAGCCACACGTCGACTGTAAGCCACGACTGGACATACTGCGTGAGCTGGCGGCGGCACTACGAGACGTCTATGTTGCCGGCGGAGGGTCCTTCAAATGTTTAGCACTTTTGGACCGCGATGTTGTCACCGAAGATATGGAGCGCGAGATGAGAGCCATCTTGGGATCGGAGTACATCACCAGGAGAAACTCAGTGTGGTAGTTGCCGGGTGATCAGCAGAGTATGCCCGTACGTGTTGCTTCCACCTACATCATGCCAAGGTAATCTAACCGGTTACCTTATTCTCTAGTTCTCTTCCTTGGACTGAAGTCATGGAGCTATGAAACAATGTTGCGCGGACTGCTAAAGATGAGCTTGTAGGAATGGAACACGCAAACGCCGCGACCCGGTAGTAACAGTAGTACTCGCATGCCTGCGTTCTCTCGTCCCGTGTATATCAGTGCCGGCTTTCTTTGTCATATCGTAATGTAGGCGCTCTAGCATAACAGTCGCCGCAACTTCTGTTCTTGCAGATTGTGAGACTGGGACCGTCTGACGTCGGGCTAAGATTACCCGTTCGTACCTACAGCGCGTCGAAATCCTAAAAGGTCAGCTGACCGTGTTTCGGAGGTTGTTGCTCAGCATGCTAGAGCGACACAGGTCTGCTCTTGCGCTCATCTTTTTGGGCTGCAGGTTCTACCTGCTAGGACTGGAGCCCCGTTGAAGAGGAGCGCCCGATGATTCCCGAATTGAAGAAGGCACTTGCTGGAGGAGGGACAACCTGAACAACGCATCAAGATGTTGGCGTGCCACGAGGCTCGCTCAATTCAACATCGCGTTGATGGCATGGTCCGCCAATGTAGTTGTCCCTTGCTCACCATGCCAAGCACGCCCCGCCTCCAGGGCGCAATCGGCCAGACCCCGCTCAAGCGACGCGCGCTATATAGCACGCGCACACTGCTCATGCACTAGCCATTCCTTTTCTCCCTCGCCGTCTGTCGGGCGACCGTTTGGTTGGATTTTTCGGATCTGCTTCTTTCTTCTTCGGGCCTCTGCTACTTTCGCTTTTAAGTTTTATTTTCACTTTCTTCCTTGCCCGATATGAAGTTCGCCTCTGCTTTACTATCTTTTCTCGCAATCGCCACCTTGGGATCGGCCGCTCCGTCCCCGCGTCCTGGCCGCGATGGCGGTGACAACGACCGTTCCTCGTCCTCTCATTCGCATACTCGCACACGCACGCGCGGATCAGGCCCGCGGACTTCCTCCTCCGAAGATAGCATGATGCCCACAACATCATCGGCGTCCTCCACGCAGACATCTGCTTCGTGTGCAGACGGTGTCACTTCGAGCGCGACCTCTACGTCGACCTCTGAAGCGGCGAAGTCAACATCCAAAACCGGATCTGGATCTGCGGGTGAAGCAGATGCGGTTGGCGCGCTGTACTGTACGTGCACTCACCAGTCTGCATCTGTCAACACGTACTGATCGATCGATGAGCAGTCACGACGAATAACCCCGATACGAACAACATCATCGTCGGATCCATCTCCTCGAATGGGAACGTCACTTTTGCGCATGCCGTATCGACACAAGGCAAAGGCGAGCACAATAATGATGGTGGACGTACTGGCGCGGATGCGACGTTCAGCAATAACCTTCTCGTCGTGCATGACTCCAAGCGGCTGCTTGCGACGGCTAATACGAAGAGCAACACCGTCGTGCTCTTCGAGATTGATGCGAAGGATGCGACGAAGCTCACGATGCTCGGTGCCCCAGTGGATTCGGAGGGCGACTATCCATCTTCGTTGGCGTTCAACGCGGCGGGGGACAAGCTCTGCGTCATGAACGCCGGTGAAAGGGCTACAATATTCTGCTACGACGTCGCCGAAGAAGGGTTACAACCTCAAGCGAGCTCATTACGCGATATACCGGGCTACAACCAAACTGCGCGTGTTCCTTATGGACCCAGTAACACCGCGAGCGCTATTTCATTCACTGAAGACGGCTCCGCGCTCGTCGTGGCCGTCAAAGGCACCCTCTCCCCGCCCTCGCCAGGCTTCCTCGCAGCTTGGCCCGTCGAATCGGACGGGAGCCTCGCGCAAAATCCCACGGTCATTGAGAACGTCGATGGAAAGGGACTTAGCTTCAGCTTAACACCCGTACCCGGACGCAACGCTTTCGTGAGCGCGGACTTTGCGAGCGCTGTGGATGTTTTCGACTTCAGCGGGCCGTTGGCGGATGTGAGTGCGAGGGAGGGTACGACGAGCGTGGATATTGATGGGGAGTTAAGTCTATGCTGGAGCACGTATAGTGCTGGCGTGGACCGGTATTATCTTGCTGCACCGCCCAGTGCGCTCGTTGTGGAAGTTGAGCTTGATGAGAAGTTGAAACCGACGGTCATTGCCGTACGTCTCTGCTTTTTCTTTGGCCAAGAATGCATACTAATCGGTTGAGGCAGAGGCATACCGTGGTGGAAGGTTCAGCGAATGTTGACCTCGTCGCGGCCAACGTGAAGGGCAACAAGTACGTGCCGCATGTTCTTCAGGGAGAGTTTTGAAATCTTGATGGCTGACCTGAGACGTAGCTTCATCTTCACACTCCTGACGAACACGCTTGGCGTGGCGGTTCTTTCTATTGACGGACCCGGACAGACCAGTCTTGTCGGTGTAACGGATTTGAAGGATGTTCTGGCGGACGCCGGGGCTCCCATCCGTACGTCGCCAGCCCCTGAACCTCTTTACCGTGGTATATAGTCGCTGACGCCATTTGCAGGGCCCAACTACATGCAAGGTCTGGCGGTGTACATCAAGCCGTGAGAAGGCTTCGCACGAGACGATCCGCAAATGCGCGACTGTGCACAGCCCTCTTTCTTCGATACCCTGTCTTCTCCCTTTTTCCCCTCCCTGGTCTGATATCGGATGGTTTTGTTCAACAGTCAGCTTGCAAGTCGATCGTTGAAACGTTCAAACAGCATGAGCTAAGCCCGCCTTGACCGAGCTCGCGCGGCAGATCGTGTTAGATCGTGAAGAGACACAATGCATGCTGATGTCAGGTACTTGAAAGAGCGTCCCGCCCCGGCATTATCATGCGCCCAAAGCCGAGCATACACGAATGTGATGTGCAGAGCTTGCTGAACGAGATGTCGCCGATGGCACATCCCGCCGAACACCCCGCTGAACCCGACGCGTTCCGCGGAATGCGGTATATATTGAACGATCTTGACGGACTACAGATATCTCGTTCTTCTTCCTTTTCGCTGACTGCTAGCGACCTTTGTTCCTTCTTTCCTACTCTCATTCTTCTTCTTTCGTTTTTATTATTATTTTCTTTCCTTCCACTATGAAGTTCGCGTCGACCATCCTCTCCCTACTCTTTCTCGTCACCCTTAGTACCGCACTACCATCCCCCCAGGCTCGTCTCCGGCGTGATGGCGACTCAACCTCACCTTCTCCCCAGACACGGACCATGCATGGCTCTGGCGGGAACCGCTCGGGTGCCGGATCAGGCGCGACTGCTACAAGCGCCGAAGCGTCCGTCACGCCCGCGGCTGATTCCGCCCGCTCCCGCTCAGCGAAGGTCAATACGCACGGAAGAACTCGCTCTGCGACCTCCGAAGACGCATCTTCGACGTCGCAGTCGGAGTCTTCCTCCCGGTCCGGCGCTCCTGACTCCACCGCGCATTCTGGGGCACCCGAAGCTACCTCGACAAGCGTTTCCTCAACTTCGTCTGGCACACCTGAATCCTCTTCGACAGCTGGAGCGCCCAAACCTTCATCTACCTCTGGATCCAACTCTGGCTCCGGTGCTGAAGCAGATGCTGTCGGTGCAGTCTACTGTGCGTGCACATTCCGAATCTAGTCCGTTCACTACGCATTGACGAATTCTCATCCGCCGATCCAGTCACGACTAACGATCCCAGCGGGAACAATATCATCGTATCGTCCATCTCCACAAACGGCAACGTAACGTTCACCCGTGCCGTTTCGACGGGAGGTCATGGCGAGCACGGCAACGATGGCGCCTCGCCAGGTCCGGACGCGACGTTCTCGAATGACCTACTTGTCGTACACGATGGCAAACGTCTCCTTGCCGCCGCCAACACCGGCGACAGCACTGTCTCGCTTTTCGAAATCGATGAGAACGACCCGACGAAGCTCACGATGCGCGGCGCGCCGGTGGATTCTCAGGGTGACTACCCTTCATCGTTAACTTTCAACTCGGCAGGAGATAAGCTCTGCGTGATGAACGCCGGTGCTCGCGCTACCATTCTTTGCTACAACGTGGCGTCTGAGGGCTTGCAGCCCCAGTCCAGCACCTTGCGCAACATCCCCGGCTATAACCAGACCGAGGCCGACCCGGTGGGACCGAGCGGTACCGCCAGCGCCATTGCCTTCACCGAGGACGAGTCGATCCTTGTAGTAGCCGTTAAAGGACATGCGCCGCCAAACTCCACGCCTGGATTCCTCGCTGCGTGGCCCGTGGAGTCGGACGGCGGACTTGCACAAAACCCTACCACGATCATGAACACCGGCGGCCAGGGCCTGAGTTTCAGCCTCACGCCTGTACCGGGCAAGAACGCGTTCGTGGCGGCGGACTTTGACAGCACTGTGGACGTATTCGATCTCAGTGGCGATCTGAAGGATGCCAGTGCAAACCCTGCTACGACAAGTACTTCGATTCCAGGTAACTTCGTGCTTTGCTGGAGCACCTATAGCAAGACCGTGGACAGGTATTACCTGGCTTCGCCGGTCAGTCAGCTTCTCGTAGAGGTTGAGCTGGACGACAAGCTGAAGCCGAGCATCATCGGTGTATGTGACCGTCATTCTGTGGTGTGCATACATGTTAATCTACTCGGCAGACTCATCCTGTCTTGAACGGCGGCGCCAACATCGATCTCGTCGCGGCCACAGCCAATGGAAAAGAGTGAGCGTCGTGTATGCCTTTTTCTTGACGAGAGTATACTGACCGCCTACACAGCTTCATCTTCAACCTCGTTGGGAGTACACTCGACATTGCTGTACTTTCAATAGATGGACCAGGGCAAACGAGCCTCATCGGCGCGACTAACTTCGGTAATGTCCCGGATGTCACAATCAGTACGTGCTTTATTTTGCCTCATACGGCCTGCATGACTGATATCTGACTCTGCTTGAAGCATCCAACTTTGTACAAGGTTTGGCAGTATACATCAAGTCGTAACCCGGCCGTCTAGAGCAGAACATTGACGACGCGACTGAGGCTCTCTTCGAGGCTTTTGTGGCACCGTTCCTTAAGGCTCAGGTATCGCAGACTGGACCAAGTTGTGGGGGTATCGATTCTCCAGTCGTAATATGTAGTAGTGAAATGCATACATGAGACAGTTCTTTGATTACACCATGCTTGGTATTCCTTCAAGTCGCAAGTGTCGAGCGTCATCTCCTGCCGTGCTTCCTCCGCTCATCCTTCATCGCTTGCTCTGCTTCCTTCTTCGCCTTAGCATTCGCCTTTTGCCTCGCCTTCTTGCGCTGACTCTCCGACATGCCTTGGTACGGATCGATAATCGTTGCAAGACTCTGTTGACCCATCGAGGCACGACCGCTCGAATCACCCTTGCCCCCGCCCCCGCCCTCGTCATCGCCTACCTCTCGTTCGTCAACTTCGGCATCCTTTGATTCCTCGTCTCCGCCACCGTCGGCCTGATTCGTTTCTGATAGCTCTTGATCTTGGTAATTGCGAGGCGCTCTCGATGTCTGAGGATCTTGCGAAGGATGCCAAAGCGTGGCGGGCGCAGCAGTCGAGGGGGCTGACGCCGCGACGACGGTAGCGGCAGCCTCTGTGAACACTTTAAGCACGGATGCCGAGAGATGTTTATGTCAATAGCCCACCTGATTCAGTCTGCCTTCCCTTGCCCTTATCCTGCTGTCCACCCTCCGGGGCGCTATCAGCTCGAGCACGTCGCGGAGCCTCGGCATTCCCGCCGCTACCCAAGATCCCTGCAGCGGTGGACGCGAAGAAGTTTAGCACTGACTTCATAGGAGACGCGGTTACTGCGCTGCCAGAAGAAGTCGTTCTCGTTATGCTGTCGTCTTTGTGCGCTCCAGGTACCCTTGGTTCATCGCTTGTACTACTCTCTGCCGACCATGCCGCAGTGGGTCCTTCACCTCTCCAGACCCCAAATCCGACCGGATAACGCTGTTTCTCTTCCCGTGTGGATTCAGGGGAGCCCGCGTTGCTTGAGGGAGATCTCGTCGAGGGCCTTGCTGGGTCAAAGTCCTCATCGTCATGAGGGCTTGACGTTCGGGACTGCATCGCGGAACCATCCTGAGCCTCATATGAGCTTTTGCTGTCGGGGCATTAGATGTAAAAGATGCGACTCACGAACCGATCATCAATCGGACTCAGCGCAACGTCTTCCGCGAGCTGTCCACCTGGAACAGTCGTTGCCGACCCATGCTCATCGGTGGCTCCACCCGATTGCATGGCAGGAGTGTCGAAGTTGATCAAGCCAGCCGGCCCCGGCGCTTCGCCGCTGCCCAAATTCGCGCTCTGAGAGACTGGATGGTCGTGGGAGATCGTAGAGGCGCCAGCTTGTACCACGTCGGATGCTGAACCAGCTTCTATACTTGTATTGAAGTTCAGGGAGGACGGCGCAACTAGGTTTCCCGCTTCGTCCTCTCGAAATGCGGGCAAGTCTTCGGAGTGCAACGCCGCCGCGTCTGGCGTAAGCTCATCGATGGCAGCAGATACAGGGTCGGTCGTTGTGGTGGCGATTGGTACATTAAGATCGGACACAGGTGGGATAGTAGGGGAGGAAGGAATAGCCGTAGAGACGCCCAGGGATGATGGTATATGAGGAGGTTGGGGAAGTGCCGGAGAAAAGGCAGCTTCTTCGGCGTCGGGCTCGGGTATCGCGGTCGGGGCACTCTCCCACGTATCAAGTGCACGGTCTACAGCAGGTCCATTCCCACTCCTTGCGTCCTCTCGCGTACTCATGATGAAGGCAAGAGCCTCCGGATACGGACCCAAGCGCCGTATCTCGTCTGCTGTAAGAGAGTGCGGGCGAAGGCAGAGAGCTCGAAGCGCCGGTCGTATCCAATCTTCTACGTTGTGACGGTAGGCAAGAGCCAGGCGTTCTACAAGAGAATGCCCCGAGCTGGTATGTAACTGGTGGAGTGCGAGTTGTATGATAGGTCTGCAGGACCAGCGTTCCGCGAGCCTTAAGACCGCCTGCCAGTCTTCGGGCGTGTGTAGATCATAGGTGATCATATTGCTGCGAAGCGTTGATGAGAGTCGATCTAACTGTACTACTGAACTTTTGACTTACTCTGGATATAGGATGGAAAGGAATGCATCTAGTTCCCTCCCCGTGACATCATAAAGTATCAATGCCCCGTCGTTGTCCCAGACACTAGGACGAGTGTCCGTGATCTCACGGTTCGCCCAGTGCACGTATATCTCTTCGTTCGTACGAAGTGGCCGACTTTCCCAACCGCGTGGCATGGTCTCGTCAGGTTGCTCGAGGAGTTGTGCCAACACCGGGCAGACAGTAGCCACCCTCGAAACGTGAATACAGTAGAGGAAGCCCTGAACCTGGAATGCTCATTAGGACTGGTGAGACTACGATACGTACTGTGACCTCACCACGAGTAACACATTCCCGTCGTTGAAATAGAATCTGGAGTGAGGTCGGATGCCGGCTTGCGGTGGCGCACCATCAGGGGCAGACATCAGAGTCGTTGTGTTTGGCTTTCGGTCAGAGTGGTGGACAAAGATTGCGCGCGAGCGATGCGCTCTTTTATCATAATAGCCCAGTCCAAACCACATACACAGCACACCCTACAACACGAGGCATCAAGAGAAGAACAAAAGATCCCATACATAGCAGTCAATCAAGAGAGAACGGGCGCAGTAGCACTAGATTCGGTGGCACGCCTCTTGAGCGTCTTTCTCCTCTTCTTGGAGGTCTTCGGCGGTGGCGGGACACTCTTGCTCGTGGGATCAGGAGTCGAGCGACCGCCAGCGCTCCCACCAGCAGAAACGTCAGGAACGGGCTCACTGGGAGGCTTAGAGCTCGAAGCGCGACTGCTAGATGCATTATCGGGCGTGGGTGTCCCGGACTCTGAGCCTTGTGTGTCTGCGGGACAATGGACGCGTCAGTAGTCTGCTCCTCGGACCGACTATGCGAAAAGAAGCGCACCTTTGCGAGGAACATCGTCTTTGGCGCCCTCCGTCTTCCTTTCCGGGGCACTCTCAGCCACAGGGGCTTCTGGTGCATCTGCTACAATCGCTCAATCGGGGAAGCTCAGGGGTGCAAGGCCACTGACCTGTAGAATCCAAGTCTTGCGCCTCGGAGATGCTGTCAAGGTTGGTCGATGTAGGACTGGGCGGCTCGGGCTCTACCTGTATCTCGGGCACCGCCGGAGTGATAGCCTCTGCCAAAGACATCAGGATGGGCTTATCTGAAGTGTGGCAACAACTAGAAGGAACGTACCGGGACTGGAGACGATACTGCCATTCGTGCCAGCAGTGGGCAGTGTCATCAATGCAGGACCATTACCTTGCGCATCGCCAACGTGGTGAGGGTTCTCCTGCGGCCATCCGCCAGCTATCGGCGTCGACGCGAAGCCGAAATCACCTGTGCCGACGGCCGTCGTGCTTCCTGGCGACAAGAAGTTGAGAACGCTACCCAGAAGACCACCTGGCCGTGCGGTCAGCGCCGAGCCCGTTGAGCGCTGTCCCGGGGTGTCGGTGTCGATCTTCAAGCCACCGGGCTTCTCGAGCGAATCGTAACCCGTCCACACTGCTTTGTTTCCCTCTCCAAGCCACCGACCTCCCTTTGCGGATGGAGACATATAAGGAGCTGCTCTCTCAGAGCCCGATCCCACGATGGTGGGGCTGGAGTTGGTGGAAGGCAGCGGTGCTAGGTTTGGCTGTGGGGTTACGAGCAGCGACGCTGGTGCTATCGATTCTGTAGAGACAGAGCCAGGGGAGTCGACAAATAGCTCCTGAAGTCTTACGTGAGCGAGGTTCGCCTGAAGGGACTCTTTGTATATGCTTACAGTCTCGACCGGTGCTGGCGTCAGTGGATGGTCCATCGCGATGGGAGGTGGGAGAAGATCGAGACCTGGGCGCTCTCCTGGTGCCAGAACGGCGCTGAGGGGAGACTCGATCATAGGAACTACAGGCTCGAAGCCTTCATCTATCGCAAGCCGAGCCAGCTCAGCTTCAAGCTCCTCCCTCTGACGCAGGTGTCGCTCTTCTTCTTCAGCCAGACTTCGAGCGCGGGCTTCATCATCGACAACGATTTGTTCACGAGCGGCTTCCTCTGCCAGTGCTTGTTCGCGGGCTGCTTCATCCTCCAGTGCTCGAATCCTAGCCGCTTCGGCAAAAGCGCGGGCATCGGCTAACTCCGCCTTGATGGCCTCGGCATCGAAGTAGGCGTCCAATTCAATCTTGAGCTGCTCCTCGTCGTCACCGCAGGTCGCGCGTAGCGTGAACAAGAGTAGGAGATCTTCTCGGTCGAGGATGCGAAGCTCGTCGCGATCCGGTAGGATTGCCTTCTTGCAGAGAGCTATGAGAGCTAGACGGGTCCATTGTTGAACCTGATGTTGGCGCGCGAGGACGAGGAGAGCAATTGGGTCGTCGATATGGGGGTTTGGTAGGCGAGAAATTGCGAGCTGGCGGACAGAGTGGCTTTCCCAGGCGTTCGCGAGCTTTAGAACCCCAACCCAGGCATCTTGGCCCACGATGTCGTAAGTAACGAAGTTCCTGAGCGGGGAGTCAGGGTGGAGAACAACGACTGTCGGGGTACGGGCGCACTTGGGATATAGAACGGACATGAAAGCGTCGACCTGGGCCGAGGTCACGCCTTCGAGCACCCAAGCGCCGGACTCGTCTTGGACGCGCGGATGCACGTCCTGTATGTCCTTGTTGTTCCAATGCACCCATAGTTGTTCGCCCTTCTTCGTTTGGTGAGGGTACCAGCCAGGGAGCAAGGAATCGTCTGGTTGAGATAGACGCTTCGCAAACCACGGCGAATGGCGAGTGAGGATAGTGTGATGGACCTTGTAGAGAACGTTCTCAACCTGGCTGGCCGTCAGCTCTGAACGTCTCTCGATGCGCGTACGATGACTTACCAGGAGTGATACATTCCCATCCTCAAAATAGAAGCGGGAGCTGAGCGAAGGCGGAGGTGGGGAGTAGGCCATGGGAGGAGCACGGATAGACAGTTACAGCGGGTAACAGGGTAACCTGGCGTTCATATACACCAAGCGCTAAGTCTACATGCCCCGGAAAAGATACGGCATGCACGGAACATGAGGATAACATCAGCCTCACCACCTATAGTCAGCGTGGCCAAAGCACTGTGAACGTCAGTATAGCGTATTGCGTTCGTGCGCGCGTGTGCAACTGTAGAGACACGTTCCCCACAGCTTTCGTGCAGGAAGCGGAACCGGTCCAACCACTGTGGGCTGCGCCCACAACCCTGCGCCGCCGAACGCGGCACTGAAACGCGCCATGGCATAACAGTTCTTGCAAGAGATGAAATCCCAATGCGAAAGCCTAATGTACATTTAGAGAATCTAGACCTGCCCAATTGCCCAGGAACCTCGCGGTTAACGGAGAGTGACCAGCTCTGCAAGCAAGGTTGGCATCAAGACGGAAAGGATGTGGACAGGAACATACCTTCTGCGGACGTAGGATGAATGGCCACGGTGTCGTCAAGGTCGCGCTTGCGTGCGCCCATCTTCACCGCCACACCGAAGCCCTGCATGACCTCGTCGCTACCAGCACCGATGATATGCACGCCAACAACCTTCTCCTCCTCGCCAACAACGATGAGCTTATACATAGTCGGTTCCTTGTGTTCCTCCGGGATCATAGAGTAGAACAAGGAACGGAATGACGACTTGTAGATCTTGACAGCATCGCCGTACTTCTCCCGCGCCTCAGGCTCGGTAAGACCAACTGTGCCGATCGGTGGGTGGCTGTGGTCCAATGAGCGAGATGATCAGACGGATATGAGATGAGATTGGGCTCACGAGAAGACGACTGTCGGGATGTTGTCGTAGCTGAGCTTATCGTCCTTGTATGACGGACCACCATACAGGCGGTTCGACAGACGCCTGCCTGCCGCAATCGCAACTGGGGTAAGCAGAGCCTTGCCCTGAACGTCGCCGATAGCGAGGACACCCGGGACGTTTGTCTGCTGGTATTCGTCAACGACGATGTTGCGCTTCTCATCCAGTTTCACGCCAAGGTCTTCGAGGCCTAGGTTGTCCGTGCTTGGCGCGCGGCCGATCGCCCACAGAAGCTCATCTGCTTGGACACTCGAGCCGTCGTCGAAGTGGACGGTCAGGTCGCCACGCTTGCCCTCCACCTTGACAACGTTGGTGTTCTTGTGTATGTTGACGCCAGTCTTCTCCATCCAGGGCGTGAGAACGTCCTGCAGTGAGGGATCGAATGTCCTGAGGACTTTGTCGTGACGAATGACAAGGTGTGTCTCGGTCCCGAGCGTGTGTAGGACACCGGCGAGCTCGACGGCAATGTAGCCGGCACCGACGACCACGATGCGCTTTGGTTGATCCTCGAGCTCGAAGAAACCATCGGAGGTGATACCCAGGGAAGCGCCAGGGATCTTATCATCAGATGGGATGATAGGGTAACCACCAGTCGTCACCACGACGTTGTCGGTGTGAATGGTGTACTTCGAGCCGTCCGGACGGGTGATCTCGACGTCTTTCGGCGAGAGAAGCTTTGCACGCCCGTGGTGGTATGCGACACCCTCCTTGTTGACGTTGTTGTCGTAGATACCGTTCAGCTTATGGATATATGCGTCGCGTTGAGGCTTGAACGTTTTCCAGTTGAACTTGGGAGCCGGCACGTTCTCGAAGTGGTAACCCTCAGACGCGTATCGTGCCTTCTCGGCGAGGTCGGCGGCGTGCCACATAATCTAGAGCGGCATCAGTATAGCTATTTTGGACGAGCGCTCGATGCGGGTATGGCGGGATGGCCCGCGGGAATCTGGTGCGGCAGGCAATCCACGGTATTGTGCTCTTCCATGCAAGAGTTGACAGGTTCTACGGGGCCACAAAAAGTAATGACCAACCTTCTTCGGGACGCATCCTATTCGAACAGTCAGTCAACGCGTCTTGATAGACATGAGAAGGGCGACATACCAACGTTCACGCAAGTGCCTCCAAGCTTTCCCTGCTCCTCGATTAATGCGACCTTTGCCTTGTACAAGGCCGCACGCCGCTGGACGTGGCACGTATGAGTGATCGAGCAGCATGACAGCCAGTCTGACACGTACCGAACCCGCTGAACCTCCGCTTCCTCCGCCAATGAAGACGATGTCGTACTTCTCGTTGGGCGTTGGGTGATCGATAGGTGCCATCTTTGTAATACTGGACGAGGCGAAAGCTCTTGAGATCTGTGCACGCGTCGACGCGTCAGTCCTACAAGCCGCCACACAAGCCACAGAAACACTGACCTGGGCAAGACGGTGGGATGGAGACGAGTGCGGGAGCGCCGTCCGGGCCAGGTGATGGGGTAATCGATGAATGAGCGCCAGCGTTGGGAAACCTGCTAGATAAACTGCGAGAAAGGGCGCTGCATGCGAGCTCAATCGCGTTATGACACGCTCTTCCACGTGACCGTTTGTCAATGTTTTGTCAGAAATTGGTGACTTACGCACGTTATCGCCGAATGCAAGCCGACTGTGACCGCTACACTTGCGCTCAAGATCGCCACTCTGTGCTCGTCTATCATCATGCTGACGCTCATCACCGCGTCGTTCGCCGACTGGGACCGAAGCTTGGGCGTCGGGCACCACTTGTGTTGCTAGCTACGTCTCCGGTAGCGCCGGGGAATACAATCATCAGTCTTCAGAATACGTCAATTCATCTAGTCAAGTGCAAGCTCTATACAAGGGTATCTCGTGCTCCGTTCAATCAGGACAACAGGAATAGTAAGACAGACGCGGCATGTAAAAAGTAAGATCTAATACGAAGCTGATCGTTGTAAGCAAGCGTTGAGGCGTACTTGCTGTACGCTTCTAAACCAAAGCTGCTTCTACGACAGTCGGCGCAGGGTCTACAGCGCTCATTGTCTCCGTTAACCCAGCGACAGGTACGGCCCCTGCACTCATGACGGCGTCCTCGCTGACCTCGACAGCAGCAGGCGTCTGCGGCGGCGAGCTGTAAGGGAACCCCGCCATCACCTCCGCCTTGCTGAGGTACGCAAAGGCAGGCAACGCCTTGCGCATCTTCACTGCTGCCGCTGGATCAAATCCGCCCTTGCTCTGAAGTTCGGCGATGGCGTTGTAGGCCGCGGGCCCACTGGCGAGGTCTATATCTTCCGGAGAGAGGGCTGGCACGCGACAGTTGATGTTTACCGCCGCCGCACGTTCGACTGCTCCCTGACAATTGCCACAGACGATTATGCCGGATGTATAGCCATTATCGGTGTAGACATCAGAGAGCATGCGGCTGAACGCGAGCTGCGTCCAGTCTACTTCTGTGTTTGCCAGGTGATTGGAGATGGATACACAAGCAAGGCTCAGTGAGAGCACTGGAAGGTCGCGATTAGCACGAAACTCTGTAAGAAAATGAGAGTGTTTTCTGCACTCACTCTTGGTGTTGTACATCGCACGGTGGATCGCGGCCGTGGCTACTGCGCCAAGGATGTTGTGTCGCACCCATACTGGCATGGAACCGAACTTCTCTACGACAATGCTCCATTCCAGCCTGTGCGCATCGCGAGCAAGAACTTCTCGACGCCCATCGCGCACCGAAGACGCCCATGCATCAAAGAAACGGCAGCTGAACAGATATTGCGAGATGATCGTGTACACGGGCGACTCCGCCGCGCCGTCTGGTACATTCGCGGATAGAGCATTGAGCTCGCTTTCCTGCTTCGCTTGCGAAAGAGCGCGCAAATGGCGAAGGAAAGGAATGAAGTTGTGCGTGCTATGAGTGGTCGAGGTCAGCGCACGAGACCGCAATGTTCGAATCGGGATAGACGCACCTTCCGCCGTCACGCTTCGGAGACCACATGTGCCTGAGCACTTCAACGGTGCAGACGCGGAAGCCATGGCAAAGATGTAGCAGCGCGAGCGAAGGGTTTGCGTCGTCTACATCCTGCTGCTGCTCAGGGGTACCATAGACGATACTGTCTAACTGCTCTCCGAGGACGCCCATTACGATGGTGTACACTATCTCCGGCGGGAAACGCTGAAGTACAGACATCTTGGACTCGGCGACCTCAGTAGACACAGGCATCGCGACAGACGGTACTGGGCCGGCAGCAGGACGTGGCGGCGGGAGATAAGCTACCTATAGGAGCCTGGCGGCCGCCTCGAGTACTTCGGCTGTTCGGACGTCTCATAAATATGAGAATGCATCCGCGCATCCTCCGCCGCCGGACAGCGTCCGGCGCACCCGCCCGTGATCTTCGTCCCACCCAAGTCCCACTACTCCGAAGCGCAGCTGTTCGAACTGATGTGATAAGCGACGTGCATAGATATTATATGTAGCACAGGAGACCTTTACTGTATACGGTACTTGTTGATAATATACTACAGTGCATCCCGAAAGCAAACGAGATAGCCAACATGATAGCATCTAGATAACTGACAGTCAAGTCCAAGCTGAGCTTCTTCCCCAAGCCTACCCCGACTCAAACGAGAAAACGCCGACAGTGTTCCCAAACCCAGCTAGTGCATGTGCAGGTCCAGCAAACAGCGATGCAACACGGGTGAAAGGGAGGCGCGGCGTCTCATCAGCCTCGCGCCGCGGTCGTGCCTCGGCAGACGCTAGCGCCGTCAGCGCGACGGCAAGAGGCGCCAGACCCTGTAGCGTGTCGAGGGTCCAGAGTTCCCAGCGCTCGCGCGAGGCGAGGCTAAGCCCTCTGGCTTCCTCAGCCGAGCGTGGCATGGACACGAAGGGTAGCATCTTGTTGGCCCCGCTCGTCGTAGGTTGGGCTACCCGTGGACGCCGTCGAATGCCAACAACGCGCCCACCCACGATGTCCCAAGTGCCACGATCGCATGCAATCTCAGCACAGCGCTCCAGCGTAACCTCCTTCCATCGCGAGCGGATCGCCGGGCCCCACTTGAAGATCCCGAGCTCCCTTGCATGCCCATTCTCGTCAGCGTCTAGCGTGACTGTAAGCGCTGACTCGGACGCCATTCGAGCGCCCTTGAGATCCTTCTGTGAACCTCGCCTTGAGAGGCTACCGTGTCCGGATATCGGGAATGTGGGCGGCGGCTCGATGAAGTGCCCTTCAGATACCGAAGGTTGTCGTGAGCGAGGTGTTGCCGAGCCATTACTCGACGCTACGCTCGACGTGCGTCTGCGGGAAGCTGAGGAGCTCCATAGCGCAGGCGCGTCGTTCGCTGGACATGAACACATGCAATGGCGGCGCCCAAGTGAAGGTAATTGCGCTCTGTAGGCTAGCACATTGCTGCCTACGCTCGTGGCGAGTATGAAGCCGTCCGCGGGGAGCTCGTGACAGCGAGGGCACGGCTGCGGAGGGACGGCGCCGATGCGCAAGGAAGAGATCTGGCCGAGCGCGTCTTCGAGTACGGATACGCATTCAGCCGTGTTCGCGTCCCATACAGTGACAACGCCAGCATCCGTTGCGGCGACGATCACAAGGCTGGTTACACCGCCGAGGTCCACGTAAGCCGCATGGGCACGGGCAGGTGGATCGTCGGGTGAGCCGACAGCAAGACGCATCTCCGCCGCGAGCATGTTGTCAAGCGACGGCAAAAGGTCATGCACCTCGAGTGTGCCGTCGTTCATCGCGTAGAATGCGAGAAGTCGCTCCGGCTTCGACATTTTCACGAGGGAAGACCAGAGTACGCCGGCACCAGGTGGAATGACTTTGGTGGGGCTGCTAAGCGCGCGGGTATCCCATTTCGCCACGATGCCGTTCTCGTATGCAGCGGCCAAAACCAATGACTGTAAAGGCGAAGGTGGGCGCGAGCTGGGAGGAGCGGCTTGAGCGAAAGGCAATAGGCGAGGGTTCGCGAAGTTGAGCTGCACTACGGCAGAAGACGACGGAGACGCGGCGATGATGGGCGAAGCGCGCGGTACATTGTTCTCAATGGTCCATAGAGCAACGACGCCTGTTCCTGTCCCGAGGACAAATGCACTTCCGTCGTCGTTCACTGTGACAGCAGTGACCGCCGATGCCGTATTGGAGGAACTCGCGCCGCGCAATAGTAGCTCCGTCGTCCGAACAGTGTAGTGCATCTGCGTCTCGCGGACCCACACAACCGTCTCGTTCTCGATGCCCACAACGACGACGATGCTGCCATCCGTGCTCGAGGCGATGAGGTCCGCATCCGTGGGTAGCGCGCGCGGTAGTGTATCGAACTTGACCTGCTTGTCCAGAGATGGAGCCTCGTCCGGCGCAGGAGTTTCCGCCTCGGCTCGATTACGCTGGGCTTCGAGTCTGTCCGCGTCCTTCAAAAGATAGAGCAGCAGTCCGTATAGTGCGCCCAACGTGATTCCCATGGGCAAGATAACAATGCGAAGCAGCCAAGTAACTGTCCGAAGATAGAGAGCTGACATGCTCCTCGAATGCTTCACGGCGCCAGCGGGTGTTTCTGTCGTTTGGTTTGCCGGAGGTTGAAGCATGAGTATCGTTGGAGATTGGATACGCATGTAGATGCTCGGTTCGTCGTTGGGGTTAAGGAAACGCCAAGTGTGATATGCGGGTAGGTTGCGGCTTTCCAATTCCGTGGTCAACTTCGAGCGCTCAACGTTAGGATCGAAAGCGAACATCGAGTCTCTGACGTTGTTCGAAGGCGCTGTGGCAATCCACAATGTTCCTGTGATGGCGAGAAGCTTGCGGAAAGATACTGAGCGTCAGAATAGAGAGAGACTAAAATATAGACTTACAAGAAGCAGGCTGACATTGGTCGCTGCTCGGCCACGCAGCACGCTCCGTATGCCATACGCCACTGAGCGCTTGCCTTTGACATCTTTCGGTACAGGAGGTGACGGCACAGGCGTGGACATCGCTTCGCTCGCATTTTGCTGAAGTAACTCTTCGAGTTCCATTCGCTGAAGGTCGATGGACAGAACGGCGATGAAGAATGTGTGTACGAGAAACCAGTGCGCCACAAGGACGACGACTGCGAAGGCGCAAAAGTGGCGAATGGCGCCCTTGGCGAAGAAAGCGATGACACCGAGAATGATATTGTAGGTGAGCACCTTCAGCGAGTTGGACGTCCCTGCTTTGCTCAGACCCTCTCCGATTCGCTCCTTCACCGGCAGCGCGATAGAAGTCTTGACGACCGCGTTGACCTGAGCTCGCGAGTCAGTTTAGTGGTATCGTACGATACGGTGAGACGCACAAGATTCGTCATTGTCTCTGAACCAATGAACGAGATCACCAACGGAAATAACGTCCTAGAAAGGAGTCAGAACAATGCCAACCGTCGGAACAGGAATTATCGCACCATGGCAGCGTGGTAATTCTGAACCCAAAAAGAGCGCAGACGCTCATGCTCGTGATGGTACTGACCACGACCTCGACTACGCCGGTGAAGAATAGGCCGAGTGGATTATGAACGGGAGGTAGATGCCGCAAATCCCGTATCGCCTTGAGGACGAATAGGAAGTAAGCCAGATAGATCAGGTTGGTGAGAACGTCCGGGGTCGTACGACTCTTCTCCGTGGAATACTGAAAAGAATGTGAGCCCTGGATCAACGAACCATATCACCCACACGTACAGTAAGCTCAACGATTCGCGGCTCCTGGGTATCCAATAGGAGTGGGAACGGCGCAGTAGAGTTGACGAGCAGTTCCCGCCATGCGAGATGGCCCGTGTTGCTAAGGCAGTCATTGTCATAAAAGAAGTACGTGAAGACAAGAAATTGGGCGGCGTTGTCTCCGCGCCCAGCGAGGACCATGGGTGGCGTAACCGGAACAGAGCCTACAGAGATGTTGCGCGAGCCGTCGAGTGCGCTGAGAATGTCCGTGTCTTCCCGCAGTGCCGCCTCATCGTGATGCCAGAACGCGAGCGGTGTGATGGCCATACATCGGCCATCCCGTTTAAGGCAGGGAACTTGACGAACGGATAGCTCGGACGAGATAAGCCGTTCCAGATCCAGCGCGGAGGCCAGAGTCTGATAATCCAATGCCCCCGCATCCGTAGCCGCGCTATGGATGAGCAGACGCTCGATGCGTAGAGTATGTTCTACACCACACCGCGCCTGGGCAAATGAGTCTTCGCGAAGGTGCAAGCTGTCGTAGCCGGACCAGATGTCGACAAGGTCATCTTGAGCATAGTAGCCCGAGAGCGCATTCTCGGCGATGAATGGGTCAAGGATCTGCGAGGTGAAATGCGCCAGAAACCGGGGTTGAGCCGACGTGTAGATTGCGAGAGCGGGATAGAATAAAGATGTGATGACAACTCCAGAGATGAGGATGACGCGTATTTGGTGGGTAGCGCAATGTCTGTATTTGGACTTTAAATGTCTGTACGAATGGCAAAGTAACAGATCACTACGCACATGCCGAAACGGTGGAAGAACCGGTGTCCGACGGTCCGTACGCGTTGAAGAAGCCCATGAGCCGAGCCCAGCATGCCAGTTGGAGCACAGTTTGGTTTCCGAAGCGATTGTGTACTATTTATTCGAGCAAGTATGCGTGTTAGACTCGTGTGTGCGGGCGTGTGGTCGCGTGAAGCGTGTCATGGAGGTTCACTGTCAGACCTATATAGAGCGCCTTGTCAGTGCCACAAAGCGAGTGGGCGCCAAAGAGCCTTTCGAACCTCAGCGAGACGCGGTCATGACGGCAAGGAGCAAGAAGAGGTAAACGTTCCCGGCCATCTCGGAATCAAGGAGGCAAAGCGCGCCGCAGGTGGCGGCCGGCATCAGCCTAAAGCAGCTTACGCAACTTAACGTTTCGGTGACTGCCGCCGGTAACGTTGCCTTCAAACCGCCATCGCCTTCTAGCGACCTCAAGCCTCTCGATGATATAGCTACCCATTGTCATAATCTTGGCCTTGAAGCTCGAAACATCTTAGACCCTGTACTATTACTCTCATGCGCTAGCGTACTGTCATGCCCACCTCTTCATCACCTACATTTGCGCAGACCTTACCTCCCGAACTGGTCCAACCAATCGTGTTGCACGTCATACGTGACCAATTAGAGGACCTTTTCTTGCTACCCTCGAGCCCATCTGTTCCAAGGATCTACTCGTCGCTAGCTCTCCTTCACTTGTGCAGTGTCTTCCGACATTGTGCTCTGAGCGCCCTTGGACACATTTGGGGAGGGCTCGAAAGGAATACGGTGTTCGTTTCTTTCGTAGATCTACAGCTTTTTTCATCTCGATTCATGATCTCCATCAGAGCATACGATCATATTTTCCGCTTCAAGGCCGTAGACGGGTCCCTTTCCGCCGCTTGGGACTTCGAAGCTTTGCCAGAGAAGGAACGCTTCGGCGTGGCTCTTGCTCGACTCCAATCGCTCAATGAAAATACGTCACCACGTGCGGATGCTCCGATATACTCTCTGCTTCAAACGTTGGCTCTCTCGAGGATCACTCAGGTTGCGATGCGACATCTTTCCAAGAGACCCCTTCGGCATCATGCGACAGCTGAGACACAGAAAATGAAATCCGACATCTTTTCGGGCAGCATGTCCATAGCTGAACTACTGCACACACAAAACGCCAGATGCCGCGACCATATCCCAGCCTGGTTGCTCAAAGATGTGCTGGGATCCCTCATGCCGTACAGTCTGGGCGCGGCCGTCTATCTGGTCAAAAGTCAGTCGTCACCGCTGAGGGTTGTCAAGACCACTCATCGATGCTCTCGCCAGTGAGTGCTATGGAACAGGCAAGCCAGGTCATGAGCGAGACTCTGGAAGAGCTGCCGTCCTCAGTGCATCTCACGGTGAGTATCAAGTCATTGATCTACATGCGCCGCGAATCTCACATTAGTCTTCAGCACGAGCAGGCGGACCAATTTGCGGATGTGATAGATCAGCTTGCTGAAGACTTTTACCGATCTGTGACGCAGATGCCCTTAACTGAGGTGAACGGGCTTTGTCGTGCTTGCGGCATTGACATATCACCTTGTGAATGGACTATGGAGGACGCACGGGCATCCGGTGTAGCCTCTGTTCTTCATGAAATTCGTCGACGCAGGAAATGCAGACAGCTCAGCTCTAGCGCTGCTCGGAGGATTCAGCGCTCCATGCGAGTTTCCGCAGGGCTCACCGATGCTGAGGCTGTACTCTGCGGGTTGCCCTACGAGCCCTCTGACAACAAGGCGGCGAGTCGCGTCGGCTTCGCTGGCGAACTAGGACCGCACGTCACTCCGACGCATTAGGGTTAGGGTCTGGGCTGGACCTGCGCGCTCAAAGCGCGCTGCGGAAGATAATGCGTCAGCACTTACCATACTATAGTGTGTGCCTCAAGTTTCCCCTCACGCCGCAACCACCACCCTCCACACCACTCCTCCCTCTCGCCATCGGCGCTCAGCTCCGGGGGCTCTTGCGACATGGACAAGCTTGCGAGGCCGGCCCGAGCCCTGTCCTCCAGAGGCCATGGACCTCATCCTCCGACAAGTTGACCACAAGGACCTGCACCTCTACTTATTTGGGCTGTATCCGGGCGTTACGCCGTCATTGCGCTCACCTCCTGCTTCAATGCGTCACTATCTCTCGTCCATATATACAGCGGTTGAGCTAGATTAACGTTCCTTCCCCTACCCATGACGATGTATACTTGAACAATTGTAGGCTAAGATGACATATTACCGGTAGTTGTCATCATACGGCATCGAGTTTTGGATGTATGTCCGCTGTGCTCGGCGAACCTCTGTCGGACCCTGTGGGAACTGGCTGTCCGGTGCCGGTGATTGCCGAAGGGCTGATGCGCGTTTGAAGCACTCATCCCACGAACATCACCATCAACGACTGTACTGAGCTATGCATCCCGCTCCTGCCATAACAATGAAGCGTGAACAACTGGGCGCTGAGAACGTTCTACATCAGGACTTTGGTCCGGTATAGGATACACACTTCTTCTCTTGGGCTGATTCAGCCTCAGCGCTCGATGGTTGACCGACGACGACCATGACGGCTTTGGCGTTGTCGCTAGCGCTACTGACTCTCTGTCTGAGAAGTTATGCACTGCGCAGCGTGCAACACGTCTTACCACCTCCAGTCGATAGCGGCAATATCGATCAAGCGTTGCCCCCAGACATTATACGGAACATACAGTCAATTGTCGACGCGCATGAAGTTCCAGGACTATCCGTCGCTTTCGTACAGCCAGGTGGAGCGGTCGAGTATGGAAGTTGGGGCGTACGAACCGAGGATGGCGATTCCATGACCAGCGACGTGCGTCTCGTGATATTGAACCATGAATATTACTGACAATGGTGTCGATAGACCCTGTTCATCATAGCCTCATGTTCAAAGGCCTTCACTGCAGCAGCAATTGGCCTTCTGATTGAGGATTACGCGGCTGGGAGAAATGTCACATCGTTGCCGAACGGAGTTGACCGCTTGGACTGGGATACGAAGTTGAAAGACATATTACCTGGAGAGTGGCAGCTCATGGATGGTTCGGCAAGCGAGATGGCGGCCCTCAAAGACATATTGTCGCATCAAACGGGCGTACCTAGGTCCGTGGCTGCTATAAGACTGATGAAGTGGTATTAACTAGCCGAACAGACACGACTTGTCGTATTCAAGAGAGGACGGCGCTAAGGACATGGTCTCCCGGCTCCGGTATCTACGTCCTGCGTTCGAGATAAGAGAGCGCTGGCACTACAACAACATCGTACGTCGTGTCCCACCCATCTATATTCGAACAAAGGCCGATGTCGTTCCAGATGTACATGACAGCTCAACACATCATCACGACATACGCAGGCTCGTTCACGGATTATGTCCGCGACCGTATCTTCTTGCCTCTCAACATGACGTCCACGACGTATTCAGCATCCAAGGCATTCGAAGGCGGCAAGCCGACGCAGACCTGGGACGAGAACGGACGTCGCTTACCTTGGGCGTTCAAAGACAGTGATATTGACCTCATCGCTGGTGCAGGCGGGATCATATCATCAGCACAGGACATGGTATGGGCACACCTTTCGTAGCATCAGTATCCACACCTGACTCTTGTCATCTAGTCGCGCTGGGTACAAATGCTGCTCAATGGTGGTGTAGATCCCGTCTCCAACCGGAGGATCCTGACGCCGGATATCATTGATGCTGTAAGCCTAGCTCGAACCATCATAGACGGGAGAGGGAACAGCGATACGTCCATCCAGGGCTATGGGATGGGATGGTTCCGAAGCTCATATCGCGGCCATTCGGTCAGTTAGTTCTCTACCGCTGTTGGAATGGCCCGTGCGCTAACGCCCCATCCTAGCTAGTCATGCATGGCGGCTCCTTGCCGGGTATGTCGGCGTTGGTGGCGCTGTCTCCCTACGATGGAGTTGGCATCGTAGCGCTGGCCAACGGAGACAACAAGCACGCCGCGCTGAACGAGGCTGCGCTCACGATCCTGCACAAAGTCTGGGGTCAACAACCAGACCATGCGACACAATCACCATTTGTGTACACTAGCATAACAGGGGATACAAACGGCCCACGACCTCCGCGCGCAGATGTACTTGAGGACCTTCCGCCATATGACTTCACCGGAGTGTATTTGAACGAAGGATACGGCGCGTTCGTCTTGTGCGACTCGAGGAACACGTCGGGGCACTGTGCAAGTGTGCTCGACGACTTCGCTACCGTCTACGCTCCCGAAAAGCCAAGGACGTCAGAGCTGTACGCCGCTTGGCCTCGCTTTTCGACGTCGCATATGCGCGCGTCTTACGTCGGCGGCATGCGCTTTGTTGTGCAGGCATTACAGCTTTATCCTGAGGGCTACGGCAAGAACACCACACCGTTCGCACTGGCCAGCGGTTCAGCTTTTGCGGACTTCGTTGTGCGAGATGACGGCGAGGTGCTTGGGTTTGGCCTGTTTGGCCTAGTTGGAGAGAAGACGAACAGGGAGAAGAAGGGTGGGAACATTGAAGAGACTGCAGATGTGTGGTTCGATAGGGCGACGTGGAAGCGTGTGCAGTGAGATGGTCTCTAATCGTGTAGTGCACGAGTAAGGTGTGCAAGAAGCTCTGTTTGTGTGTAACGATGTATATTGCAAAATGTCCATGGTGAATAAGTGGAGAGTCTATCGAATTCGCTGGCACATCCACTTCAGCGGTCACTATGCCCGTCGTAGGGTGGATCTTCGGCGTCCTCAATTGGCACAAGACGGCCATCAACGATCTTCACCGAGAAAGCTCCAGCTCGCCGTCGTGCTTCTGAGCTGTGCATACTATACTGCGATAATCGTGCAGCAACAGCCGAGTTATCCAACGTCATGAGGCATAGCAGCCCGGCGTCTTCTATGGGGGCCTCTCCTTCCCGCACGTCTCCGCGAGCAAGCATATACAGACCGAGCACGGTAAGAACAGTCGCGAGTATTGTTCCGGATATCAATGCTGGGAGGTTGAACTGGATTGGCGAAATCAGCGAGTCGAGTCTTTGACGCCGTGGCGAATACCTACGTCTATGCGCCCGACAAGTCTTTGCTCGGTCACTGTCGTCGAACCGCTTACTGGTTCGAGTCTCGTCGAGTACCCTTGCACTCCGTTAGGGTTATAGATAAATGCGCAACGCCCGTGTTGGTCCTCTCCGCCTTGAGGTTGGGTTGTGTTCGTAGTTGTTGTCAGTGTACTGGCCCTCGCAGCGGACCACATCGTCATAGCCGTCGCATTCGCCAGAGCTGATTCGAGCGCTGCAAGTGACGCATTGGCTAGAGGGTCTCTACGTATAACATTGTTGTCAAAAGGCGATGATAGCTCGCCATCGTACGTCATCTTCGAAGCGCCAAATAGTTGTGTTGTGACTGTTTGATGATCAGATCCCTTTACGGGCAGTCTGCGCGGAAAAAACATACGATACTCCTCAATGAGCGTTGGTACGTGGCAAGTCTCATACATCCTCTGTAACACGTCGATATCCCAGTGGTCAAGCCCTTCGCCTTCGCCATCTGTAGGAACGACAGTGTCGTTGCCCCAGGTGGGGACATAATTGACGCAGGACCATAGAGGAGCTTGCGGAACCGGCTGGTCCTCCCAAAGTGCCATCGAGCTACCGGGTAAAAGCATGGATGCCCACGAGTCCTCGAGTCTAGACGGAAGAGCGTGTGAGTGCTTGTATGCGAGCTGCATATATGAACGGTGAAGATGAACGAAACTTGTTCGATTTTGTCAGATCAGGTGTCCATCCTTGCCAGGTGCTATTGGCGCTCATGCCTTGCCATGGCGCAGGGGGAAAGAGAGGCGAATTAGTGGTTGCGTCGATCATGATCTGGCCGGTGCTCGTGGGCAGAGAGCATCCGATGACCTGTATCATCAAGCCGGTCGGAAACTGTTCTGTCTCGTCTGTGACAGTGGAGAGCCTGTGTTGTACCGTGAGCGGCCACGGAGATCCAAGAGACCCCTTTGAGTCGAGTATGGGTCTGCTTCCAGCCACCGAGCCAGTCTCATTGTAGATGTTGTACAGGATGAGATTTCTTCCCGTGTCCGGTAAGAGGCCACTACTGGGAACACGCAATAGCACATCTATAACATGTGAGCGGGTGCTGAGTGAAATAGAACACGTATACACGGACCGGAGGGCTGCCATAGTTGATTGACCGCGGTGCTGGATGCAACTAGCTCTGACATCGATATGGACAAGCTATCGTATAGCTGCATTCGCTGTGCGCCGAGCGTGTAATTGATCGACAGGAGCGTGGGCATTCGCATGTCGTCACCGCCATGAGCAGTACCTCCAGCGCTAATGAACCTCTTGTAGAAGTATGAACTTGCTTTGTGGGATGTGTCGGCGACAGCCCCGCACCGGACGTTGAAGTCCGTGTATCCAACCAGCGCCGTCGAGTTTGATGAAGCGGGCATAGGGGGAGAAAGCGTGTCGTATATCCGATTGGCGCTCAAGCCAGGGTAGACCGTCGCGTTGCTGCCGATGAGCATGCCAACTCCGACACTGGATCGGTACCAGTCAAAAGTGATATTGGCGAAGTTCGGGGGTATATTAGATATGATTGAAGGAATGAATGCCCTCACGGACGGCGCACCGATGAGGGTTGTCATGTTGTTGGTAGTCGTGTCGTTGATTGCAGGGACGTCGAATAGAAAAGACGAGCTGATACCGAGCCCGGATAGAGTGGAAAAGTATATGGTCACGATGAGGGCATTCTGAAGCGTTGCAGGGAGGCTCAGATTGCGATAGAGGTTAAGAAGCGCAGAGCCGAGGCCGCCCCAGGATGTGATCTTGTCCGACACCATCGTCAAAGATTGTGGGAGGTTGACGAAAGGGGAACGAGTGGCCATAGGTTGCATGATGGCGATTATGACAGTTGAGAACGCAAGCATGATGATCTGCAAGCATAATAAGCTATAGGAAAATGAGAGGTGGAAGAGGTGGCACGAACATGACTGATCAGATTCAACCACGTTTGAACGCGCGAAGCATTTGCCAGGCCCACTCGTATGCTCTGCTCTGCACCCGTAACCCACACAATGTAGAGGGAGATATAGATAGCGAGGACACTTGCATGAAGCGCCATGGGCACCGTAAAGACGCCCCTACGGCTTGATCGCGGTCTAGACGCTCGTTCTGTCGAGTAGCTGTCACAAGATAGCGCGACGAGATCATGCATGCGAACGTACCTTTCGGAATAGCGGCATACTTCGTGCTCGTACTCCCGAGCAACGTTTCACCGTCGAATGACGACCTAATGGCAAGTATCAGTGTCTACTGGACTGACAAGGGCCAAAGGACGCACCTTGCTGGCGATTGCCATTCTGAAGGGGTAAATGTACTGCTTTCAGGCGTTTTGAGCGCGCTGTACTGCGCGGACATGGCTTTGGTGAATCTCTCACAAGTGATCGATGGTCTTTATAGGTGCTCGAGCCTGCACTCATCCGCTTACCCACGACGACAGCCCACAACCCAGCGTCATGATACTGCCACCATGCGGTGCAATCTATAGCTTCCAGATTGAATCAGTCCAGTTCGATAGGAGATGGAAGCTTCAGCGTTGGGTACCCCGGACAGTTTTGCCGCACGTCCAACACCTCATGGCCTCAGCGCATTGACTCCCTTCTCATTGTCCTCACCGATAGCTTAAGGCAGACATGTCGGTAACTCGTGCATTGCGCTTGATACGCAGACGTTGGCGAGGTACTGATCAGAGGTGAGAACGGGGATAATAGCGGAATAGGAAGCATGAGGCTACGAAACACCGAGAACGCCGAGTTACAAGGGCCACTGAATGATGGGGCCTCGTTGACGCTTTGGAGTGTTTTGGGACTGGAATTCCATAGAGAGCTGAGATGACGAGGTTGGAACGGGAGAGGTGCCACTCCGTGAGTGCCCACTAACGAGAAGTAGCCAAAGAGCAATGGCCTACTTTTGCCTGCATATTCGTTGCGGCATGGCAAAGACGTACTACCACCCTATTTTAAGGGTAGCAGAAGTGTTACGCAAGGTACCAGGGTTACTACCTGTTGCACGGTATTTGCCCGTTCAGAGGGAGATGGTGTGAGGAATTCGAGCGCTGCTGCGAGAGTCGCGAATTCGAACCAGGTTACCGGCCCGAAAACATCCGCCGTTGGGGAGGGAACGGGCCGAACCGGACATTTGGAAACCCTGTCTTCGACGACCACCATTGTGAAGTCAAGAATCGCTTATCCTCCATTCTCGACGTTGCATCTGCGCGCACATCTTGCGTCGGCGGCATGCGCTTTGCTGTTCAATCATCCCACAAGAACAATCGGACGAGCGGATCAGCTGTTGGGGTTTCCTTGTGCGAGATGACGGTTATGTGCTCAGGTTTGGTCTACTTGGCTTGGTTGGGGAGAGGACGAATAAGGAGAAGAAGGGTGGTAGCATTGAAGAGACTGCAGAAGTATGGTTCGATTGGGCTACGTGGAAGCGTGTGCTCGATGTTGTGTTCACTTCGTAAACTACTTGTATGTATAACGTCGTTGAAGCCTGTGGGTTGCTATGATAATCCAAACTACTACATAAGCGAGAAAGACGAGCGAGGGATCATGATACGGCCTTTCAATACAGTAACGTCAACGTCAGCTCACAGGGGACGTTGTGTGCAGCTTAGAGCGTCATGCTCTTCTCGTCCAGGTCGTCCTCTCCAACGTCTCCAACAGGAGCAAGGCGGCCGTCCACGATCTCGACCATAAATGCTCCCGCCCGCCTGCGTGCGCTCGATGTACCGAACTTCAGGCCGACAAGGCGAGAAGCCACGGACGAATTGTCCAGCGCCATAAGACTTAGTAGCCCGGCGTCATCGATAGGTGCACCTCCAACGCGCGCGTCTCCCAAAATGAGAACATACAGGCCAATCGCTGCCAGAATCACAGCTAGAATTGTCCCGACAATGAGCATCGGTAGATTGAACTGGAGCGAAGAGTATGAGTTCCATGCACGAGTAACATAGCCTGCGGATACTCACGGCTATATGTCCAACAAGTACATGCTCAGTCACCACAGCAGACCCACTCGCTGATCCAACTCGCATCGAGAATGGCATCACCGAACCGAACTCGAGGTCTCTCTTGCCATTGGTCATGTCAGATGGGATGTCCGCATAGGTTGTGAGCGTCCCTTGTCGTGCAGCAGACCACATCGTCATGGCAACAGCATGGCAAGAGTTGACTCCAGTGCTCCTAGGGTGGCGTTGGCCTGTGAAGGGTCTCGTGTCACGTCTCCGAGGAAGGCAGCGAGTCCGTTGTAGCGCATCGATGAAGGGCCGAAAAGGCGCGTTGTGACTGAGAACGCGTTGTGAGCTCATCCTTCGAGGACATGCATCTAAACAGCATACGCACGATAGTCTTCAATAAGCATGGGTATATGGCAGCTCTGGTACATCAACTGCAACTGCTCGATGGTCCAAGAGTCGTTCACGGCTTCGGTTGCGTTAGTAGGAAGATAGTCGATGCAGGACCACTGCCCATTAGGCGGCGTAGGTTGATCCTCCCAAAGACTGAGTGACCCGTTCGGCAAGAACATGGACGCCCACGTGTCCTCCAAGCTGGTCTACTGTGAGAAAGATGACAGGTCATGAAGGAACACGACGCACGAGTTGGACTGCGCCAGGTCCGGCTCCCAGCCCTCCCATGTACTGTTTGAGCTAGCTCCTTGCCAGGGATCTGGCTTCTCGATCAGCTCGTTCGTGGTAGCATCGATCACAGCCTGCCCGGTACTGGTGGACAAGGAGCAACCGATAGCTTGAATCATCATCCCTGTCGTCTTCGTTGGGTATCCGTAAGGTTGCAGTATATTGAGCGACCACGGCGAGCCTGTCGAGTTCTTGGCATCGAGAATAGGTCGACTGCCCGAAACAAGGCCGGTCTCGTTGTAGATGTTGTATAGAATGAGATTGCGACCGATACCCGGTATGAGGGGGCTCGTAGGGATGCGCACTAGCACATCTGAGGTCCGCGTCAGAATAATCAGCGCAGTATACACTAGGGATCGACACAAACCTGCTGGCTGCCATAACCGACCGACAGTCCAAGAAGTATTGGTCCACGATACAGATAAACTGTCGTAAAGCGTCATGGGCTGATCCCCAAGCGTATAGTTGATCTGCAACAGCGAGGACTCCCGCGAGTCGAAGCCACCCGTAGCTTTGCCTGCTGCACTAATGACCTCCCTGATGGTCTCCAACGGCGCAGTGGCTTCGAGTGACACCCCCGGCACCGCGCCGCACTTGACGTTGAAATCTGTGTAGTTGACCAATGCGGAAGCGTTCGCAGAAGAAGGCATCGCGAGCGAGAGCGTGTCGTAGATCCTGTTCGCACTGAGACCTGCGTAGACTGTCGTATTGTCCTCGATGAGCATGCCGACGCTGACACCAGAGCGGTACCAGTCAAATGTCATGTTCGAGAAGTCGCTGGGGATGCCATCTATGGTGAGCGGAATAAGCGCGCTCACGGATGGGGACCCGATACGAGTGGCCGCCCTGGTGACGTTCGTTGACTTGACCGTAGGAACGTCAAACAAGAACGAAGAGCTGATTCCCAGGCCTGAAAGAGCGGCGAAGTAGATGGTGATCAAAAAGGCGTTGCGGAGTGTGATAGGATACCGAAGATTGTGCCAGAGGTTGAGTAGGGAGGAACCGAGACCACTCCAAGTGGATACTTTGTCGGACAGCGCTGTGAGCGATTGCGGGAGGTTGCCGAAAGGAGAACGCGTCGCAATGGGCTGCATCAAGGCTATGATACCTGTCGCGAGAGCGAGCATCACGATCTGTGAAAAGGTTTCAGCGACCGTGATCTGAACATAGTGAAGAAGAGGTACGAACGTGGCTAGCCAAGTTGATCCAAGTCTGAGTGCGGGAAGCACTGGTTAAGGGGACGTGGATGTTGTTCTCGACCCCGATTAGCCGCACGATGCACAGCACGATGTAGATGACGGGCACAGCAAGGTGCAGGGCTACAGGCACACTGAAAAGGTTGCGATATACTAATGGCGTGTTTGTCGTTCGCCCTGCTGAAAGATCTTCAGTGAACTTGTGCATCGCGTAAAGCGCCCTCCGCACGAACCTTGTGACCGATTGGGCTTACGACGTCTGAACAGTCTGTCGCCTTTGTATTCTGACCTTTAGAGCGTTATTCCCTCAGTCAGCGCGTGTATAAAGTCGAGCATAAGACTAGACGTACGAATCGGGACGCGAGATCGCGGGAGAGTCCATGTTGTTATCAGACAAGTCCACCGCGCTGTAGTCCCACCCTGTATTGGACATTGACCAATCTTGCGATTGTCGCCAAAATGGAGGGATGAGGCTCGCTTTACTGCACGGACAGTCGTCTTTATAGCGGACGCCGAATGTCCCACGTCTGGTAGATTCTGCTCGATCGATGTAACCCTACAGCGACTGCCATGCGGTACTGGCGTAAGGGCGTGAGTGCAAGGTGACTCTAGTATGTAATTGGTCGCGTCGACAGCGCCTATTTTGTGGGCGTGAAACTTGAAGGCAATTGCGCTGAGGCGGTCTGAATGACACAGATGATTCGATATGCCTATTGACAAGGTCTATCAGTACTGTAGACCCACATCCCAGTAACTGCATGTCAACGCACATATAACTTTGTACTGGGGCGAAACCGACCGAAGTTGCACAAGAGCGCTTAGTTGAATATCATGGTGATTAGAACCATGACACTAAGTCGATCGGCCGTTGATGCCACGCCGAGAGTCAGAACGACTTAGCCGCACGACCAGTTTCTTGTGCTATACAAGTCTGGCTCCCACCAACTATCACGCGGTGTTGGCGCGAAGATCTTCATTCGCGCGGCGGCCCTATGAGGCTTCGATGTATCTTACCGCGATACACATAATTGACCGGACTGAGGTACCGATAGGACCGATATGAGCAAGCAGAACGAGCGTAGCATACAAGATGTGCCGTATGGGAATAGAGTGGCTCAGGACGGTACGTAGGGATGCAAGTAGAATTCCAGGGTTCGATGGGCGAGAGTTCGCGAGCACACTTTTTCGGAGGTGAAGCCGTTCAAGTTGCCACCAGCAGTGACACTGAGAGAGACATGCTTATCGCAGGTTATGGTTCGTTGTCTGCATACGTTTGGCCCACTGGACCCAACAACTCGCGTCGGGAGCAAGAGTGCATGACGGTTCAAAGCAAGAGGCTGACGGCCTCTATCCCACCGCCTTTTGCACACACGTGGCTCTCAGGGGCACTGAGTTCGCCGCGACGCGAAGTCAAGCTGAACCCGAACCCGCATCTGCGTCAGTGCATGTCTCCCTTCTTCTGGCGCTAAGCCCAGCCCACATCAACCAGTGCATGCCGGTATTGCAACTACGGCGGCGACGAGTCCTCACAATTATGCTACCCGCTGCCCTTCTCCTTGCCGGCCTCGCTGCCTTCACCGTCCCAGCCGGTGCATTATGGCCATTTCCAACTAAACGCTTCAGCAAGAATGCTCTATTATCTGCGGGATCATTAGGAGTGGAAGGAAGAGTAGTTGCGTTTGGAGACTTCAATGGAGATCAGTTGTGCGTGGTATAGTTGTGGATGGTGTGCGGCATATGTTCATACGGATGGACAGTCTCGACCTTATGACGCTCGCGACGGACCAACGAACATTAACCGTATATCTCTGGGATCATGGTATGTGACAAGGTCTCATACTCAATACATGCGTCTAATGAGAACTACAGAGTCCTTCATCTACCGACGGTCTGCTTCCTTCATCCACTCTGAACGAATATACAACGTCGTACCCGGAGACTTTACACATGACGGAACCCTGGATGTCCTAGTCATGTCACAGAACTCCGCCTCTAACTCATTATCCTTATCGCTATACCCGTCTCTCCCAGGCGGAGGATTCAGTGCGTTCATGCACTTCATGGTCACGTATAGTAACTAAGGCAGAACCACAGGCAGAGAACCCATAACATCGACACCCTCCAGCCTCTCTCAACCTATACCCCTCGACGTCGACGGAGACATGAAGATCGACCTTCTAGGCTCGGTACCGAACGACCCATCACATCTCAAGATCTGGCAGAATGTATGGAACTCCTCTTCCTCTTCTGGAGAATTATACGACGTGTGCGCGCTTCCCTCACTTACAATCGTGGGAGCTCTGTTGACAGGTGCTCAGGATAGACCCTCCACTGCCCAGCGCGTCATGTAGGATATCGAATCCGCATAGTAATGCGGTGGTCGATCTGAATGGAGATTGCCTTGCCGGTGCGTACACTTGGTCGCGAAGATGGGCGCAGAGGCTGATGTCTGCTAGACATGTTCCTTGTCTGTGACGACTCGTCATCGCAGAAGTCCTTCCAGATCTGGGTGAACAACAAAGACGCTGGCTACATGCTCGCGCAGAGCGGGAAGCTTCCTAGCGGCACCCAATCTGTGACCTTCGCGGACATTGGTGCGCGTCACCTTACTTCTCTACGACTTTTCTGGAGCTCACCCGCTTGCAGATCGCGATGGTACCGTGGACATGCTTATCACGACCTGCGATAGCGTCTCGCAGAGCAGCGGTCTGGGCACAAAGTGTGTATTGAACGTCGCGTTCAACCAACAGCTCCCGCTGTGCGCACAAGGCTCCTCTTCGTTGTTCTCCGGACCATCCGAGAAAGAGAAGGCTTCGTGTCGACGAGCGGACGCGCTATGCGCTGCAGACCCGGACTTCAAGTTCTCCTTCGAGGGCGATGTACGTGTATGCCCTTCTATCACTGTGTTCAGGGGCCTGAACTCGATGAACAGGGATATGTATCGGTGCCGGTATCATCTATCCTTGGACAGACGTCGTCAGGCCACGATCGACTACTCGTAGTCCTCGATACGTCATTCACACCCTCCCTGCCCCTACCACCACATCTAGGCGACGTCAACCTCGACGGCTTCCCCGACCTCCTGCTTCTCTCCGGAACAGCCCAAGACCGCACCCGCAGCGTCAGCATAATCGTCTCCGAACCCTGCGGCGGAAAGGGCGTAATGGGCTGCGACGTACCCGGCGCCACCCGAGGATGGAAAGAGCTCAACAAAGACGTGAACGTCCTCGCGAGCGTCGGCGACGCCCGAAGCGCGACGTTCATGGACATGGACGAAGACGGCACACTCGACATCATGATCCAGCGCACGGGCGAACAAGGCCAAGGCAACATCCTCTTCGTACAGAACAACTTCTACTACGACGCGTTCTTCATGAAAGCCATCACGCTCAACGGCGCATGCATCTCCGGCTGGTGCACACCTTCCGATCCGACCAACGATACGGCGTACCACCCCTTCGGCGTCTCCTACTCCGGCGCATCGTACAAGTACACCGTCCTCGACACATCCGGCTCGCGCTCAGCCGCCCAGATCGCGCAACTCCCTCAAACGTCCTACCAGTCCCTCCTCACGCCATACGCCTACTTCGGACTGGGGCGGACGAACAACTACATCGAGAACCTGTTCGCGGGATCGACGAAGCACGATCAGCAACACTTTATCAATATGGAGATGGTCATTCCGAACTCGAAGTTGGTTATCAATCCTGCGCCGAAGGGGGACGAGGGGGCGTGGAGGAAGGAGCTGTATTTGAGGCCGGGGGAGTGGATCCCTTGGGTGGGCGTTACGGTGTTGGTTACGATGGTGCTGCTCGCGGGCGTGGTGTTCGTTTTGCATCTGAATGAGAAGGTTCGCATATTCTACGTTTTTGTGCGCGTACTCCTGCTCACACGGCCGCTACAGCGCGAAGACGAGCTGGAGAGGAGACGAGCATCACACCACATCAACTTTGATGCATTGTAGTACGGCGATTCGAGACGACAATGTGTATATGCATTTTGAACGGACTATGGGGATGCAGGGATATGGAATATGTTACATGGGTATAAAGTACAAGCATCTACGGTAGACCCGAGACTCGATAGCGAGCGGCGTCCATCCAGATGGTCCAGTGAGATGCGCGGGAAGTGAGATCCATAACATAGCGAGAAAACGAGATGAAATAAGAGCAATGAGAGTGCAAGATGTGTCGCAGCACGACCAGTGATGTCTAAAAAGTCAAGAAATGGGTTTTAAGTTGGCCGTTGTCCGTCTGCAATCCATCGTCAGCTCAGCTCTTCAACGAATCAATGAGCGAAAGAACGTACTGTCTGGTGAACGATGATGGTATCCTCCTCAATCATGAACCTAATATCCGCGCTCATCCTCAGATCCTCCGGCACGCTCATCTGCCTAATAACAAACGGCGGCTCTCCCACTCCATTCGGGAACCAAGCCTCACTCAACTCCTCCGGCAACCGCGGCCTCGGTACCACATCCACCTCCGTCTGAGCGCCATCCTTCGACCGCGCAGCTGCGACACGACGGGGATGAAAGTCCCACACGACGATGCTGAGAGGGTTGGAGGGGTTCCGCGAGCGAGCGGGGTGCGGGTGGATGTATCGCATCCCATGGACGAATCCTCCGCCCGCCCAAGCTTCTTCGTGTCCGAAATCGCCGACCGCGTACACTTGCCCAGGTCCCCATTGCAACCACGGCACATACGTCCCTCTTGTGCCCTTCCTCCTCACATGCTCCAGCACCGTCTCGGCTTTGACGAAGAAGCTGACCGTACTTCTCCGCTCGAAGGTGTAGTCAACAACTATCAACCGGTTGTCCGGAGCGGTGCAGAATGGTGCGGGCCCGGTGTGGCGCCATGAGGGCGAAGGGTCGCTGTGTAGCAATATCTCGTGTGCTGGGTTCTTGCCCAGGACGGGGAGAGCGAGGCACCATGCGACCGTCACAGGTTGATTCTGGGACTGTGCTTCGTCGATGTTGAGGTCCAGCATGGGCAGCTTCGACGACGGTATCTCGTATATGTCCAACGACGAGAACCAAAGATCTGGGTGATGAGGAGGGACCAGCGGGGACTCGGCGGAGGACACCATGACGAGGTTATCCGCCAGAAAGACGAAGGAACGAAGTTCTTGACTGGTCAGGCGCTAAATGTAGAAGAGAATGATAAGCGCCCATAAACCGAAAACTGAACAAAGACCAAAAACACTGACCAGACGCATCTCGCCCGTACGCCAGTCCCACACGCAAAGCTCGCGCGTGCCGAGATCGCCGCCGTACACGTTCTCGAAGAAGATACCGAGGTAGCGCCCGTGCACGCGGATGTTGTAGCACCATTCGCGCATGGTTATCCAGGCGTAGTTTCCCCTGTCCGGCGAGATGGTGTAGAGCGGGATTGGGGCAGTAACCTCCGGATGCGTATCCCCAGATGTCAAAGATTGCAAGTGTATCTTGATCGAGTCTTTCCCACTGCACAAAAGCATCAGATCGACCGGCAGGGCAGAGGGAAGGCAGCGAAACTCACGCATGCTGCAACAGGACCAGCAGATCACTGCTACTATCCAGCGTGAAATCCAAGATCGTAAACTCGCTGATATAGCTCCACTTCTTCATGGATATGTTGCGGAATATACTCGGCAGCCTGACGAAAGAGATACTACAGTGGTCGCCGCTCTGAGCCCAAATGCCGCCGTAGAGTTCCCAGATGTGGACGGCTTGAGGCGGTAACGCGATGCGCCGCCTCCAGCGCAGATTCGACCAGGCGGTCTCGTGCTCGACGATGAGATCGAGGCGCTGTTTGGCTGTGTATGTCGCGCGGGGTAGATCTTGCATGCCGGTGCGTGCCAGCGCCAGCACGTACTCCAGACGGCGCGAGTTGGTGATGAGGCCCCGTAACAGTCGACATGACTGTGATCGGGTTCATATATAATATAGTCATATTCGTATAGATCGACGAACCTTCGCAGAGTGCACGATGGACCGGTAGTCGGACCACTCGAGGATGCGCAGGATGAGCTCCGGAGGGAGCGAGAGCAGGTTATACGCCATCTCCGCCCGGAATCAACTATATTCCGTTCAGATCGCCATTCTTTTTACATTTATAGTGAGACTTACCTGTCGCTGATACCGTCTACGAGGGTAGGCACGCAAAATCTGGGCATGAACCTCTTGTGGAAGGGAGCTGGGCAAACGAGAGATCGAAACGAGCAACTCGTCGCGCGCTAAACGCGTTGCATCGCTCCCACCCACACACCGGAGCCGAGGCGCGCCGGCCCCGTCAACACGTGTCGTGGTGGTTCATCTTATACTCTAAATCCGTCCTTCTGTCGCCGCAATGCTCGGCCTTGGCCTGTACGTCCTATGCTTCATACGAGGAATTGGTGGATGGCGAAGGTGGTCGTTGGAGGTGAAGATTGTAGTCGGCCGAGGCCGACGTGGAATGCAGCGCCAGCGACGCGCTCAAGTGGCTTTGTCAGCTTTTTCGGACAAACCGGATAGACCGGGCCGGCGGTTTATCGCAACATTGTCCAGCTGAGCTGCGGCGCACTGTAAAGCTAGATCTACGGGTGTACCGACTCTGCCAACGCATCCACCATGCCATCTACTACTGAAGGAAAGCGCATCTGCCAGATCATCAAGGTAGATACCCTTAAGAACGAGTTGAGCGGCTTATCGACGTCCAGATAGCTCAAGCCCGAAGCTGAAGCCGAGTACCTACGCATCCACCGCGAAGTCTGGCCCGGCGTGCTCGCCGCTCTCGAACGTTCACACATAGTTGACTACAGCATCTTCCACTACAAGCCCATGAACCTTCTGATTGCCACGATGAAGTACGTGGGCAACGACTGGGAGAAGGACTCGCAGATCTCCCGCGAGGATGCGGATACGAGGCGGTGGTGGGAGTTGACGGATGGGATGCAGGAGACGCTTGTTGAGGGCGCTACGGGGAGTGCTGGGGATAAGCCTTGGTGGGCGGTACGTGTCTTCGATGCCGTGTCGAATCAGAGCGAAGCTGAAGTCCAATGCAGGAATGTCCGGAGGTCTTCCGCTTTGAAGGGAGTGGCTGAGGCGGCCTAGCAACAAAACATATGCGGCTCGGAAAGTAACTTTGTACCTGTACCATATCCCGCAACAAGTATTTGTACACAAACGCATGAATAAACATCATCTCTCATCCAACGACTCAAGCCCAATCACCGACGCCGTTCATACCCATCCCCGCCCCTCCTCCCATACCCATTATCCCTCTCCCTCCCCGCATACCCCCTATCCCTCTCTCTTCCAAAATCATCCTTCGCCCTCGGTGGCGGCGGCGGCGACCTCTCCCTTCCATATCCCCTCTCCCTCTCCCTAGGCGGCGGAGGCGGCGAGCGAGACATCGAGTCCGAGCCCCTCCTACGCCTCGGCGGCGAGTCGCGACGACTGTACTTATCGCGCTCGTCGCGCATCCGGACATCGCGATCGCCGTAACCGCGCTTCGTCGGCGGCGAAAGCGAGCGACTCTCAGAGCGCCCGCGACGCGGAGGTGAGGGCCGGCGCGGGGGCGAAGGCCGGCGCGGCGGTGACGGCCTACGCGGTGGGGAATCGTCACGGCGGCGCGGAGGCGACTCGAAGCGCCTACGAGGTGGTGGCGAATCATCGCGACGACGAGGCAAGTTCGAGCGCGGAGGCGGTGAGTCGTCCCGGCGACGCGCATGAGGAGGCGAATCGCGGCGCCTGGGTGGCGGCGAGATCGACATGCGCCTGCGCGGGGGCGACACATCGCGAGCACGGGGAGGCGGCGAGTCCCTTGGGCGTCTAGGTGGCGGACTGTCGTCACGGCGTCTGACAGGTGGACTATCGTCGCGACGCCTAGCGGGTGGACTGTCATCCCTGCGCCTAGGCGGGGGACTATCGCGACGGCGCGGCGGGGTGCGCGAGCGCCTGTCATCATCAGACGAGTCCGAATCTGACGAAGAGTCCGACGAAGTATCCGAGTCTGAGTCGCTGCTGTCGCTGTCAGACGACGAGGACTCCGCCTCGAGCATCTGTCTACGCTGCTCCATGATCAGACGCGGCGCGTTCTACAGTCAAAAGTCAGCATAAAATTGGACAAACTGAAAATGAGAGAATATGTACCTGTAGGTGCTCGCGCATCTCTTCTGTGACAGCACCGAGCCCGATACTCGTGAAGTAGTTGATCGAAAAGCGGGTGTCCTTGGGATTATCCAGCGGGAACATCCCCCTCGTCAACATCCTGACCTCCGGGTCCGAGAAGCGTTCCTTAACAGTCGGCAGCCCCATGGCCTCCATGACTTCCGTGAACATGATCTTGACAAAGATACGACTCGAAGACGTCGTGGCTTCTTCGGTGATCTGGATGGTCTGGAGCACGGCCCAGGAGATAGCGTCGTTCGCGAGGAGATGTCCGAAGAGACGTGCGATATTGCGCAGGCGGTTCGTCTCGTAGCGATGGATCGTGTTGTAGTAGTTGCCGAAAGCCTCCTCGAAGCATTCGTTCCAGACGCGGTTGATCTTGCAGAAGCGCTCGGAGATGAGACCGTAGAAAGTCGAGTAGGAGCGCTCTTGGGAACAGCACTCGATCAGCATGTTCACAAGTTCAATCTGAAATTAGGTCAGGACAATGCGAACAACGTGAAGCACGCGGGGCAGCATACCTCTTCGCCCTCCTTGATCTGAACCTTGAGTAGCTTGTGTACGGCTTCCTCGTAGTTGAGAGCGTTCATGATAGTCAGGTAAATCGTACGACGAAGGTTGACCAAGTTCGTCTCCGTGCGGTCCTCGATGCCTTCCTTTTCAGGCGCGACTGATAGGCGCTCAGTGATGACACCTGTCAGAGAAGCAATGTAGGACATACCTTCTTCATCCTCGTCGCTGTCCTCATCCGAGCCAGAACCAGACTCTTCGTCAGAGTCGGAGTCGCCAAGAATTTCTGTCTTGATTTGCTTGTACTTGTCCTCGTTCTCCAGATAGTTCGTGTCGAACTTGAAGATGTCTGTGTCGTTGTCAGCCTCTGAACACAATATTCAGAACGTAGTGATACGCACTCAAGCCCTCTTCGACCTTCAGCTCCTCCTCCAGCGTAATCTCATGCGTGATTTGGTCGTCCTCCTCGACCAAGTCCAGCCCCTCTGGAATGATGGGATGGTCCTTATACTTGTCCTTGCGGACTTGCATGAGGACTTCGATCATGTACTGAACACGGTGGCTGATGGTGCCTTCGTTCAAGACGGCACGGAAGCGCTCGAAGATGGACTGGTTGGCCTTTGGCGAGTTCTCGGTGAGGTACTGGCCGACTTCACGGGCGAAACCGACGGCGATTTCAATGGAGTCGTCCGTTGGGCGTTCGAGTAGAAGGACCAGGATTTGAAGGGCGAGAACTTCATGAGCCACTGACTGGTTGACCAGGTGAGCAATGAAAGTCGTGGTCGAATGGCAGACAGTCTACACGGTATTGTTAGCCTCGTCACGCCATTTTTGATATAGAATATAGAATATGGATATTTACCTTGTCATTACGCTTGAACGCTCTCCTAAACTGGCTGACCAGCCTCGTAAGAACGAGTTCTCCAACTTGCGGCAACTTCGTATTGATGATGGCCACCAGTGCCGCAAAGACAGGCGTAAAAGGCAAGGACGATGCCTGAGCCTTCATCACGCTCCTCGCAAACAAGCCCCTCCCACGAATGAGGTTCTCCGCAAACAATTCCGGGACGATATGTTTGATATTGGCGACATTGACCCTGTTGACGATACCGGTGATCGACTTGCGCAGAGCGTCCCACGACAAGCGCTGGTACTCCGCGCTCGACCGGTCCGCGCTCGCCGCCTCGCGCAACGCCCGCAAGCGCGCGGGAGGCATGTACACTCCGCCCGACCGGCCCGCGGAGGACAATTTCGCGAACTCGGCTATGGCGTCGAATTCTTTGACCTCGCCAGACTCTTTCTCCTTCTCCTTGCCCTTGTCCGCCTTTTCCAGTTCAATGGCCGCCAGTCGCGCGGCGAGTTGGCGCTCGCGCTCGGCTCGCCGGACCGGGTCTACGTCTTCCACGCGGACGTCGATGGCGCGGGAGGGTGGGGAGTACGAGCGCCGGCGGGAAGTTGGAGGTCCGTCACCGGGAGAGGGAGACCTATATAAATATTTGTTAGATGACATTGGCATTTTTGGATATAATAATAGCGTACCTCTTTCGCTTATAGCCAGCATCGGACGGAGGGGGTGAACCGACGGCAGACATTATTTATTCGTCGTGGTCGTCCAAGGACAAGACGCGGTGCGCGTCAAACTCGAAGTGCGTTGCAACACGCAGGCGCGCGCGCCAATTCTTCGGCGCTTCGGCACCGGAACGCTCGCGTGGCTTGCACGCTTGTCGGGATGGCGCGAAGCCGAGGCCGAAGCACGAGCCACAACTCGCTCTTGCTTTCGAACGACCATCTACGATAAGCATGGAGAAGCTAGAGGCACTGGCTAATGTTACTCGTGTAAGGGTGTCCTCGAGTTATGTGTAGTGCACGCATATAATCTACTGCAGCTCAGTGAGAGAGTCGTACGCGTTCTCGGTCAGGTAGGTCGCTCGCGATAGAGCTTCGTGAATAGTGAACCCATATGCGGCCCTAGAACCCGGGGAAGTTTACGCTTCAAGGTATGAAAGTTTCTCGCGGCCGCATAGAACCCTTCTGACTTCTGTAGGCACGAATACCTACCTAATCGGCCGAACGAATCCGTACATCCTACTCGACGCCGGACAAGGCATACCCGAATATACGCCCATTCTACGGTCCGCGCTCGAGAAACCTGCGCACCTCAATCTCCCCGACATCTCTGATGTCATCTTGACACATCGTCACGGCGACCACACCCTTGGCTTACCCCCTGTTCTTGCGCTTCTACAAGAACTTTGGAAGGAGCGTAATGCGGATGCGCCGTATACTGCTCCCCGCGTGCACAAGTTCCCGTTACCATCAGACGAACCGGATGCTACCCTTTCGAATGTCATATCTTTGCTCGCAGAAGGTTCCTTCACGCCCGGCCCTCAGGGTGCCCTCCACGACTTACAACCCGGCCAGGTCTTCGCGCCCACTACACCCGCGCCGGACTCAGACCCGGCAGACCAAACACTCACAATCCTACACACGCCAGGTCACACCTCGGACTCGATATCTCTACTATACCCCGCAGAACGTGCGCTCTTCACCGGCGACACCGTACTCGGCCAAGGAACAGCCGTCTTCGAGGACCTAAGCACATACATCTCCAGTCTGCAGTTCATGCTCTCGCATCAACGCAAAAACCGTCCGGAAGACGGGTTCGACATACTCTATCCCGCGCACGGCCCCGTAGTCAAATCCGGCGCCGAGACGATCAACATGTACATAACGCACCGCCTCGAACGCGAATCTCAAGTCGTCGACGTTCTTCGCCGACCGCCGCCCGAGGGAGAGACGGTGTGGACGGTGTGGGGTATCGTCGGACATCTATATGCGAAGTATCCGCAGAACTTGTGGGAGCCGGCTGCGCATGGAATTGGGCTGCATCTGAGGAAGTTGGAGAAGGAGGGCCGAGCGAAGCCCGCCGGTGGAGAGGGGAAGGAATCCAAATGGACGTTGTCAGAGGCGAAGTGAGCATGATCTCTTTCTTGCAAGCGCATATGACAGCTGAATGACGCATATAGGTAGCCAGAGAGCGATGTTGTAAGGGCGATGTGTTACATGTTTTGTATGATAGACTACTCGGAATGGATGTACCGAAGTGAGTTGTTCATTCCACCTTCACGTCCGTACTTTATTGACCTGAACTCATTTCAGTGCTGTATATAAACTATATCAGTATTTCCACGGAGCCAATGACGCGCCTTGTCATGCTTTGATGCCCTCTACGCATGCTATGCACACACCGAATGCACCCCGAAGCGTGTGATGCGCATGGACAACGAAGATCTACAAACTGAATGCGTGCACATCGGCCACTCGGCGACTTCCTCCAATCAAGGCGCATCAGCACAGCCCGGAACGCCGCTCATTCGCTATCCGGTAAGCGCTCAAGCAGTCCGATCACTCTAGCCGGCTTTGTCGCCATACAATGGTTTTGATCGCTGTCGCCACCTCCCACCGCGGAGTATATAGGCGACCTAGCTGCATGATGATGCGAGAGCTCTTTCCCTCTCATCTCCACTCTAGCCCGCCGCGCTACATGCGATGTCAAACTCGCCGTGGAAGTACAGGGCTTTGGGATCTCCGGACAGCGGCGCGGCGTCGTCTTCCACGACATTACGTCCTGACTCGTGCGTCCGATCTCATCCGCGACATGGGGCTTGTACTGACATAGAGTGATGTGCTGTAGGTCCGCATATGATGAGGATGGAGCACCGTCTCGACCCAGGTTAAAACCGTTGCGACGTTCGTTGGCCGACCCTACTCATCCGTCATGCCTTGGCGTGCTCACACCCGTCTTATGGCAGGGCGAACGACAACGCCACCGCTGGTTTATCGGAACTTGGTCAGCGTGCCTATGGCTTTACACCTGGGCGTACTGGCGATCTACATCGCGTTGTGTATCGTCTGGCTGACAGACGTAGAGCAAAACATCCATGTCTCTCTGGCGAGCGCTGCTCGTACCCAGACCTGGATCAACTTAGCGAGTCATGTTCGTATTGCTAGTCCCGTATACTTAGGGCGCCTATGACTGAAACCTTCTCGTAGGTCATCATGCTCGCATTCGCAACAGCTATCATCGCCCTCATGCAACCCATCGCAACACGCTCTCCCTTCGGCAACCTCCCACAAACACTAACAACACTTGCCGACAAAGTTTCCGCCTGGAGCGGGCTCGGGTCCTCCATCCTCAGCCTCTTTCACAATCTACGCTACCCAGCAACACTAAGCAACGCTCTCCTCACCACAACCTACTTCGCAACCCTCTCCGGTCTCGGAATCAGCTCTTCCTTCCTATTCGACGTTCCAGCCGTTAACTCTACTATCTCGAGCAACATGACTACCCGCATCGGCACGCCATCTGTGCGCGCGCTCGTCCCGCCCAGTATCAACGGCGTTCCCAAAGACTTCTCCGCAATCTCATTCGACTGGTACCGTTCCGGCGTAGGCGTCGGCATGTTGTTCGGCAGTAACGCGACGATCTATCCCGGTCTCAGCGCGAACAGGATCTACGACACCCTCTCGCCGCCCATGGGCGCTTCTTCCAACTCTTCCGTTGTCGTGGACTATACTGACTTCAATGTCAAGTGCGGCGCGGTGCCGGGCGTGTCGATCTCCGCGATGACGCCACAGGATATTCAGAAGCAGGTCATTAGCGCTGCGGGGAAGGCGGCGGGAGGGTACGATCTGAGGTTGCCGGCGCTGTTGCAAATGAATTATACGTTGGGAGAGGAGAGTATGGTGTTGTACGATAGCCTGTCTATCTCGGAGATGAACACGTCGTTTGCGGTTAGTCGGCTATGGCAGCCCGCTGGTGAGTGCCCCTCGACGCTCCCCACAGACGATGTTCTGATCTCGGTTGCAGATGTCCTCGTGCGCGTCCCCAACAGTCCTCTTGTACCAGGCATCGGCCGAAACCTCGTGCTGTACAACATCTACAACGAAACTGGCCTCGTTGCAGGAAGCCAGCCTATTCTCGACGCCAAAAACTCGACGGGTTCGCCTTGGCCCCTCAACGTACAGCGTCCGCAAGGGATGCCTCCATTTGTTACGGGTATGATGGTGCAAGCCATCGGCTGTTCCTTGTTCACGAGCACGGGGCAGGCAACGATTGACGGTACCACGAACGAGCTGCTCGATCAACCTACACCTTCGGAACAAGCGGATGTCAACAGTACATGGGATGGGTGGCAGCCCGACTTGACCAAGTCGAACAAGTACGCTCTCGACCCCATTGTATGCGATCAGAGTGCTCACGACGCGATAGGCTCGAAGACATGTGGGCCTCTATGTTCTTGCCCAACGGTTCAATAAGCCTATGGGACGACCAGCCGCAGCCAACCAACGGGCAGTGGTCATGTATCAACTACTTGCCTACCAACAGCAGCTCAAACTCCACGTGGAACATCGATCAACTGCAGCAGATGTACCAGGGATGTCACATCCCGATGCTCATCGAAGAGTATCGTACGTCCTCCCTCCAGGCATAGCTCCCTGATGTGTCTAATAACGAGCCTATAGTCACAACGCGACTCTTCGGTCCTTCGACAATACGCTACAACGGTCTCGCGGCCTTCCTCGGAGACGTCACCCGCAGTCCCTTGGGACAAAACGCCACGCTTGCCACGCTCGAATCAGCCCTTGCAAATGCGACTGCCATGACGATGTGGTCGGCTGCGCGACAGAGCACACTTTCCACATACACGGACGTTTCACCCAGCGAGCGCAATCAGTCGAGCAAGCGTGCCTTTGTTTTTGATGAGAACTCGCAGATGCCGTTCTCGACGCGGCTGGCGCCGGCCACTGGTCACGCAGTCGTGAACGAGCAGGTGCTCGTAGGGCGCGTATCTGTGCGTATTCAAGGGATTGTCCGCCTATACACCTCACTGACCCTGAAACGTAGCTCAACGTGCCGTCGCTCATCGTCGGGACGATCCTGGCTGCGCTGTTGACCGGCATCGGCATGTACGTTCTCGCGCTCGGAGATGCCCGTGTCGGAGGGGCGCCTATCGAGGACGCCGGATTATTGAGCCTCATGGCGCTGGACAACTCGGCGATTGCTTCGCGCCTCACTGGGGCGAGCATGTACAACTCGAATACCAGGAGACGGGCAGGGGCGTTCTTGGTCAAGATTGTGGATGGTCGGCTTGTTCCTGTTGAAGGTGCCGGTGAGTACGAGTTGGACGGAAAGGGCTCGAGCCTCTAAAACTATTTTCGCTGTATATTACAACACGATTGATATACCCAGTCACTATAGATATGGGAGTCTCTGACCTAATGAATGTATACATACTCCATGCGTAAATCACACAGAACCCTGATCTTAGTCTCGACCCTTTCCAGTCAGCGATTGATCACTGACGCGCGCGACGTCCTGTGTAAATATTCCCAGCCTCCCACGTCTGCGGTACCGAGCGTCGTCATTGCACGCCGTGACATTTGGTCCACGACGTTTGAGACGCCCGAATACATACCGTGGTCGTCCACCAACCACACCGAGCGTCGCCGATCCCGGACCGGACCGGACCGGGGCCCTCGCGTTCGCTCGGGGGTGTCCGCGGCTGTTAGCGAGAACCCACCACCACGACGCTCCCTCGGCCTCCGCTACCGGTCGGGCTGTGTATGACTCACCACTATTAAAGCATCATGAATACTGAAGGAAAAGCCCGATTGGGTACGACTCTTCAAATTCCAAACTTCGACAGACCGAAGTCGGGCTACGATATGTCGTCGCGTGGACACGAACCAACTGCACCACCCGTGCCTCCGGCTGGTCGAACATTCTTAGGCGCGGTTCCGAACCATGGATCACCTTTTGTGTCATAGAATGTCCTACATGCACAGCGTTCAAGCGCTATGATGATGGGAATGTAGTGCGGCGTTGTCGGTGTCTCGTAACTTCATGCTTCTGCTATCTCACTTTCATCCCGTTCTCACCTCCGATGATGTCCTGTCAGCATCAGCATCATCTTCAAGGCTAACAAGACCCGGCGGCCTGTTCTAGCTGTGACATGCATAATAGGCGAGGCGAAGAGCGATAGATGAGGTGTTGGACTCAAGTTGGACTTGCGACGAGGTGGGCCGTTATGCCCACCGTTGTCGTTTCGATCGTTCGTCTGGGGCTGATTTACTGAGAAGCCACAACATCTGGGCAAGGGGCTGCTGTTATAGACAGAGCGATTGGCGCTCGTAAGACGTGAACCCTTAAAAGCGAACGGCTCGTGGACGTCGTCTTTCTGCGAATTGGTGCGCTCTCAAGCTATGTCTGCTCAGTACAGTCTCCTCAAAAGACCTGGGAGCGGGTCATTTTCTCCTCCGCCCGGCGAGTCTCTGACTCGGTATACCTCATTGCCTCTTTCGTTTCCAGAAGAGCTCAGTTATCATTGACAGGTCGTTGGTGGAGGGCGAGACGTTACTCAGGCAGGTCACAAAATCGGAGGGCACGTCTCAAGGTGTGCGCATTTATTACTGCTTTCTAATTGAATAACGCGACTGACTCTCAACAGTGCAGACTATAAGGACGCGGCTAGTTGCCAAGGACATTGTTTCCGTACCGACGTTGCTGCATCTCGGCGTTCTTGCAATATATGTCGCGCTCGTTGTCATCTGGGCTACGGGTTTGGAGAAGAACATAACGGTGGAGCTGGTGGATGCCTCGCGCATTCAAACGTGGATCAATTTGATCAGCCATGTTCGTACGACGCTCAATCTGCACCGAGTGATGACTGATCCGGATCCTTACACGTTCTGTAGGTCGTCATGCTTGTCTTCTCGACGGCTATAATCGCTGTCATGCAACCCATGGCGACTCGTTCTCCCTTTGCCAACCTACCGCAGTCATTGACCACGATTTCAGACAAGGTTTCTGCGTGGTCTGGACTGGGATCTTCGCTGGTGAACCTCTACCACAACATCAGTTACCCTGCAACCCTGGGAAACACATTCTTAGTCGTCATCTACTTCTCTGCTCTCTCCGGGCTCGGTATCAGCTCTTCGTTCCTATTCGATGTTCCCACCGTAAACGAAACCATATCGAGCAACAGGACCACCGAGGTTGGCACGCCCTCTCTACGGCTTGCCATTCCCGCACCTATGGCCACCATGCCTTCCAACTTCTCCGATGTCGCGTTCGACTGGTATCGCTCTGGTGTCGGCGTCGGGATGCTCATCGGTGTCAACGCAACTGTGTACCCCGGTCTCAGCGCGAACAGAATCTATGATACACTCTCCCCGCCTATGGCAGCATCGTCTAACGCCTCGGCCATTGTTGGATATACAGACTTCAATGTCAAGTGCGGCAGTGTGACGAATCCGTCGTATTTTGCGCGTGTACCTGTCGAGAAGTTAATCATCAGTGACGGAGGAACCGCGCGGGGTGGCGAAGAAATTCAGTATCCCACTCTCCTGACAATCAACCATACGCTCGGCCCCTACCACATAGAACTCAGCGATAGCATGGGCATATACGCTTCGAACTTGTCGTACGCTGTCGGCCGGCTATGGGAACCTGCAGGTCCGTATCCAGTCTTCGCATCTTCGAGCGTCATGACCTGATTTACGCCAATGGCAGACGTTCTACTACGCATTCCCAACGCAACCCTTGTCCCCGGCGTCGGGCGGAATCTCGTCCTATACAATATCTATAACGAGACAGGCCTGGTATCGGGCAGTCAGCCTATCCTCGACTCCAGGGGCTCTGTTGGCTCCCCTTGGCCAGTCCAACTACTCCTCCGGGATACTATGCATATTGAAGACGAGCTTCTTGACACTGGCTTGATGATACAAGTTATCGGTTGTTCTCTGTCCACCAGCAGAGGTCAGACTAAGATCGATGGCACCACCAATCTGCTTCTTGAAGCTTTGGACCCGTTGCAAGGTGCGAGCCAGGGAAGTCTTTGGGGTGACTGGCAGCCAGACTTAACGCAGTCCAACGAGTTCGTTCTCTTCTCCGTTCCAGTTACTACAGCCAAAGCTGACGCGCGGACTTACGCAGACTTGAGGATACGTGGGCGTCCATGTTTTTGCCGGGGGGATCCATGCCTATCTGGGAAGACCAGCCGGTTCCCTTACAACCCACGCAATGGTCTTGCGTTGATTACGTGCCCGTATTCAGCAACGAGTCCTACAATGCCATAGCCACCTCTTGGAGTCGAGACACGCTCCAGAATATGACCCAGAGTTGCCATGTGCCGACTCTGGTTGAGGAGTACCGTAAGTTCTGAAGTTTATATATTGTCCAGCCATAGATGCAGGAACGATGACACATTTCAGTGACCACGCAACTCTTTGGACCCTCGAGCGTGGAGTATCAAGGAACGTCAGCGTTAGCCTTCACGGGAGACGTGCTACGAAACGCTTCAGCGGCGAGTGCGTTGCTTCGAACGCTTGAATCAGCATTGTCAAACGCAACTGCGATGACGATGTGGTCGGCCGCGAGGGCCAGCACGCTCACGACCAGCACAGACTACGTACCGCCATCACGAGATGCAACTCTCGGTTCTCGGCAACTACAACCCGTGCCAGATCAATACGATACGATGCGTTACATCACTCGACTCGTACCTACGAGCGACTCGGCTCTGGTCACTGAACGGAAGCTGATGGGGCGCATAACCGTTCGTGCCCGGGCTCTCTTTTAGGTTATCTGGAACCAACCGACTGAATTTCTCCTTTTTCAGTTCAATCTCCCTTCGTTGTTTGCAGGCACAGCTTTGGCCGTCGTCCTTGCCACTCTCGGCCTCTATATGCTGATTTCAGGAGACATACGGAGTGGAGAGGCGCCTATCCAGGATGCGGGGCTGCTCAACCTCATGTCTTTAGACAATTCGGCTGTCGCTTCGCGCCTTTCCCAGCCGAGTATGGTCAGTTCGAAAGCGCGGCGCAGGGAAGGAGCTTTCTTAGTTATGGTCGTGGATGGCCGGCTGGTGCCGGTGGACGATTCCAGCAATTAAACCTGTTGGATAGCAGCTCGCGTCGCAACCTCAGCCTCGGATGAGACCGGACGATGTACCTTTCATATCATTCTACCACATATCACGTACACATCGCATACTGTATGTTCGCCGGTTCAATCCTGACATATATGCACACGCTGCTTCACACAGCGACGACAGGTTCCTGCGTGCGCTTCCACATCGCCTTATCGAACCATACTTCCGCCGTCTCCTCAATGCTACCGCCCTTCTTTTCCCTATTGGTCCTCTCTCCGACGAACCCGAATAGGCCGAACCCGAGCACCTCGCCATCATCACGCACAACAAAGTCCGCAAATACTGTACCGCTGATCTGCTCGAACGGGGTAGTATTCTTGCCGAAGCCTTGAGGGAAGAGTTGAGATGCTTGCGCAACGAAGCGCATATCGCCAGCATAAGACAGGCGCAAATGCGATGTCCAGAGTCGTGGCCAGGAGGCGTACAGCTCCGTATCCTTCGGCTTTTCTAGAGCGTCGATGGTGGCGAAGTCATCGAGCACACCCGTGCAATGCGCGGAAGTACTCTTTGAGTCGCACAACAGGAATGTGCCATATCCCTCGTTCATGTAGAGACCGGTGAAGTCATGAGGAGGCAGTTCTTGAAGCGCATTCACATGTGGGAGTATGGGGCCGTTATTCCTTCCATCCATGCGCGTGTCTGGTCCGAACAGAGCTTGCGCCGTTTGGTCTTGCTGTCGGTTCCAGATCTGGTTCAAGAGCAAGAGCGTTGCTTCTGTTAACGCCGGATGCTTGTTATCCGCGTTTGACAGCGACACTACGCCGGAGCCGTCGTGAGGAGATAGGACCACCAAGGTAGAGATGCCAGGTAAACCGCCATTATGCGTGATGAGCTGCGAAAAATCGTTAGAGCGCGATCTTTACATGAAAGCCGACACAAACACACCTCATGCCCGTGGTACGAGTTCCGACTCCAGCCCATCCCGTAACCCTCGATCGACGTTTCGCTGTTGCCTCTCCCGTTCATGATGGTCCTGGCCAAGCTCACAGCTTCGATGATCTCCGGCGTCAGAACCCTCTTCTTGGAGATAGGGTCCACTCCACTGTTAAGTAGCATCTGTACCCAGTGCGACTGGCGAGCAAGGATTAAATATCAGAACGCGCCCGAATCTACTTTTTGCGTACCATATCCTGCGCAGAGGTTATGATGCCGCCAGCACCAGAGATGAGCTCCGTTTCAGCATCCTTGAACCACCACGGTATGAGACGTCCGTTCTCTCCCCAGTTCTGCGTCGTTTTGCCGCTTTCGGCAGCTTCCGAGTACGAATATGTCGTGGAAGTCATGTTGAGCGGCAGAAAGATGCGATCACGAACGAAGTCCGTGAACGAGCCTGCGTATGTCGTCACGATGTGTTGGGCTGTCATGAACATCTTGGGGCAAGTGAGTAAACGATAAAGCTTTGTGGTATGAAAGGGGCCGTACGATGTTGTTGTAGTGATAGCGTTCCCTGATTTCGAAGGCGGGGCGTAGATATCTGAGCCGAGAGACCATGTCCTTCGCGGTATCGTCCCTCGCGTAGGATAAGTCATGCCTGCACGACACCGTTTCAGGTGTTGTTCATTAGAGAGGTGTATGTCCAGACCTGGGTACGCCTGTTTGGTGAGACAATATATCCTTGAGAGCAGCCATCTTGCTTGCAGGCTCGTCCATAAGCTTCCATTCTCCGGGTAGGATATCTTGAAGTTTGGTGTCCCAATCTAAGCGGCTAAGTCCATCGGGTAGGGGCGTTACGTTCTTGCCAGTCGCATAGTCCTCGATGAGCAAGCCGATGGAAGCGGCTGTAAAGGCTTTGGAGCAGGATGCCAACGTGAATAGAGTCTGTCAAAGGTGAATCGAGGCTCAGTGAGTGCGATTGAAGGGTTTCGGCGGAGAACCTACGTCGCTTGTCATGGCCTCGCCATCCTCGCTTCGTATTCCCCAGTTTCCAAATTCGACTGCTACGCCCGGTCGTACAAAGGCCAAGGACATTCCTGGGACTTCATGTGCGTCGACGATGGACTGTATGCTCTTGATGATGTCAGGAGGCAATAGTTGACCATCAGTGGTGCTGCTGGCCCCCGAAGAGAAGACGTGTTGAGTACCACCCAGAACGAAAATCCCTTGGTACAAAGCGGCGAGTGCCGTCTGTATCAGTGTAGCTGTCCTGAACATAGTGGCCGTCGTCGAACAAGAGCCCAACGGGAGGTGGTCTCCGTCATGGGCCTGGGTTCTGATGTTAAGCTCGGCGCTCGGGAACTGAATTGCATGACTCCATGGCTGATGTGCATGAGCGCATCCTACAGACCGTTGATGTTGACGTGCATGGTCATGTAGATCCAGCGTTCTCGAGAACACCGTGCAGCTTAGATGTGCAGTCTCTTCGTGGCGAGAGGCAACAGACTGTCCGCTTAAAACCGTGATTCACGGCGATTGTGAGAGGTATAATGGATTTTTAAGATTAGAATGAGTCAATGCCGCCTTGGCGTAGTGGTAGCGCGTCCCACTTGTAATGGGAAGGTCACTAGTTCAATCCTGGTAGGTGGCATTTTTTGCCGCTCAAATGATTGATCATGGAATCGATCCATCATTGCACAAGAGGATACGATTTTGGTCACGGAAGATTGCAAGAGTCAGTACCGTGAATCTCAGTCTGTCCCCCGACAGACCTCCAGTACGCTCTAGTCATTTCCTCCGAAGTGTGCACGACGCAATGACATTGGCAGGGCTAACGGGCGGCATATAATCTACGCAGCTTCTCGACCTATGAGTACGACTGTTTACTACGGAACAGACAAAATGCATGGCATGGGACAATTAAGGATCTTGGCTGACATCATCCCGATATATTGGCTGTAATACAGAAAGACCTATTCGACTCCTGCACCGAATGACATCCTATGAGCTTACGGCCGGCTAAGCCTGCGACGGGCTTGTTCAATCGCGTCCTATCATGGTCATGCAATAGGAGAGATTGATCCGTGAAGTAGCCGCAGTGGGACCCTTGAAGCTTGACAAGGGCAGGTTCGTTGTGAGAAATGACAAAAAAGGGATGCGACTATCAAGTCGTCCCTGTAGTGTCGACTTGACGTGAGCAAAGACTGGGCGTTATATTGTTCTGGAGAACAAGCCCAGGATAAGAGGCTGTCAGACGCGTCAGCCCTAGAGTCCCCGAATGCGCAGAGGTAAGCTCACAGTACACAGCACGCGTGTGAGAAGTATGTGCAAGTTACGAATCTCGGTCCGTAACACAGCGTGTTGCTGTGAAGATGACTCCGAAGACAGCGTTATCGAGCTCTGCACATCGGTCAACCGGCGGCTTGTATCAAGCTCGACAGACCTCTACACGAGGAGATCAGCAATGTAAACCATCCGCAGCAGTGACGAAACTCACGCGGAAGTCGTCGTCTGCATCTGACAGGCTTCTCAGAAGGTCCGAAATGTCCGCCTTGTGCTTGCGCGCCAGTATGAAGCGCTTCACGGCGTCTCTGCGCCCTACGCCGGTTGTCGCACTGGCTTCGCGCAAGATATCCTGTATAGAGCTATACACCAATGAGACGCGACGCGACTATGACGAGGGAGAGCGGTGCTGACATATCAAGCCTCTCCAGAGCCCGGACCTGCGCATCGGAGATCGGACAAGTGCTGAAGTCTCTATCGCCCCAGGCGATGACCAGGTTCTCCTGCATTGCATCGATACGCTCGTATAGCCTCCTCCTGTCATCTTCGTTCTGTACCATGGTCTACGACAGCGGGCGTAAGTTAGACTGCACGCGTTTGAGAGGGTCGAAAGTCGCGCATACCTCATACGTGTTGAGTAGCTTCATCAGGCCACCTACGACCGCCTCTAGGGGCGGAAATGCAGGCGAAGTCGCTTCCAGCGACTCCAAGCCCAGGATCAGGGCCTCCCGCGTCATTGTGCGCGATGATGCGCTCGGCCGCAGGCTCCTTACTGCCGAGCGCGCGACACGACGAATGGCTTTCGAGGGCAAAACTGCAGCAGCTGCCGTAGAGCTGAGTAAAGGCCGACGTAGTGACGGTGCGCCGGGAACTCGCAGGCGCAATGCTCCTTGTCCGCGCTTCAACGAGGCAAACATTGATGTCAAACAGTAGGCGAGGGAAGAGTTCTGGGTTGTTGCGAGATTCCGGTAGGTTATTGGACTGAGGCTGAATCCTTATTTGTACACGGCATGGCATATTGAGTAGGTCGAGACGAACAGGCACCAGAAGGACATAGAAGACACGAGGTGAACCGCCTTGACACTGGTGCAATTAACCCATGGGCAAAAAGCGATGCAGCCGATGCGAACAGGCTCTGCGCGGCTGTTTTCGCCCACCACCTGTCGCACTGCACAAAGGTTCAGTTGAGGTCATTCGTGGAATAATAGGAGAGCAGACGCACCTTCCATAGAATTACGCGTTGTCAACGCGTCAACTGTGCTCGTCCATACTCTCGAGGTGCATCAGGCATGCCCCCGGCATGCCCCGTCGCATTGACTGTCCTCGGACAAGACATGCCCAGAAGAAAACGCTGTCGTAGTGGCATGTATAAATGGCATAGGCCACGGTTGTACTCGCGACGTGAACTGCGGGAGAAAGAGGCGCTTTGGGCGTCACTGCGATCAGCGACGGTACTCACGGGCCGGAACCTCGGGCCGTACCATACTCAAAGAAGACTGATACGCACCGCCAGGCTCCTTCTAGCTAGCATACCAAGTCCTAGCTTTGAAGCATGTCGCGGCGGTAGTATATATATATCATCCATTGCGAGACTGTATCAGACATTCACTTTCAGGCAAACGAGATGTATAATCGACTAAAAATACAGGGGCGCGTGCATGGCAAGAGCGACGAGTATGCTACAGATATGCTACAAAGTGGAGTACAAGGCAGATGGGGGATACATAAAGAGTCGAACTCGCAGGAAATAGCCAGAGGAGGATAGAAGCCGGGGAGGGTCGTGAGAAGCTGAGAACGATGCCATCAGTGGACGGGTTCTTCGCGGTGAATACAGTAAGACGTACTCCAGGCGTAATACTTGGATCGGCGAGGTTACACGAATATGTTGGAGTGAAACGGGTCTCTCGTGCGAGCTGTGCTCAAGCATGAATACAGACCCAAGGTGGATGCGGGCCAATCCGTTGAGTGTTCAAAGTCCGGGAATACAAGGGAGGGCAGCGAGATCAATCACTGCGTCATAAGTAAAGCGAGTGAGCCTGTATATCTGAGAACGAGCGTAGCGGGTAGTATGAGCCGAGTAAGGACTGGACAAGCTTGTCAGGGTCGCCAAAGCAACCCCCTTGTCTGGCGCCTTTCGGTTCCCACGCAGACGCGGTTCGTAGTACCGGAGCAAATTGCCCGGTAAGTGGTGGTAGCGCTTGAGGCGACATAGTCGTCTCTCGCGCGCCAGGGACCCGGGACAGGCAATCGACTGAAGTCGTTCAGCCAACTGCACAATCGATGGGTTCATGTGCCGGAAGCGTGTTTTGGTGCAGAACGCACGCACGATGCAGGAGATGATCTTGGTGTCACCCACGCCCGAGTCCCTGGCAAATAAAATAGGCTAGAGATGGAGATCAGTCTCACGACAGCCTTCTGGAATGCGGCCCACGTACGATGAAGATGAAGAGGCGTGCGTGCAAGGTCTGTATGTCGTGTAGTTTCCGATGTATGATGGCGCTCTCTTCGGAGCTGGTTAGTTGCATCTTGGTTATGCGAGCATTCGTGTCAAGTTCTATTAGCCTCTACATAATAGACATCAGCAAATGTAGACCAGATATCGAGGAGAATTGCGTACGCGGAAGTCATCATCAGCGTTAGCGAGCCGTAGCACGAGATCTGATAGCTGGGATCTGTGCTCTCGCGCCAGTATGAACCGCCGCAGAGGGTTCATTCCGCTATTCAATATGGCATTCGCATCGTCTAGTATGTGTTGAATTGATCTGGAGGACATGTGAGCACCGATAGACTAGAGGTTGCCTATGGGAACGACCGACATTTCGAACGATTCTAGTGCTCTCACTTGCAGATCTGAGAGGGAGCATGTACGTATATCGAAGTCTTTCCATGCGAAGATCAGATCGTCTTGTATCTTGTCGATGCGCTCGTACAACCTTTGCCGATAGGGCACGTTCTGCGTCATCATCTAAGATGAGGTGAGTCACCTCGGTCGTAAGGATACAATGATCAAGACCCACCTCATATGTGTTTACCAGCTTGAGAAGGCCGCCTATAGCACCCTGGAGGGGAGGGAAAGCCGGCGAAGTTTCCTTAAGAGACTCCAGACTGAGAATGACGAATTCTCGAGTGATGGTGTGTGCGATGGCCTTGTCAATCGTGCGCCCATGGGCCTTGCCCGCTATGCAGCGTACAGTATTGGGACGGCCTTTGAAGCCTGGTATACGGCCGGTCCAGTTGCGGGCATGAAAGCCATGAGACAGCCTTTCGGATGCCTCAAGCGGATGTCGGTCCCCTCTCAAGCTAGAGAAGGGACCTGGATCTCGCCTCCGAAGAAATGGCGTCGTGTTAAGGCCTACGCGTCGCTAAGCATACACAATAGAGAGGTTTGCTGTGTGGCATACGTGTGAAGAAAGCCGCTCGGGGGCTTGAGAGAGTGTAGTGGACGTTGGCCTGCGTTTATAACGGGAGTCAGTCATCTCACGGCCAATGATAGTACGCAGGGGCGATGACCAAGTGACCCACCTTAGCACGAGCACAATCTTCATGCATGACACTAGTTCAAAATCCGAAGACATGTAGTCGCCGCCTGCTCCGCATAGTACGGCAATAGTTTGACTTGTAAAGATGGACTATTGCACCGCAATTCATTGCCTCCATCGATAAGGACGGATACAGGACGGATATGGTCGCCTGCTTCACAAGTAAGGTTATCCCCGTCTCATCTTCTTCACTGCCGATGAAGACGGGCTCCCAGCGTCAGTCATGATGCGTCTTGTGGAGATGACTTGGACGCACGTTCAGTCAAATGGGATACGACAGGATCAAATGAACATGTAGGGTTCTCAAGGCGGATTCTGTATAGCCTCCAGTACATGCCTTCTCTTATTCGGACCGAGATGGCTGATTGAACGGTGTTGATCAGGATATAGCAGGTGTTAGAGCGGACAAAGCGCACCTATAGTCTCAACGCTTCTCATTCGGTACTCGGTGTTCTTTATCCTGAGCCTCTGCATCTTTCGCCACCCTTGAGCGTCGCCCGACGGATTAGCTGTACAATGACGCTTTCGACACCCCTCGATCACACAGTGTAATGTCCGTTCACTCCCCGCTCAGGAACACCAGAGCTAGTATTTAGCGCAGAGAGGCAGTGCCAACATGCACGTGCATAGACGGAATAAAGGGGTGGTAGCAATACTGGGGTCGCGATGAGGGTTAGGCTAGGAGAATAACTCAGGTAAGTTCTCGCACCGGTGTCGGACTTCGATTGGTAACTGAACTGGAGGGATATGCAATTAAAGCAACTGAATATCCAGATGGTAGTGTCTCTCTCTGCGTTGAACGGCGAAAGTTGCCCAACGGGGTCAACAAGCAGGGTACTCTGGCTTTCTTCTTCGTCTCCCGGTCTGTGCGCAGTAGGATCGTCTATTCTGGGAAAAGTATGTCATCAGAGTAAGGTTCCGCTGCTTGGCGGTGGGGAGTGAGGAAGCGACGACGCGAGCTTCGGGCAAGCTTCGGACCGCCCGGCCGCACCCGCGCTCTTTCACACGCGGCTTCGTCTGCACAGGCTTTCACGTCTGCGACGCGCCCAAGATGGAGTCCATGATCGCGAATGCGCGGTTCGACTATCTGCGTTTGCTCGTACGCTCCTTCTGAGGTCCTGAATGTCCGTCATCTGAGGATTCATCGCTGCACGGCCGATGATGCAGCTGGGAGTATGAGGCCTTCATATGTGACCGGCACGGACACGTCCTCACTAGGATCACACAGCACGCGCATATCGATTCCTTATGTAGTTTGTCTACCGAGCCCTTGAGCGAGGACCGTATCTAATCTATTATCCTCAATGGTTTCCCTACATGATCCTCAACTCGGAACGGCCTCTCCTCTTCAACCATTCGACGCAGCTCTGCCTTGTGCTTGCACGTCAAGTCGCTCACGATCTTCTCGTCCAAAAGGCGCACGGCCTGAGGGTGGTATCCCATCTCGGTGACGTCCCGCAGGAACTTCCGAATCGCTCGGTATACGGAATTCGGAGCCTGCGTGAAGCCGAAGTGTAGTCCGATATGTGTCGCATCTTTGGGAAGAACGAGGCGGTGGCCTGTCGTCACGTAGTCTGCGAACTCTCCGCTATGTCGACAGTACAGAACGACCTTTCGTATCTCCGTCAAGCGCTCGATGTACTCGCTGCGGAAGCGCATCGGATACAGCACGTACGCCGTATCTCCCGCGAGCGTTGGATGGCCTGATGCCAGGGGTGCGTAGGCGTAACTCGGATGGTCCTCAATGATATCGACATCGCCTCGAGAATCGGCGACGGGGGAGATGAATGAGCGGCAAGTATGGGATTGAGCCTCTGTGAACATGAGGTACTTTCGCGCTTTCAACACGAAGATGGGTGGGAGCAGGAGCGCTCTCAGATTCGGTGCATCATCGACTAGATTGTACACATGTTGAATGCTTGCCGGTAGGAATTGTTTGATTCTGATGGTGATAGTCCATATCACGCTGCGTAGAGTGCCGATGCAAGTAGCGGCGAGCGCCTCTATAAGACGTAAAGTCATATAATGACCATCGTTCGAGTCCGAGCAGGCGCGTAGCACGTAGACCTCCAGCTTGGGCAATTGACATATGAGCTCCTGCAAAGCAGGTTCCTGTTCCACCGATATGTGCGGCAGGGAGATGTCTAGGCGTCGGGTGTATTTCCCCAGACCTGATTGAAGTTCTTCAACATCCTTTGGCTTGAGCAGTTGCGCCAGAGAGAGTATATCGGAATCTCGAACAACGGACACGGCTTCGTAGAGAAGCGGGGTCATGAGATCGTGCCAGGTCCTGCAAACGCGGGAGATCGCGCGCTTGGACCTTAGGGCTCTGTGTGTTGCGCGCAAATCGCCGCGTAGATCGAGCATGAAAGTATCGTCACCGACTCCCAATCTACGTGGACAGTTGAAGGGATCGGGCACGCCGGCATCGAAGCAATGTGGTACGAAAGTCGCAAAGTCAAAGATGATGAACCATATCTCTGGTGGAAGGTGCCGACGTGGACATGTCGTGATGGACGTTGAGTGCAGGTAATGCGCGTCGTGGAAGGTGGACATCCGCATCGCACACAGATCATGACGCGTGAGTTCACGGCAAACACCGAGAGAAGGTACGCGACTGGCACGCGGTCGCGTACGCTTCGCCTCAGATTCAGATGCTTACAGGGAGAACCTCGCCTCCGGCATTGGGTGGTTACTACTTTCCAAGCTCATGTCACCTTGAACCATAACGAGTAAAGGTTTTGTCAAAGGCCACGTGTCCGACGGTCTCGTGCAATGATTATAATGATGTCATGTGGGTACTATAATACAGGTATTCCGTTGTGTTACATGCAAAGCTCGATGGCGTAAATGCGGGAACAGCTGCGGGAGCTTTACGAGCTCTTGTTGCCGAGACCGAGCTTGTCCTTCGTCTTGTCGAGGAAGGACTCGTTGCTGTGGTTGCTGTTGCCCGAGACGGTATCGGTCGCCTTCTGGGTGTACGACTTCTCGCTCTGGGGAGAAGTCAGATAAGCTGGAAGAGCTCATGTCATACCAATGTGCGTACCTGAGGTTGAGCAGAGGAGGCGAGGTCGTCGGCGTTACCCTTGACCTTGTCACCGAAGTGCTCGGTCGTAGACTTCTCAGAGTCGGGCTGCGAGAGCAAGGATGAGTTGTATATTCTGAGAGCGAGCGTTGCGGACAAACCTTGAGCGCAGCCTTAGCCTTGTCGGTAGCGGACATACGGCCAGTGTCGGACATGATGATGATGAAGTGGTAAAAGTAAGAGTTGAGTGTTTGATTGGCAGGGACTGATGATGTTTTTCAGACTCTCGTTCACCCGTTATATACCTGTCTGACCTGCTATGACGGAATGTACGCCAAGCTACCAAAAGAGGTACACGGTATGGAAGTCAGTATGGTGATGGCTCCGCGGTGGGGTGTGGTTGCGAAGGACGTCATCAATGACATCGTGGCATTGACGCCGCGAATAAGCGCTGAAGTCGGCGAAGTCCCGAAGCTGGCGCGGCGCTTCAGAAGACACCGGGCGCTAGGTCATAGATATATGCTTTCTCAAGTATCTTCACCTGTTCATACCGATACTAACAGTCACGGCGCAAGCAGTGAACAAGTTAGCCGGCTAGTCTTACCTAGACACAGATGGCTTGTAATCAGCGTCTCGTCTGAATCGGCTCTCGCCATTATTGGTGTCGCAAAAATCCCATTCGGCTGAGCCCCGCTGCCGACCCGCTGACGACTGAATCAGCGGTGATCAGCCATGACCACCCGTGTGTGGGCAGGTGACCAGCACTGAGCAGCATTGATACTCACTGGTCTCAAGTGATCAAAAATCATATTAAAAATGTATATGTGCTTCTCGGGGCAGCCGGCGCCACCCTGGCATGCTCGTTGACAATCGCTAACTCGCACGATAGTTACGATTCACCTTGCAGTCATATCCGTCGACACTGAGGCATGATTTGCGGTGAATCAAATGCTCTACATACAGTACTCATAGTAGTACGTTTGGCCTTTTCTAGGGCAGGCCCGAGTAATTGTACTGCGCTGTTGACGAGCGGGGAGACGTTGACCGCCCGCCAAGTAAGTAACCCGATTCTCCCGTCTTCACTGACGCATTCTGGCAGAGATATAGCTATACGTGATATCCTTTAAGCCGCATTGTACAGGTGAGACAAGAAAGGGAGTGTATAAAGGGGCCAACGGGGTGGCGATCTGCTGTCGACGCGGCGAGTGAGAGCGAGTCTGATGGCCGTGCGAAGCAAGTTGGTGCACGCTCCACACGGTGAATAAGACGACGCGCGCGCTCGCTTCAACACTAAGTCGCCCTCGCCTTCCACCACCATGGCACACCGGTCGTAATACCCTTCCTCAGGACGCTTCCTCTCGTCCGATGCTACTCCTCGTACCTTCTGGAACATCGTCCCCCCTTGCGCACCGACCGCCCCTCGCGTGAAGCCACCGGGCGCGCGCACCACCATTCGCCCACTCCCTTCGCAGTTCGCACATCGCGCGACTTGTGGGCTCAGCATTTATCACAGCCCGTGCGCACCGGCGCAGGCACTTCCAGTCCACGATTGCTTTGTCTCTGAACTATCGAGTCGGAGTCGGAGGTCTTGCAGCGCAGTGCGATTTCCTCGTTTGTCTTCTTGCATACTCGTATCGTACGTACGCCGCCGCGCCTTGTATGTACATTTTCTT